TTCTTTTGTTCATGTATGAATCAAATATGTAAATAGGAAACAAAACTTCTGTGGCAGAGTGGTCAAGGTTGTTTGCTCCACCAGTCATGCTGGACATTAGCTATGGGACATTTACTGTTTAATGTGACGTTGAAATTAAAAAAAAAACAAAGTTATAGGAAATTGTGGCTAAAAAACTGCGATATACAAAAATGTTATCGCAAAGTGCATCTATGTGTTGAGGTCAAGAAAAACTCATATATAACAAAGATAAAGAGAACAGGGTATGCTTGTAAAACATGTTTGCCCCCGTCCGACAGCCAATGAGTCATGATTGTGTTCAGGTTAATGTGACTGGCTTTTGATCTAGTGACCAAAAAAGTTGTTGAGTTATTGGCCAGAAACCCTTTTAGGTACAAGGTCAATGTGACTTTGACCTTTAACCATTAAATCAATAAGGGTTATCTTCTGGCCAAGACCAATGCACCTGTGAAGATTGAAGTATTTGTTTTAATCATGACATCCTACGTCAAAATGACCATACCCTAAACATAGTTCTGTATTGAGATATATAGTGAGAAAAAACCCTCTTCATCACCTAGCCTGAAAGGCCAAGAACTTTGATACTTTACATAAAGCAAACCTAGAACACTTCTTTCAATTCCTCTTCAAAACAGCATGGCCTACAGCAGCTTTGATATTTTGCATGAGACATGACATTGTGAACATCTACCAAACTTGTTCAAATTATAACCCCTGGTATTATAGTTCCATCCTAGGGTTTTATTTTTATGTAATGGTTAAACGCTAATAAGAAACAAGATGGCCCTAGATTGCTCACCTGACCCATCGAACACATGTGAGCAATTACCTAGACAAACATCCTGACCAAGTTTCATGACAGTTGAGTCAAAAAAGAGTGTTAGCAAGGCTTTTCCATATTTGAACAGTGTGACACAGTTTTTGACCCTAGGTGACCCATATTGGAACTTGACCTAGAAATCGTTAAAACAAACTTTCAGACCAATTTCCTAAAACAGTAGCCACTAGAGTGTGAACAAGATTTTTCTATTTTTAGCTCCAATAACCTAGTTTTTGTACCTGGGCAGTGTGACCAACCTTTTGACTTCAGGTGACCCATATTTGAGAAATTGACCTAGAAATAATCAAAACAAACTTTCAGACAAATTTCAAGATATTTCAATCAAAACAGTAGCCACTAGAGTGTTAACAAGTTTTTTCTATTTTTAGCTCCTGTGACCTAGTTTTTCATCCGAGAGGACCCATGTTCAAACTCATCTGAGCAATTACCTAGACAAGCATCCTGACAAAAATTAATGCTGATTGAGGCATAAATGTGACCGCTAGAGTGTTAACGAACAAATTTGGACGGACGACGAACAACAGAATATGAAAGACGGACATTCAACGACCCTAAAAGCTCACCCTGAGCAAGCTCAGGTGAACTAAAAAAACATTTTACCAGCTAAAAGGTTTAAAGCATTTAAGTTTTTCACTAACCTTGTCATTTCTTTCACGCAAAGTCACTCCTTAATTGCATCATTGCTAAAACAACATTGCTATATTCACAGTTACGTCATTATTGGTATCATGAATTTACCAGGATTGTAGAGGCGTCAATAAAGATGCAGCGTTTATATGAATCGACAGTTAAAAGCCAGTTAATGCGAAGTAGACATTCAGAAATTATTAAATTCAGGCCCTTTATTTATACAGAAAAGTAGGACAAAGACTAAATTTAGATATAGGCTTATAAGTAATAGTTATAGAATATATACGAGGACTTTACCGGCTGGTATCAGCGCATGGGGCGACAATAAGGGTCAATCATAGGAAATTAATCGAGACGGAACGTCGAGATTAATTTCCATGATTGACCCTTTTGTATTTATTCTGTAACTGTTTTATCGCATGACCATCACGATTATTTTTTTGGAGATTTACGCTCCCTCGTAATATTTGCTTTATTTAAACATATAAATATTTTAATAAATGCCCGCAGAAATATACCCATTAGAGGCCGTTGAAGGAACTGGAATGAAATAACCATTGGACGAGGTAAGTTGATGCATTTTTCTGAATGCCAATTATTAATCATCTTTCCAGCTCATTTTCAAAATATAATCTAGGAAATAATGTCAAAAAGAGTCCCGGTGTATATTTTAGTGGTATATCTTGTACGCGTATTTTTTAAAACTAACGACAATGTAGTGATTTTATTCTTAACACTACTACTATTTATTAATAATTACGCTAGAATACGTGTAGTGCTTTACTGAAAAATGAATAATTTGCTCATTGTTTCAGACTAGTTTGTCCTCGAGGTCAGGATGCAAAAAATGGCAATTACTTTCCATTTCAGTCAACATCTTTATAATAACTGCATTTTCAAGTTTTGAAAAAAAAAGATCGAGACAATATGTAAATATTTTTAAAAAAAAGAGTTCTGTCAACTGTGTAATGTTTTGTTATGCTCTTTTTCGGGTATAATCACTTTATTATTTGAAATAAAATAATAAACTGGGCATGCGCGAGAAAGTGTACTGATACCTCATTTAGAGCACCCCAAAGCGTACTGATACCTCATTTAGAGCACCCCCAAAGTTTTCCAATACCGAAATTTAGAGAACGCCGATCTTCAAAGGAAAGTTGTGGCGGTCATGCGATAAGCATAGACCTTTGATATTTTTCTTCATACGACCCTGACATATTGTCAATATTGTCCACTAAGGTCAAGGGTTATGTTTTCAATCATTTGTTTATGGAATGACACATTATATTTGAACAATGAATAACAATGTATATATAAAGGTATAAGTATACATAAAGGTTAAAATATAATGGTCATAATGTATAAACATGTACATATACAAATTGTTTGGCAATATTCTTGCTTATTATTAATATTTTTTTCTTACTTATCAGCAACGGCTGTTCTAAGAATTGTCCAAGGTTACAACATGTAAAAGAAAACTATTTCAATACAAGAATGTCACAGGCCAAATATGTCCAAGATCCATCGAATGGCCTGGTTTCCATTTTTTCCAGTTATCTCCTTTTTCTAAAATTTCGAAATAAAGTCATCAATACTATAATGCCACAAGTCAATGTTTTGTCAATTATGGGCATGTGCTTTCGAAGTTAGAACATTAACTTGCTTGCAGTGGATGAGTAACATAGGTACAATTCACCTATCAATCCGTAAAACGTGTCAGAAGCATTCTATACATATTACACTAAATACATACATGTACATTTTTGTATTACACTAAAACGTTTCAAATCCAAAGATAAATTTGCATCGATCTTTTGTCAAAGATTTTAAACCAATATTAAAAGCATGAGATCAAAGACGTGTCATTGAATCCTCATAGCAGATAACTTTGTGGCATTTGCAGTCTAGACCATTTACAACGAACTATTGTCAATCATTAGAATCAGATTTATTTTTGCTCTGTAACTCTATGCTGCATCATAATGTCAATTAGGATACGACTTTAACTAGAACTGCCACTGTCATGGCGTGAATACTCCCATACCACTTTGTCAGAATCAACAGTGGTCATTTAGAGCTCAAAGACATCCCTGCCAAACCTGAAGGTAGTAAGCCAACGCATTGCTAAATTATGTATTCTACATGTTTCTTGTGGCAAAGATCAAAGTGACCTGAAACTGCCACTGCATGACTTGAATATCCCCATTCATGCAGCTTTGTCTGGGGTGTTTTATGATGAATATATGACAACATGATTATATGCTTGAAATGTGAATATCAATAACACTTAATAATAAGCTTATTGTAGTAAAAGCCCCTGTGACCTTGACCTTTGACAGTCACCTAAAAATCAATAGGGGTCATCTACTAGTCATATCCAAACACAATACCAAATATGAATACTGTTAACCAAAGCATTCATAGGCAATTGAGCGGACAAGATTTTTGACCTAAAGGCCCCTGTGACCTTGACCTATGACTCAGTGACCTCAAAATCAACAGGGGTCATCTACTAATCACCATGCCAAATATGAAGATTGTGGGTCTAAGGATTCTAAGTTATTTGGCGGACAAGCTTTTCTTAGTTAAGGCCCCCTGTGACCTTTGACCTCAAAATCACTAGGGGTCATCTACTAATCATGACTAACCTCCATGCTAAATATGAAGACTATGGGTCAAAGTAATCTTAAGTTATTGGGCCAACATGCTATTTTCAGTCAACACCCCTTTGACCTTGACATTTGAACCTCAAAATCAATAGGGGTCATCTATTCATCATGACTAACCTCCATGCCAAATATGAAGACTGTGGGTCAAAGGAATCTTAAGTTATTGGGTGGACAAGCTTTTTTCAATCAAGGCCCCTGTGACCTTTGACCAAGTAACCTCAAAATCAATAGGGGTCATCTATCTACTCATCATGACTAACCTCCATGCCAAATATGAAGACTGTGGGTCAAAGGAATCTTAAGTTATTGGGCAGACAACCTTTTTTGTCAAGGCCCGTGTCCTTTGACCCAGTGACCTCAAAATCAATAGGGGTCATCTACTCATCGTGACTAACCTCCATGCCAAATATGAAGACTGAAAGTCAAAGGAATCTTACGTTATTCGGCTGAAAAGCTTTTTTCAATCAAGGCCCCTGTGACCTTGACCTCAAAATCAATAGGGGTCATCAACTCATCATGATTAACCAGGATGCCAAATATGAAGACTGTGTGTCAAAGGAATCTTAAGTTATTGGGCGGACAAGGAAAAACCGATGGTATAATAAATTAATAAGAATCAGGCCAACTTTTATTCAATATTGTAATTTCATAAGTAAGTATATATACCTTGTTTAATATAATAATAAGAAATCATCATACTATAAGGTAGGTGCTGAAGACAAGTGTTCTTTTAAACAGAAAAAATAGATCCCAATTGATGTGACACACAGATTAACAACTGGCAACTCTCTAGTCACACTAAGGAGTTGACTCTAAAGCAAATGACAAAAGCAAAGTACTTTCATCTTTTTATTTTATTTTCTTTTTTCAATAAAAATATCACAGCTTATCAAAAGATCATTCTTGAAAATATTAATCATGTATAAATGTACGACAATTTTACACACAAAAAAGAGAGAAAAAAGGATTTATAATATGACACCTATTTTGTAACTTTTAAAAAAAAAACTTCAATTCATGGCTAACATTTTTATTTTTTTAATTCAAATTTTATAGCAAAGAAATCCCCCACCCCCACAAAAAAAACAACTGATCTAATGAAACTACAATGTACCAACAAATACTTACTGGGTATTTCACATGTCATGTTAATTCTCAAGTGTCTTAAAGGGTCTCCACTGAGGTTTTTTGATATGATGGGACTGAAATTTTTTTTCCATATAAATGTACCATTTGATGTAGGTTTAGACCTCTAATCTTTGTGCAAAATTTCAGATCATTCCCGCACTTCGTTTTTCCAGAATAATTATTCACATTGTAAATAAATGACCCAAAATGAAAAGCGTTTAAACGCTTTTCACTCAAATCGGACTAAGAAAAGCATATAAATACGATTTTCCATTATTTCAAAGTATATTTCTAAACTATCTTTGCATATATTTCTGTCTAAAGTGCCCCAGTTCATTTATGTAAGAAATTCAAATGTAATGTTTTTAGGCTTTTAAACCTCAGTGGAGTCCCTTTAATAGTCTAGTCAGTATCTTCAGGTAAAATGGATTTCTTCTATATCTGATAACACTACAGTACTTTAACTCTCTGGGCTCTATCAGCAACCCTTTCTTGCCAATAAAACCAATAACACAACTTGCAGTCCAGACAATACTGTTTACTGACAATGGCTATTCTGCCATTTAAAAATCAAGATCAATTAAAATAACAATGGTAATGTATATTCATAATTCAAGTCTATTACACTAAATAAACAGGGAAATGGTTAACTTGAGTATGTACATATCAATGATCATCTAAATGTAAAAATTTAGGTATATACAACGCCCCTATATCCCAAACACTTGCAGCTTTCATTGCACAGATATAATCTATCTCCCTGCTTTGAACTATTTATACCCTCAAGTTTTGGTATTGTCTTCCAAAAACCAATTCCTTCCACATTTAACTATAACTTTTATCTCTGCAAATCTATATTTGTATAATTTCAACACTCGTATTGCATAGAAAAGAACATTTTATACATCTAAGAACTTTTAACATTTTCCAAACCTTAAATACATGTACAATGTACATTTTCTAAATTATAAAATTAAACGTCATGTTTAGTATGATAAAAAAAATATATGCAATTGTTACAACTTAAATGACAACTTTTTAGTAACATAGAAAGTCACTTTTTTGAGATCATAAATATTCTGAGCTTGGTATTTAGCTACCACCTTATCAACAATACTGTTTGTTGTTTCACCAAAAGCACCACAATTTCTTTTTGCCATCCCAACACATATCACAGTTGTCTCCCCTGGATCTAACATCCCAGTAAGTATCTCAGTCTGTGACAGCATTCACCACCAGCACAGTGCCGACTTGTTTATCACGACCAAGTTTTCTCCCATTTACCACCAAAATTAAAGGTGTGCTCACCCTAATACTTCTGTAGTCAAATACCTGTAAATGTAAAGAACAATTTATCATTTAGAAGACTTGTTTTCTATTATAATGATCACACTTTGGCTCAGCTCTATAGTTAGATGGTTAATTTCAATGACTTAAAATCACTTTCCACTCAGTGCCCAAGGTTTACATTACTCGAGTCCATCCGTCGTATGACCTTTGAAATGACATAAATCCAAATAAAATATACTAGACTGAGTAATACATGTACAATCATTTTCATAATTTCCCATTGTGTAAGAAAAATGTTGTCCAAATGAGCAACAAAATGAACTTGTCCAAACTATGATAATGATATGAAGATATAGGTTAAATTTACTGGACATATGACTGGAGTAAAATGTAGACAACCCCAAATCAGTAAATCAAATATTCATAGTGCAATAATTTATAAATTGCAATTTAGGAGGATTTTCTTTTTTTAAGGTAGTTTTACTGTAATGCTTTCCCGCCAAAAAAATCTAACATTGGCAAATATCGTAATAAGTTGGTCATTTCCGGTCGTTCATTTCCGGAATGTTATTTTTCACAATCTTCAGTAATCAATATATTTTAACTGTTTAAAACCGGAATTTAGTACATAGCAATACAGGATGCAAGATTGTAAATAATCCAATGTACAAGATTTTGAAAAAACAAAACATTCCAGAAATAACTGATTTAATTTCTACAATATTGTCGGATGTTTTTTTGCAGGAAAGCATTACAATAAGACTACCTTAATGTTAGTATAGAGTCACAAACAGTTGTTTAACTTTATAAATGAGAATGAACAAAACAAATCAGGTTCTCTATCTAAAATACAAAAATATCTAATTCAATTTTGCATCTTTTGAAATAAAAGATTTAATTAATTTATTTGGGTGATATGATAATAGACAGAATAAAGGACATACTGGGAATATAATTGAAATGAAGTGACGGAAAGTCTACAGTCTTACCATATCTTTGTGTTTAACATTGACATGTTGTATGTAAGGCTCTGGGATAGCAACAGAGTCTCCGATGTTGACCCCAGATCCCTGAGCAAGGTTGTACACATTAACAGGCATGACTGTTTCGTCTTCATCTAACATACAAAATGTACTGAAATATAAAATAACCATCTCATATAATACAAATGATACAACCATGAAGTGCCTCTTGTAATTTACACATTTCATTATAGACTTTTTATAATTATCTACAACTTCATCTTAAAGAAATTAAATCCAACTATCAAATTTACCAATCTTCAATGCTCCTATCTTCAATATTATATATATAACAAGAGCTGTCAGTAGGACAGCACGCTCGACTATTCTAAGTGCTTGATAGTAAAAGAGCCTTGATAATGTTAAATTTTTTAACATCACAAAAGGTGTAATTTTTTTTTTTAATAAATTCATGTTATAGGCCTTAGAGAGAGTCTAATTATACAGTATTGGCTTGACTATTCGGAAGGTAATGTCACAAGGTTGTTTTATTGAGTATAATAATACTAATACCTATGAATACATAAATTTGACAGAAAAGGTACATAGGCTTCTAATTAAGATGTTTTATCAAGTAAATCACTGCTTTATTATTATGAATGCATAAAATTGTCCCAAAAAAGGGCACAAACCCTTCAGTAGTAATTGAGATAACAGCTTACAAGCAAAACTTTACCATGAATTTCTAAGTTGAAAAAGGGGAGAAAAATCAGCCTAAATGCAAGACAGAATTAGGGATCTTTGTCAGTGACCTACAATTATGACCCTAAATGCATATGTGAAGTTTTAAATAAATATCTTTAATAGTTATTGAGATATGTAAAACTTGCATGTGAACATTAACCAAGAGACTAAGTAGAAAAGGGGATATGAATCAGCCTTAATGCAAGATAGAGTTATGGAACTTGGTCAGTGACATACAATTATGACCCTCCAATTATGACCCTAAGTGCATGTGTAAAGTTTCAAGTAAATATCTTTGAAGACCTTTAACCTTTAACCAAAATTTCTAAGTTTCAAAGGGGCAAATAATTCTTCAAATTTTGCAGGCAGAGTTATGCAATTTTGCAAACTGATGTACATTGTTACTTTAAAAAAGTATTTTAAATTTCATTTGAATATCTCAAGCAATAATTGAGATATTTGACTTTACAAAAAACTTTAACCAAAATTTCTAAGTTAAAAAGGGGCATAATTCTGTCAATAGTATAGGCAGAGTTATCTAACTTGTCAATCTGATGTACCTTGTTACTATAAATAAGTATTGTAAGTTTCAATTGAATATCTCAAGTAATTATTGAGATATTTGACTTTACAAAAAACTTTAACCAAAATTTCTAAGTTAAAAAGGGGCATAATTCTGTCAATATTGTAGGCAGAGTTATCTAACTTGTCAATCTGATGTACCTTGTTACTATAAATAAGTATTGTAAGTTTCAATTGAATATCTCAAGTAATTATTGAGATATTTGACTTTACAAAAAACTTTAACCAAAATTTCTAAGTTAAAAAGGGGCATAATTCTGTCAATATTGTAGGCAGAGTTATCTAACTTGTCAATCTGATGTACCTTGTTACTATAAATAAGTATTGTAAGTTTCAATTGAATATCTCAAGTAATTATTGAGATATTTGACTTTACAAAAAACTTTAACCAACGCAGACGCCGACGCGGACGCTGACGCCGGGGCGACTACAATAGCTCTCATATTCTTCGAATAGTCGAGCTAAAAATTGAAAACAAGTCACTTATGCATTTTGCTCATACATGGGTGAATAAAGACATTTGAATTGTATAGAAATAGACATTATTCTCAAACAATGTTCAGTTTGTTTATTGTATAGTTTGTATCAGCTAGTAACAATTGTTTTAGTCATTTATCTGCAGACAATTATCTAATAATTGTACCTTGATTTCATACTCACAAGTAAGAAATATATATAAAAAAAACCCTGAAAACTATTGATTTAAATTATTTTTTTTTTTCTATATAGTAAAAAGGTGTATAAAAATCCTGAAAACTTGTACCCATGCTAACCAAGTGTTATAAGGCAATTAGCATCACCAATGTTCACTGGTCTATAGCCTACCTACTACTTATTACATAACAAGAAATTACCACATATTGGATTTTTTTTTTTACTTACAAAGGTACAAGGTCTGCAGTAGGTACTGTACAAGCAACTTTGCCTAGGACAACTCTTTCTGGGTTAACACCAACATCAAGGTCTTTAAATGAACATCTCATCAGTTTAACAGACTTGCCACTATTGCTGGTATAGCCACCACCGGCATATGGTCCTAGTGCACTATCTCTAGGAGATTGGGACAATGTCTGTAACCTCTTTCCTTTCACTTTACCCTATTATCATTCAGGAAAAAAAATCCATTATGAGAGAACAGAATTTCAGACTTTATTTAACTGTTTAATGCCTTATAAGTTATTATCGTTTATGGTTGGTTTTTGTCATCTCTTAGAATTACAATTATCCTTTTACAGTTACTCCTTTTAAAAAATACATGTACTGCACTATTTCTTTAAATTTTGAAGTAGCCTAAAGACAATTATTGTAAATTTGTTGCATTGTTTCCGAGAGCCAAATTTTCTAAGTGTTGGTGTTCATACAAAAATCTGGTTATCATAATAATTTACATGATTAAATGATACTTTTAAATAAATATTTTATTGGTTGTAATTTGTAATGCGAATATGCCCACATCCTAAATGGAAATAGTGCCATGCTGAAACTTTTGAAGATAATAATGTACTGCAAAAAAATATTTTTTGTTCCCAAAAATAAATGCAATACCCCATTTATAACATTCAGGAGGTAAAATTGATAGTCAGTTCAGAATGCTAGAAACTATAACTTTAGAATGTGAATAAACATAGAATATTGTATTACTTTAGAATGCCATATATTTCAGATTACCTTAGCTTCTATCATCTGTGATACACTGGTCAGATAAGAGCAGAGTTGTTTTTCCTGAGCTTCTGGTGCATTCCAGCTGGGATCTAACAATGATGCATGTGAAAACCCTTCCAGGGCCTTCTGAAAATCCTCTTCAAACTTGAAAGCCTTAAACAAACAATACAATGTTTCATGATTGTTTCAATTCCATTTGTTTTGTTTTGTTTGATTTTTTTGGTACAAAATTGTGTTTTATACCCAGTTACTAGACCAGTATCTATTTGACACATGACTGAAGATGCATCATGAAAATTTTTGTTATGACAAAAACAGCTCATTATTTCAAAATGAAAACTTTCAAATATGTTTATTTAATTGTATATCTAAAGTATTTCTAACTGATAGGAAATGAGATTATAGTCATTTAGTTTTTGAAAGCTAATATAGATCTGAGTTGTGTCTGTCATAAAATGGTGAATGTTTATTAAACAGTAAATATATAGTACATTTATCTAGCAGAAATCAAGTGTATTTCAAATGAAGTGGAGAGACAGGAGACACCCACTGGTACACTCAATTTCTCTAATGGGACATGCAAGAAAATTGAAAAATTATTAAAAACATTAAATCATATTCTGTGCATTTTTTAGCCACTGGCAGATATCAAAGATGAACCACTGGCATCCCCTAAGCAAGCTAGCTGTTCCTGAAATGAAATTATTCAACATACCTTGTGGATTTTGAAAAAACAAATAGGGATAATGCAAAAGGTTTGAAATCAACAAGTTGACAGGAATATATAAATAGACTGGACAGACAGATTGAAGTTTAATAAAAGAAGACTCACAGAAGCTCTATTGTAATGTAGATCAGCATTATTTCTGGCTACTGGATCATTTTCCTGCAATCACATGAAATATTAAACATTCTTAGGATTTAATAAATACTGTTACCATTACCATCATTATCATTATATCTCTGTTATACCCCTCTAAGTGTCACTGTTACATATTATTTTACATGTACTCCCATTCAATGTCACTGTTATTATTATTGCATGTACTGTCACTGTAATCATAATTAATGTCACTTTTTCCCCACCACTGTTTTGATGTCAATGATATTAAAAGCAATGACACTGAAGTAATCTGAGGAGATTATAATGCCACCATCACTGTCTTTGATGTCACTATTACTAATTGAATAAGAAAGTACATTCTATTAAATTAACATTATTTTATGTATGGTATGTGAAAATGCAAATAACAAACTACAACACCCGACTGTTGCCAATGACAGTAATCACCTATGTCACTATTTCATAATGTCACTGTCTGACACTAGCATTAAATCTGAACTTGATGACATTAATGCCACTCACTGACTGTCAATTAATGTCACTGTTTCTGTCTACCAATGCCACTGACACTAACTTATATTTATCCTTGTTGAAGCAGCTATATATTTTACAGATATCTAAAGATATAAGTATCAATATGACACAGCTTCAATCCTCACATTACTAGCAGCAATAATAACAATGTCCAGGGTTGCACCAATTTTCTGCACTGTATCCCCATTTCACTCTTAGGAAAATCAACTTTACCAAACAAATATTTAGTCATGATCGATCAGCAACGTTTTTTAATAGCCTTGAAAACTCTATCTTATCTAGTTTTTACTTGGAAGAAATCATTTTGAATTGATAAAATTCATGTTTACAGGTAATAATTAGGATATTCTGATAGGACAATGTGGTCATTTCTTTTAAACCGTAAAATATGTTGTAAACGTTTACAAATGAAAATCAAAACAAATACATTTAAATGTGTAGTCAAAGGGGGCCTTACTAATGGGAAAGTTTTAAATTTGGAGCATGACAGTTCATAACACCAATTCAGAAATGAGGCAAATATATAATAAATGGACACAGCTAAAATCAAATAAATAACCCTTTTTCAATGGAGAAAATTAGTTGCATAACACTTACAGCTTGTTTGTAGGCACTCATAGCTTGCTGTAAAATCTTTGCATTTTGCCCAGTTGAAAAAAATAAAGACAGGTAGGCATTTCCGAGAATTACTGAAATATAAAATGTAAAAATCATCAATATAAGAAATATATTAAGTTTCATATCATAATGTATATTCTTTGCTCTTTGTCACTACATTATCTGTAGACTGGTGTTTACTGATTCCAGCTCATTTCCATGACAAAATTTCGTAAATGAAAAAACAATTAAAACACATACATTGCGACCTGAGTATGATAAACATTCTTGTTTTGCATTTACATTTTGAACTAAAAGTATATCAAAATGACTAAATTATCAGCTGCCAACAGTAAACAGTCTTGTCAGTCTGCATTCATCTGCAGGCTGGCCTGACTCAATAATAATTATACATGAAAGCCTAACACCATGAATATATTAGCCTAGTAGAAACTTGAAGATTTATAAAAAGATTTTGATAATTTATATAGCATACACCATGATTGACCATCTTTAATGTCCATTTGTACAGCCTGTTTAGCCTTCTCAACACTGTCTTCAACGTTAGCCACCCTTTCCTCTGCACTAACATTCAACTGTCGTAATACCATAGACAAATTTCTCAATGATATCTTGTTTTTTGACTGAAATTACATGAAAACAATATGAATGCAAATGAAAAATTTATCTTTCCATACATATAAACTGACTACATGTAGTTATTTCTATGCACAACAAAAAGCCTTTCTAAATTCATCATCAGTTTTAAATCCTTTAAGGATTGCTGGCAACCTTGGTTTAAACCCTGTCATGGGCAATCTTAAGCCAGAAACTATACATTCATTACTTAGCAAGTACTAGTCAAAAAGCTAAAAGGTATTCAAAAGCCTGTCTTAAGCACACAATGTATATAGTTTCCAACACAAATCAAGTTAGATTTAACTAAAATTATAAAACATTAGTTACATGTGTAAGTGCTCCCGAAAAACAATTTTTGGCATTATTGACATCTCCTTTTTTCAAGTAAAGTTCGCCAAGATGGTTCCATGCTTCGACAAGTTTAGGATCCAGCTTAACAGCCTTTGATAGGTATTCATATGCTTTACCATCATAGTCTGGGGTAACATTTAGTGTACGTCCCAGTAACATAAAGTACTCTGCTTTGTTTGTAAAACTGTCTGTAAAAAATTAAATTGATATTGATAAAGAAGCATGGCTCCAGATTTATTCATTTTTCAACAAACATGCAAAATCCAAGTTGAATTGTTAATACATGTACATGTATTTCTAAAACTCTCACTCATATTTATTTTTTCTTTAATATAGTTTCCAACATTTTTAAATAATAATAAGATCTAGGTGAATATACACCAATTAAATTCAAAACATGACAAACTATGATCCAGATCATTTTTATTCTGTTTTATGCTTTTCTGTAGTTTCTTTATGCAAAATAAAGGTCTATAGGTTTTTTACAAAACATTCCGAAGTTCATTCCATTTTTATCAGCTGAGGATGCCTGTATGATAAGAAGAACTAATTTTGTCAATGACAACAGCTGACAAGTTCTTACATGTATATTACACATAATTATATACACGTATTTATTTCAGTAAAGACAAACACACATTGATCTTACAAATTACATATTACACCTATATAAAGTTTTCCAGGTCCGAAAAAATATACATTGCCTGAAACACAAGTCTTTTATCGTATACCGCAAGTACACGATTATATTTATTTGGAAAGAGTATCATGGTTGATAAAACCATCATGTCTACATGTTGTATTTTTGTTTTTTTTGCATGGACTTGAGATGTCAATACAAAAAGCTAATTAGACCCCCGTTTTTACAAACAGTATACAATATAAAACGATTTCAATCAATCCTGTTTAATTCTATTTCCCTAAAAAACAAAAAAAGGTGTCATTTCTGTAACCTTACTAGAGTTTATATCCACAAACTCTGGGCTGCAAGGGCAGACATCATTTAGCTCCCCACTTTTAAGTGTTTACATGTTTAATTTTGAATAATATTATATTCAACAAAAAATATGATCATACATGGTGTCAGTATTTACCTCTGTGAGATTCCACAACCTTAAGTGTTTTTTCCATTATTTTCTTCACATCATCATTTTTGAACACTGCTCTATCAACACCAAACTTCTCAAAATAATGATCTCTATACTCGTACAAGGCATCTACCTCCTTCTATATAAAACAGTCATAAAATTATCAATATGTTTCAACAAAAATTAAGACAATATTATATAAGCATTTTGAACAAATAGCTAATTAATGCTATAATTATACTAGAGCAGCCACAGGAGTAACAAATACCCCCACCAGCTCTATGAAACAGGACATCATGCAGGTCTATATGACTATATATCATTATTTTTTAAGTTTAACAAGAATCTATGGAAAGCCTCTAATGATAACAAAATAAATTGTAAAAATTGCGAAGTCAGTTTCAGTCTAGTTTATCTGACACAGTGTAAAATGCAACATTAGTACTGTAGAATCTGGTAAATAAGCGTATAAACTCATAATAATTTTAGTGGTACTTTTAGGCATCAGCTCAAACTTAACTATTAAGCCAAATAATGATAATTCATGAGCTTATAGATAATCATAAGCTTGTCCATGGGGAAGCATAGGGAGTTTGGATCCTATCCCTAACAAATGCTTCTATGTTTTTTTCAGAAAAGTGACTTTTCCAGGGGTATTTTTCAGAAAAAAACGCTTTTCATAAGTCACGGTTCAGAACTGTTCACTATTTAAGGGAGAAGGTGTGTAAGCGGCCGGATAGATCAGTCGGTAAAGCTGCAGACCAGTATTCCTAGGGTTCCGGGTTTGAGTCCCAATCAGGCTGTTCATTTTTCTCACCCTGTGACATTTGGCACCAAACGGGGGACTGTGCCTGGAAAAAGTTCAGAGTTTAATTTACATTGCTATGTAACTTTGTGAAATTCAAGGACGGATTTTAATATAGCAGGGGAGTATGTCACGGTTCAGAACTGTTCACTAATTACAGAAGATGTGTAAGCTGCCCGAAAGCTCAGTTGGTAGAGCTGCGAAATGGTAAAGGTCCCTGGTTTGAGTCCAAGTCAGGCTACACATTTTTCTCACCCTGTGACATTTGGCGCCCAACGGGGTATCATGCCTGAATATAGCTCAGAGTTAAATTCACATTGCTCTGTGAAATTCAAGGACAAATTTCAATTTAGCAGGCGTGTATGTCACAGTATAGAACTGTTCCATATTTAGGGGAGAAGATGTGGGCTTGCCAGAGAAGAAGTGGGCTTGCGAGAAGATTTGGGCTTGCAAGAGAAGAAGTGGGCTTGCCAAGATGTGTAAGTGTCCAGATATCTCAGTCAGTACAGCCGTGGTATGGTATTCAGAGGGTCGCACATTCGAGTCCCGGTGCGGCTGCACATTTTTCTCAACCTGTGACACATACTTTACTTTACTTTATCCAGCGTAGGGTCGCGAGATCAGAAATCTCTTATAACCCCCTCGAGGTCTGACACCCAATGATTATTATCCGGTATAACAGTATATAATTTGTTTTTCATAACCTTATCGGGTCTGTTTTTTAGCGAATTCAGCGTTGGTGAACATACTACAGTATCTGGTAATTTATTCCATTCTGGTATTACTCTTAATGAGAAAAAATGTTTTCTTAATTCCTTTTTACATGATTTTATTTTCAACTTCATGGAATTTCCTCTGATGTGATGGTTATCAAGTTGTGCTTTTTCTAAAAATACATTGTAATCTATATCTTCCTTCCCATTTAATAATTTCCATCCTTGTATGATATCACCTCTAAATCTTCTGTAAGCCAACGTAGGAATTTCCAGAATTTTTAATCTTTCTACATACGATAAATTTCTGATACATTGAACCATTTTTGTTGCTCTTTTTTGAACTCTTTCGACTGCTTCAATATCTTTTTTAAATCTTGGACTCCAAATAATATTTCCATATTCAAGATGTGGTCTTATCAGTGTTTTATAAAGTTTACATAGTTTGTCTAGGGTGCCTGCCCACTTGGTACACTGTTGGATAGTTTGATACGAATATTTCTGGAACTTGAACAGGTGGAACAGTGGAATAGATAATCTACTATATTCACGAATTCGAAAACCTAGCTAAACGCTAGCCTAACGGTACTTTCTGTACATAGCTCTGGGGAATTCACCCAATGGAGTGTAATAGCGAACTCGATGTTTTCGGCCTTTTTTAAAATCAAATTGAAATAAAGTAATTATTTCTTTATAAGAAAATAATTAGATATCATTGTATGAATAATTCCATACAAAAAAAAAAGTAAATACACAAGTTAACGCAGAAAATAACCGTATTTATTATGGAAGATTCCACTACGTCTGTTTGAATTTTATTGACTTTCATTATAAACAATTTATTTTTTTGAATAATTTGGAATAGATATTAAAGGAATATTGATAATTTTCAAAAACATCAATTTTTTCACCTTAAACGGTTAAATAATGATAGAAAAATCGAAATATCACGTAACTGTGTTATGTACTTCATTAGTCCAATAGATTAGACGTTACAGGCTTGTTATAGTTTTATGTTGGTCAAGCCTGACGTCTAATAGTTATTGCTCATAAACGCGTAGCATTTTGAAAAAATTAAAAAATGTCTGTTGACTTGCCTTTCAAGCTTTATTCAAAAGCTTATCTTCTGTTCTTTCAATTGCATGGTCTATCATTAACAAAAACTTTCAAACAATGAACTTATCAATTAAAAATAAAATATAGATAGCAGTCTATTCGCTTATCGGCCATACTGGTTAAGTAAAGTGTTTTACAGATTGATTCCAATTTTTTGAACGGAAAAATATATTCGAACACACTGCCGGTGCATGGGCAATTATTTCGTTGAAAAAATATTTCGTTAGATTGTTCTGACTCATTTAAACGCTTGCATTTGAATTAGCCAATCAGATTTCGCGCAATGTATGGCGGCCATTTGTATATCGACTGTACAAGGAATTAAATTAAATGAGAGGATTTAATCATGACTTTTCGGACGTGACAGTTCAATTACTTAGTTAAAAGGTATTCATTTTTTAGTTTTGTTCATGAATAAGTCAAAATTAATGTAAATACACGCTGTTTTAATTGTTTAAATTCATTAGATCTAAATCGATGTCTAATGTCATTTTTTTTGCTACACGATTTTGCAAAGATCTGTTAAGACCTAACGTAACATGGAAAATAAAAAATGTAAAATATCAGATTAATGAATGATAAATATGAAATAGGTTACGTATAGGTCTTATAATTAGGACTAGTACTTCATTTGATGTAATTCCCCAGAGCTAAAACGGTAACGTACCGGAAAACGTAGTCCAATATATTAGACGTTACAGGCTTGTTATAGTTTTTGTCGGTCAAGCCTGACCGACTGTTGCTTTGCCCAGAAGCAAAAATATCTCAAAGCGACGTCATATTTATAGGACTACGGAAAACGGTGTTTACTTTACTTTACTTTATCCAGCGTAGGGTCGCGAGATCAGAAATCTCTTATAACCCCCTCGAGGTCTGACACCCAATGATTATTATCAGGTATAACAGTATATAATTTGTTTTTCATAACCTTATCGAGTCTGTTTTTTAGCGAATTCAGCGTTGGTGAACATACTACAGAATCTGGTAATTTATTCCACTCTGGTATTACTCTTAATGAGAAAAAATGTTTTCTTAATTCCTTTTTACATGATTTTATTTTCAACTTCATGGAATTTCCTCTGATGTGATGATTATCAAGTTGTGCTTTTTCAAAAAATACATTATAATCTATATCTTCCTTCCCATTTAATAATTTCCATGCTTGTATGATATCACCTCTAAATCTTCTGTAAGCCAAAGTAGGAATTTCCAGAATTTTTAATCTTTCTACATACGATAAATTTCTAATACATTTAACCATTTTTGTTGCTCTTTTTTGAACTCTTTCGATTGCTTCAATATCTTTTTTAAATCTTGGACTCCAAATAATATTTCCATATTCAAGGTGTGGTCTTATAAGAGTTTTATAAAGTTTCCGAAATTGCTTGATATTAACATGTAAGAAGGTATTTCTGACCAATCCAGTTATTTTATTTGCTTTATTGATACAATTACTTATGTGATGTCGAAATTTCAAATCCTTATCATATAATATACCTAAATCTCTTTCTTCCTCACTAGACCTCAATTGTTTAGTTGTAAAGTCACTTTTCATAAAATATTGATGTTCCGTGTTATTGTGTCCATAATGAATAACACAGCATTTGTCTACATTAAATTGCATTAACCACTTTTCACTCCATTGTATTAAACTATCATTGTCCTTTTGTATTTGGTTAAAGTCTTCATTTACATTTGCCAGGTTAAATAATTTGGTGTCATCCGCAAAGAGACGCAAGGTACTTTTAATTTGACTTTCAATGTCATTAATGAATATAAGAAACAATATTGGTCCTAAAACACTTCCCTGTGGAACACCACTTGTTACACTACAATAGTCAGATTTACTATTATTAACAAAAACACACACTGAGTTCTGTTTGTAAGGAATGCTTTGATCCATGATAAAAGTGCACCACCAATACCATAAGGATTGCAATTTAAGTATTAGTCTAGAATGTGGAACCATATCAAATGCTTTTTTAAAGTCATAATACAAACAATCAAAATTTCTGCCTTCATCTAACCAATCTGTCCACTTTTCCATGACTTCTAGTAACTGAAGGGCACATGATCTAAGCGATCTAAAACCATATTGGGCAGCAGAGAAAAAGTTGTTAACATTCATATAGTCTACAATATTATTCCTTACTATTTTTTCCAACAATTTACAGGGTATACATGTCAAACTAATTGGTCTATAATTTCCTGGTGAATCTTTACTTCCTTTTTTTAAATAAAGCTTTGATGTTTGCAGTCTTCCAATCCATAGGCAATATTCCAGTTTCTACAGATTCAGTAAATATAAGTGTTAAAGGAGAAACAATTGATGTTCTCAACTCTTTTAAAACCCTTGGGTGAAGCAAATCTGGACCACAAGATTTATTAACATTTAAATTCTCAAGTAGCTTAGACAATACTTCTCCACTGAAATAAATGTCATTTAATGTATTTCCACCACTGCGATTTGTAATATCTGGAAGATTGTTGTTATCTTCAATTTGAAATACACTTTTGAAGAATTTATTAAGTTCATTAGCTTTATCTAGGTCACTTTCTGTATAAGTGCCATTTCACATTTTAAATGAGAAATACCACTTTTTACTTTCTTCTTGGAGTTAGCATATTTATAAAAAGCCTTTTGATTATCTTCTTCTGATATTTTCTTTTCAAAATCTGACCTTGCTTTTCTACATTCCTTTGTTGCAATATTTCTATTGTTACAATAGTTCAAATAGTATCTAAGTTCTTTTGTTTGTTGATATCTATTCCATGATTTATGTTTTCTCTTTACAGCTTTCAAGGCTGTATTTGTCATCCACAAGGGCCTCCGTTCATTTAACACACGTTTAAAATTTCTTCTAGGTATGTGTTTATTTACACTATTTTGAATTTTTTCTTTAAAAATTAACCGGTATAGATGGATACCGAAAATAAGCTATTTTCGCGAAAATAAGATCGGCTACGAAAATAAGATTTATTTTTAAAATAGTGCATTTATACCCAAAATTAACCATTTATCCTCCAGACTTTTGTGCTGAAATTCAATACTCCAATTGATTGAACTCATTTCAAAATTTATGGAAGCGTAATCACCTCTATCATACATAAAGTTCAATTTATTTGGTTCTTCAATTTGCTCTACATTACATATAATGTTAAAAGTCAACAGTATATGATCACTTTTTCCAACTGGTGGAAAGTGTTCCAATTTTTCAATTAAAAACTCTTCATTAGTAAATATGAGGTTTAGCTAGGTTTTCGAAAAGGTCAATAGATCAATAAGTAAAAAAAAACCTAAATTCGTGAAAAAGTATCAACAAGCATCGATGAACTCATTTCAAGTTTGAAGACATTCAATGCAAAATAAATAAACAATAACAATTTACGTTTGCGACAGCAACCGGTGTCAACATGTCAGACGCCATTTTGTTGTTGTTGTTGTATTTATTTTTTTTTTAACATAAATCACGAAATGGACTTCTTTAAAGAACGAAGTGAACTTCATTTCACGAAATGAAGTATTCTTGAAAAGTATAAGAATAGACCTGTTGCACTTCTAAATTTATGTCATTATTCTAAATTTCTTTATAAAGATATAGTAATAAAAGAAAGTTATTAATCTGAAATATCTGTTTTGTTTTATTTTATTGCAGAAATCACATTATTCATAATACAGTAGCCCAATTAAAAAATGGTGCATATCCTGCATTGTATTTAAAAATACAGTACACAGGTAACAGTCCATAATTTAAAAGAAAAAAAAAGAAAAAACAAACAAACAGAAGAAAACATAATAATAACAATACACAAGATACAAGATACCACCACTATGCAGTGCTGATGCTCAACTTTGTCTTTTTTCTAAAGTCAAACACATCGCAGGAAGAATACAGTATTGTAGTAATTATATAATACTCATAAAGACATTATTTTCTTATACAAAATATGATTGAATTTTCATTATGACATATTTGAACTTTGACGGTCAAGGTGATTTACAGATTAAGGTCAGGCTACATATCTGAGAATTGTCATAAGTATTGTTTTGTCAAAGTATGAATCAACAAAATTTGTCAGTTATAATAATAATGATAACAACAGTGAACACTATGACAATTTAAGCAAATCTCAATGATTTGACCTTGACAGTTAATAAGGTCAATTGAAGGTCACATATGCATTTTCAACATAGGGATTTTGTCACATTGAGGGTTCTTTAGTCCAAATTGGCAAAATTTATATCAAATTCATAAATAAATACATGTAACATAGTTATGACATTATTTTGATATTATGTTATCTGTTCTAAATTATTTATACAGTACTTTGTAAATAGTTTATCAAATTTCCAATTCTTTGGTGAAAGTAATTCAAGTAAAAATCAAAACACATTTAGTACATAAACAACAATCTAATTAAGATAAATGACATCATTTAATTGACCTTGAATTTAAATGTCAAGGTCATATTTGAATTAATGAACATGTCATATTTATTATAAGTGTTCTTTTGTCAAAGTATAAATCAAATATATAAAGAAAAAATTAAGTGACCACAAATTGGAACAAAATTCACATTTTTAACTGTTAATGTCAAGGTCAAATAAAGGTGAGGGTAAAATTCAATTAAATTTTCTTTTATTGTTGTGCCAAATTACATTTGTTACTAACAAGGTTATCACCAATATTAGCAAAAACTGTGAAATTACAATAATTTGACCTTCAAGGTAAGGGTCATTTAAGAGTCAAGGTCAAATTAAATTTGAGCTTCTTTAACATTATTCAAACAGCTGTTGTGTTCAATTAAAAAGAAAATCCATTCCTAAATAACAAACTTATTGCCAATTATGATAAAAAAAAGTCAAGAAGAATTTAATAATTTGACCCTCGAGGTCAAGGTCATTGTTGGGTAAAGGCCTATTTGAAAGTCTTGTCTAAAAGATAATTTTGTCCAAGTATGATGATAATCCATTCATAAATAACAAAGTTATAGCCAATTTTACCAAAAATCAATCTAACTCAACCCAAAGGAATAAAACCAATTGCAAGTTCCTACCAAATATGAAAGACATATATGCCAATAAAGGCTGTATAGGCAAAAGTGTAAAAATCTGTTTTTGGCACTGGTAGCCTGGACCCAAATGATCCCTAACACCATCAAATGGTTACCTTGACCCCAGTGACCCCTTACTCTACATAAAATTTAAGATAAGTCCAACTTGCCGGAATAAAATAACTTTAAGAAATATTAAGTTTGGTTTAAAAAGTTCTTCAAATGGACTTATGGACCAACAATAGCATATTCAAGCTACCTGAACAAAAAAGCTTGGGACAAGTGGTTAATGTCGTTGACTTCAAACCACTTGCCTCTCACTGCTGTAGATTTTAATCCTGCCAAGGTCTTTGGATCTTTTCTTGTGAGGAAGCTATATCTAGCTAGCGTACAGAATGTCGGTGGTTCTACTCAGGTGCCGGTTGTGTCGAAATAATGAATGAAATGATCACCAGTAAAGCTGAGAAGATGGTTATATAACCTTTCCGTGTTGATGTGATGTGAAACTCAACCATAAAAAATGTATCACAGATTCTACACAAGGTAAAACCTAAATTCAACCAATTTCTCTGCCACAATCAACAACAAAAAAAAATATGAAAAGAAACTAAACAAACCCAAAATTTTAATTTATCAAAAATTTATTTGCAGCTAAAGTTGCATAAATAATACATTTTAAAGCCACTGTAATTTAAGGGCAAGATTTTTCATGCCAAAACCTGTCAAGGAAAAGTAAGTGCTAGACTAGTAACAGTTCTATGTAACATTTTTTTTTTACAATGTTATTCTTTAAATCAGAAAACAAAAAGATGGTCTTTATAAAAATAGTTTTTTTACATAAAGATATTTATGCATAGGAATAATATACAATATGTTTAAGTCTGGCTTATCAATAACCACATTTTTTATATTTGCTGTAATCTGACTTGTGTTCAGAATTAGGTTCACACCCCAAAGCAAAAATAAAGTTTCAAAATGTTCATGATGATATATATTTATAACATGGAATGATTAAGGACCACTCTCATCAAAAATAAGTCACACCAATAGTCATACATGTATAGACATATACAATGTATGGTACACAGCCATCCGGTTAGCTCAATAGGTAGAGCATTAGACTAAGCATCTGGCAACCTGGGTTTGATTCCTGCAGGTCACTTTAGTTGTGATTGATCATAAAAATCCTTTATACCATCATCTGCACTGTACATCTGCTCTGGCATGTACAGAAGTTACCAGTTCCTTGAGAAAGTGATGGCAACTGGTGAATGGCTTGACAGCTTACCAAGGAACGGTGTGGTGGCTGAACTGTGCTATGGTACATTCAATGTGGCATCCTGTCGTGATCTGGGTGGTAAACTACCAACACTACCACCACCTTATATGGTACACTTTAACTCAGGAAGAGATAATACACATGTATGTATTTCTACACAACTTCACATGTTTACACATTTCATGTGCATATTGTGCAAAATGGGTTTTTAATTCACCGAGGTGGAGTTATGAAATAATTTTCATTTACAGTAAAATCTTGTTTGTAAAATATATATTATCCCTTATTTACAATGTATAGATAATAATTCAAATCAAGAACTCGATACAAAATGTATTGTACCTCATTTGAAATGAAAACAGGGACAGTGCCATTTACACACAAAATCTGCTTAATCATGCTACCCCATCATATTTAAATAGCACAATATTTGAAAATGAAATAAATCATGTCACATATCCCAATGTAATTATATCACAAATGTTTGAAAATGAAGCAAGTTAATCATGTCAATGAAGTCTTAGAGCTATATCATCCCTGTCAATTTCCCACAATGCCTCAGCCATTAATCTGACATTGGCTGCCCTTCCGTTTCTCTGGATCCATCGCTGAATTCCTTGGTACATGATCTGTTGATATAAAAGACAAAAGTTATTTCTCTATTACTCTTCTGAACCGATATAAAATACATGTGCTGTAAAATTCCTATTAAACTCCCCTCCCCTGATAAAGGCCTCCCACCCCAAAGTTTTTTGATAAGGAAAATATCTACTCAACAGTGCTGAACTCAAGAGTAAATCTATAATTTTATTCAAATCCTTCAGAGTCCATTTCATTTTATAGTAAACACAAAAATGCAAAATATAAACTTTAAATCTTGAATGCTTTTTAATGTAATTATAAAAATTTGCTTAACACCAAACTGTAAACCATATTTACAATGATTTTTGGATTTTGGAAAAACTGTGTTTAATAGGAATTCTACGGTAAGTACTTGTCTTGATTTAAATCTTGATGTGAAGTTGAAAGATTTCAATACCAAAATTATAAATTTGAGAATTGTAAGTAACAGTGTCTTCATGGAAATTGGTTGACTGGTTGTGCAGTTGCAACACTTGGATAATACATGTACATAGTCACTGGTTGACGTAGTTTCACACAAAAGAACACATGGTTTTGTTTGTGATACTGCTTGTGGACAGTTAATTGAGCAATATGAATAGAAAAGTTGGGGCTAAATTCCAAAAGGTCTGATACAGTACAAAGTTGTTTGTTATATCATTTTACAAAATTTGTTTGAAAATTTTCTTTGCTCAATTCTTGAAAAACATGCAAAAGTAACATTTCTGTTTTAAAAATCTTGGAAAGTGGAATTTCTTTTCTGTTTATTTTTCTTTTATAACTCAAAACAATGGTACTCAAACATCAGCTCTTTACACCTTGTTTTTATATTCAGATTGGACAATAATTTTTAATTTATTTAAAGGTCATCAAAAAGTCATCAACATAACTACATGTACAGTTTACATGTACCACTCTTAAAGAAAAAGTTTCTAATATGGGATACCAGTCACCACTACAAAAAATTGAATATGACAAAAAAGATTACCTCATACAGACCACTAGAATAGTAGTCAAACTGAAGTTGTTCGATGTCTGCCTCTGTCATATCTAACTGTCGACACAGACGTTTCCAATCTTTACCTATCTCCACGGCAACCATGTCAATATGGTCCATAGACAACGCATTTGTGCTGGCTATAGTATGAAATATAAGTAAAAGTTAAGTAATCAATGGTATATGAAAAAAAAAATACTTATTGATTATAATACAATTATATGATGAGAAGAAAACTGGTATATGAAAAAAAAACTCATTGATAATAATACAATTAAACAAACTTAACAATATGAAGAAAACAATGTGCTTTACTACAAATATTGAATTTAATAGACTTTTTATTTATTTATTGCAATATATTAGTTTATAATCTTACAGTCAACTGATGATAAAAATAAATCTATTTATTTATCAGAAAAAATTATGTACAGTTCATTCTCATCCTAATTTCAATGAACCAGGCATTTCACTTTGAGATAAATGATGTTTGAGTTACGAGGAGCTTCTGTCAAAACCTTGTCCTACATGAACATACCTGGTTGAATGTCCCAAGTTGAAGATTTATTGCAAATGAAAACAGGCATGTCACATATAAATACAAGGAATTATAATGAGAATTTAAAAATTCTTTGACTTATCCGCAATCTCAAGTAATCAAACAACTTTCAGTTACTGAGAGTCAACTGTACCTATAATGGCGTTAAAAACAAATTATTATTCCATCATATGGCAGCAATTACAAAAATGTAGTGAAGAGCAAGTTAAAAAGTAAATTTGACATACTTGTCAGCTGAGTTTTTTGACACTTTTGTTTTTTCTTCTTGTCATTCTTCTTTCTATTTCCACTGTCATTCACTACCATCACATTTTTGTTACCAATCTGTAGATTAGGTGGAAGCTCATGGTCAGGGTCCATCTGTATTGTAGTAATTCCACCACCAGCTGTAAAATACAGTTTTAACATCAAAGTACAGTAAACTTCACTTATAACGATATTCAGAGGACCGCAAAGTTTATATTGTTATATCCTGATATCGCTATATCCAAGAGGCAAATAGCATCGTTATAGGTGGTAAGTCGTTATAAGTGATACCATTATAAGTGGAGTTTATTGTATTCCATCCAGCAACAGCTGGTATAAATTTTGTCAACTTAACCATGTGTGTGTATTCAATGCTTAATGAGCGCACTCACTGTCTGTCTAGAGCATGCTCATTGATTGGCTCATTTTTTCTGGGGTTTTATTTTGATGACAGGGAAAGGGATAACGATAATAAAGTCACATTTAGATGCTTGTACATTGGTTAATTTTTTCTGGGGTTTAATATTGTGACGACAGGGAACTTTATTTTATTTTTGCCTATGATACAAAAGAGAAAGAACATTAAAATACTCGGCAATCTCATAGCCTTGTGTTTTGATGCTTAACCTGCAGAATTTGTGTAATGTATTTTGTATCTTTCAGTCCATCTAAAAATTGAGGGATTTCAATATCAAAATACAATAAATAAGTTATCAAAAGTAATAAAGCCTAGTCATACTGCACGGACATGGAGAAACGGGCATCAATGTTACTAAACTAAAAATTACGCATCAATTCCGTTGGACTTTTTTCTATATAAATTACATGTATCATTATAAATTACATGTATCATTATTAATTAATCTAGGTTTTCTTTTTCATCTTAAGAAAATTAAAAAAAAGACAAACTGCAGTAAATATTAAAATGAGAACTATAATTACCATGCTTATGATAAATAGTAAAAGGTTGTTTCTGGCTACTGCCACTTGTGTTAACGTCAGGATTAGCGTCTAATCCACCTGTATTTGCCTGTAAAATCAATGTAAATATTATAATTTATTAATCTTAAAGATCCTGTAACACATTTTTTTCATGGTTTTATATAAAAAATATGATGTTCAAATTAAGCTTTGTCAATATTGTAAGTTCCAATAAGCATTATTTGTAAAGATATTACCGAAATTAACATTTCATGTTAATAAAGGGAAGTAATTAGAAATTCATTTTCTATTAATTCTAAGTCAAATTTTCCAATAAGAAATGAATGCATATAATTTATTTATTAAATATAATGTGCACAAATATTTGCAGTACACATTTTACATATTCTTCGATGTTTGAAAATTATTTTATTTGCATAATAATATACATATATAACTTTTTGCATGTGTGGTATACACACAGTAATAATATCAACCACAAAACATACAGGATCTTTAAAACCCCTTTGATACCAAATATCTGATGACCAATGTATAACAAATTATATCATAGATTAAAAAAGAAAATGAAATTATATAGATTATCGAAAAAACTTGGGATTATCAGAAAAAAAATTAAACAAACAAGACCATAAGATTCTTGCATCTCAGACAGGATTTTCTTGCATCTCAGACAGGATTATCTACTGTTTACACCGGTGCTAGAAAACTCTGTCTTACACCCCCCATGTAAGACAAGTCGCGTGCTTTAAATGACGTCATTGACGCGCGACTTGAATGAATTTGAAAATAGGGCCTTAAATGAATGAATCGCGTTCTTAGGATGACGTCATTTTTCCATTATGAATGAAGTTGTATGTTCATACGCTACTATAAGAAAAAAGTGCGTAATGAGAATATCAGTTTTCATAATTTCTGTAGCGAAAAAAATTGACATGTAATATGCAAGAAAAAGAATCAAACACCGGCTGTTTGTACAGACGGGAATATCTAGCTCTCGGGGAAACTGTTTAGCGGAAACTCGGCAGAGCCTCGTTACCGCTGTAAACAGTTACCCTCGAGCTAGATATTCCGGTCTGTACCGGCAGCCGGTGTAAGATTCTTATATTCTGTCTCCAATTTATGTATTTGAAAATTAAAATTAGAGTCTTTATCTTACTCCTTATGTAACTGAAAAGTTGGGGTCTTTTTTTAGCATAGAATCAAAGAAATGGTTGAACCTGATTAGGTGACTGCTGGGTACTTCTGTTGTACGTTTCTCCAGGTCTAATCTGGTCACGACTCTCAACAGGCGATACAGGTCTCCTTGATGCTACATTCTGCTGAGAAGCCGCACCATTCTGCCTCGACACTGATTCACTTGGCCCAACTGGTACAAAAGGAGCTTCCCTGTTTGAAGTCTGACCTTGAACTCCACCAGTTTGTTGAGCTGGTTGACCAAATATAACTTGCCTTTGGTCAGGCGCAATTAACCTTTGCCCGGAACCAGTTCCTGTTAATGTTTGCTGGGAACCGTCTCCAACTCTCGGGTGCTGGAAAGGTGGATTACTTTGCCTTACAGCAGGAATTTGACTGTTTGGAACAGCTTGCGCCGTTGGCTGTCCAAATATTTGTTTTTGTTGTGATTGAAATGGTCTAACTGGTTGTCTTGGTAACTTTTGCTGTGAAAGCTGGACAGCTGGAGTAACAAAGGCATGTGACTGGGGTGTTGAAACAGCTGCTGTAGTAACAACAGGCCATTGAGGATTGGTGGGTTTTCGAGCTGAATTTGACACCGTGTCTGGTGCCGGATGCATTCTAAAAGAGTTGGCTTCTGCTCCTGAATATGCCGTCTGCTGCTGATGCTGTTGTTGTTGCTGCTGCTGTGAAGCAGATTTTTGAGACCTTGCCTGCATTTCGCTGTTGGGATTTTGTCCACTTAACTGGTCAACAGACACCTGTGTGAGTAATTGAGTCCTGAAGAAAAAATACAGCAAAATGACATATATACTCTCTTTATTTAATTTTAGAATACATGTGAATATACTATATTATCAACCTTAAATTATGGACTGGTTGTGAGTGTAACCTGAATTGAAAATCATCAACCACATCTTATGGTTGTGAGTGTAAATCCCAATAAGGGTTTAAAGCCAAATTAAGATATTAATTTTCAGGAAACTAATTTGTTTGCATACAGTTAACATATGATGGACAAAGTTTAGTTTGAAATGATGGGCATCCAGGTACTTCAACAATTTTATGTGATTACTCTACTCAGGAGTATTGAAAACAAATACAAGTATAATTATCTAGTTAAAAATGCAGAACTGGCATTAACAAATCTGTTCATGATCCAAAAAAAAAAACAACAACAACAAAATATAGCATGATTTGCTGTTATAAAAACCTTAAAGTGCAATGCAATTATTTGAACAACCAGGTCCAGATGCATAAAATCAATCTTTGAAAAAAAAAATAAGAAATGTTTAATTAATCACAATCCAGGTAAAGTTTTGAATGTATTATTTAAATATGACATATATTTACTACTTTTATCACAAAAATATTCTACTTTAGCTGCTAATAATAGAATAAGAAAGATTTCTGAATATTTGACAAATTATAGATAAAATTTCTGTATATATATTAAATCCTTTAGGTTAGGTTCTATCATATAATTTGTATACTTCACAACATTTCTACTCATAACAACAATTTTTAAGTTTTCATAAAATTATTTAAAAAATCTGGAAGCATGCTGCTTTAAAAGTGTTGGTATATATTATACAAGGAGCGTAACTCAATGCATAATATAATATATTACCCTCCAGTTTGAGTAACCTCCCTTGTACAGCTATTGGCTGGTCTCTGTACGGTCTCAGATTGCCTGGTCTCAACTGTGAACTGACCTCCATTTGAAATTCTAAATGCATAAGCACAAGAAATAATATATCATTATAGCATAACTTCCAAGTTAACAATTTATCAGGCATTAAGAAATTCAGCCTGGCATTTTGCTTTAATGAAACATTTTTTTTGTGGCTGTATTTTTATAATTCCTTTTTGTTTTAAGCACATATATAATATTATAAGAATTATCATTTTCTACTTTGCATTGAACAACAAAGCTGCCTTACTGTAGAACATTTTTCTCTGTTTACATTGTACATGTAGCCCGGGGTTCTATGATATCATGGTACTTAACGTTTATCAGAAAATATTTAAATATAAATATCATAAATGAATGAGATTTTTATTCCATCTTATAATTAAACCTTTTCCAGAACTGTTTGTCAAAAAATTATTTCAAAAGAACCAATAAAAATGACATTTTTTAGAATATTTTCAATGTCTGCCATTTTGGGTAATTTCAGAGGAGGTTACTACGGTATCAAGGTAATCCCAAAAAAAGCAAGTATGGAAAGATAGATGGGTCAAAACTTTCAAGTTAAGTTGTGAAAAACTTCCAACAGTTAACTTGCTATGAAATTAAAACTATATGAACAGACTATATGTCAGTATATGTGTTTATAACATATTTTAATTGACTGTGTAAAAACCATTAAGGAAAATGGTAGTCAAATATGAAGGTTTTATAAAATAGTTTTCTTGCCACAAATACATTCATTATTCACCAAATTAAATTTATTGGCATACGAAAATGAATCTAGTGTGCAAGTTTTACAAATATTAGCATCATCGTGCGTTGCTTTTACTAGCAGTCACAGAAAATTTAAATACCTTGATATCATAGAACCCTTGATATCATAGGAACCGAGTATATATTTGCATAGACATTACAATTATGCAACAAATCTTTCAAGAAATGACCATTGGGTTAAAGAAACAACATGATTATACTGTTTTTATTTAAATTTTCATAAATATATTTCATCAAATATAGCTTTATACACCAATTCACTTACTTTGAAAGGTTTGCAAGTGCATCAGGACTTTTCAGTATTGTCTCGTACAAGCCCGGATTACTGACACTCAAGTTTGACAGCAACTCCTCCAAACCTGTATCTCCCTTGAATAATGTGTCACCATCATCATCGCCTTCCTCCCCAGCACGACCTTCACTGTTGCCATTAGCAACAGGTTCATTTTGTATTACAGTAGCACGACCTTCACTGTTGCCGTTAGCAACAGGTTCATTTTGTATTACAGTAGACTCTGGTTGGGCTATTGGTCCATGAGGATGACTAAGCATGGCACCAGGTGTGTACTGTTTATTCATGACTGAAACAAAACCGGATAGGCCAACCTCAGCTTGTTGAGGCTCATTGTTTGTACACTGAAATGGATTGATTCCAACTTGATTTGTTTCATAAATAGGAACTTGAGCCAGCGTATTGTTTCTTAAGGCTTCTCCTTCATACTGGACTGATTTACCGTTTGGAATTTGGGTAGGCCTACCCATTGCTTGAAGTCTTGGTCTTACGGCTGCGTAACCAGCTTGTGTGTTCACTTGAGCCCTTACATTACCACCACTGTTAGGCAGTGTCTGGACCAAAGTTTCAGAATTGTTTTGGGAAGTTTTTTCATAACCATTTGCTTGTAACGTAGGTGGAAATTTAACTTCTTCATCATCTACACCATTAGTTTGCTTCGTATCCTGTTCTATTTCTTTCTTTACAGAGGCATTCATACTACCATCCTGCTCTTCTAATTCTCCTCTCTCAGTATCTAGTTCAATGTTTAATGATCCATTATGTGTACTTGGCTTAGCATCAAGTGATTCTCCATCTTCACTTTCCTGCCCATTACATAACTCATAGCCATTACGCGACCAGTGCATAGTACATTCATAGTGATCTGTTGACTCTGGCTGCAAAAAAAAAAATAGAAAAAGGCTTTCTTAAAGTAACATCTTAGATACATGTATTTGGTTAGATTATTGTTTAAAATGGCTTGAAATTTTGTAAAATATTCTTTTTTTTTATAATAACAGCTAAGTTTACTGTATGATGCACAGACTTATACATTTCAATTGTTTGAAAATTTAACATTCTTGGATTTTTTTAAGTAAATAATATAAAATTTTTTTTAAATAAAACAAATAACCCATATTTCGGCATTGTTTGACAAAAAAAAGTTGCCAAGTAGACACCAAAAAGGGCTTCCTAAATTACTTGTATTTCAGCATTGTTGGACAAAAAAGTTGTAAGAGAGATAAAAGAAAGGGCTTTCTTCAATACATATCTGTTTAGAAAATATCCCACCTCAATACTTTAAACAGAATCGATATCAGTACAAAGCAGTTACAATGTATATATAAATAGTATTTGCAAATATGATACTATTTATTTATCATTTTGAACTCCCAAAACATTGTTAAACATTTATACCAGCCCAAATGAAATTTTACTAGACTGGGGCTATGACATTATTTAAGTCCGTATCATAGTCATTTTGTAATAAGCCTTTGTCCCTTATTTAGGTTTCAAGTTTCACTGACACTGCTGAGGTCAGATATGGGTACATGAAAATGGCACCTAAGCAGAACCTTTGACCCATCATGAGCTTACAAGACAGCTTTTTCACACACAAAAATTAGTTACTGTTTTATCAAATAATACCATGCAAAATATCTTAAATGGACTTGTCCATCTTATAGCCCTGACAAAACCATTCATCATTTTTAGGTAAAATTAACAAAATAAACACTGATTAAATAGTGAACAGTGCAGTAATTGATCAGATAGTACAGATGTGCTGGCTGATCTTGGTCTGCACTGGTCACATGTGTAAAATTTGTTGCCACCATCAGGCAAAGGTTTAAATACATAAAACAAGGAACCTTACATCTTCTTGCCAAAAAGCCTCAATCTGTGTCCTAATGTATTTGAAATATTCAGGTAGTTTGTTCTGGACACTGTTGAACAATGGTTCAATTTTCTTCTCCAAGTCTGAAATATTCAAATATATAATATTTCATCATTTATTCTGTCAAAAGCATGTTTTAATGACACATTTCTCTCTTTATTTCAAGGTCATTTTGTTTCAAATCAGTTAGTTTTGCCTTTTGAAACTATGAAGTTAAACTGTACTACTTTTGACAGAAAAAAATGTTTGATTTGCTAGTATATTTTCTAATACATACAAGATATGTAAAGTTGACTTTTTAACAATTATGCCAGCATAATTCACACACAAGAAACATGGCAATGCCATGAAACCAGGTTTTCAATTTTCACCATTGTAGATAAATATGTTGTATTTGAAATACAAATACAAGCAACAAACAATGTAACTATGTGCAATGTAAAACATGAATAATGTAGGAGGAATTGCCACAGAGGAAGTGTTCACTATAATTACATTCTGTATAAGGAAAAAAAACAAAGGGCCATAATTAAATAAAAAATTATTCAATCACAAAACCCCGACAATATGCGCCAGGGCACTGGATAAAAAAGCTACTGTGAAAGTTTGAACAAAATTCGTTGAGAAATGTAGGAGTTCAGCACAGAAGAATTTTTTCACTATATATTCTGTATAAGGAAAAATAACAAAGGGCCATAATTAGGTCAAATATTATCCAATCACAAAACCCCTAAAATGTGCGCCAGGGCACTTGATGACAAAGGCTCTGTGAAAGTTTGGTCAAAATCTGTTGAGAAATGTAGGAGAAGTTGCGCATGGTAAAAATTGTTCACTATATAATCTGTATAAGGAAAAAAAACAAAGGGCCATAATTAGGTCAAATATTATCCAATCACAAAACCCCGACAATATGCGCCAGGGCACTTGATGACAAAGCCTCTGTGAAAGTTTGGTCAAAATCCATTGAGAAATGTAGGAACAGTTGGGCACAGAAGAAGTTATTCACTATATATTCTATATAAGGAAAAAAAACAAAGGGCCATAATTAGGTCAAATATTATCCAATCACAAAACCCCGACAATATGCGCCAGGTCACTTGATGACAAAGCTTCTGTGAAAGTTTGGTCAAAATCCGTTGAAAAATGTAGGAGGAGTTGCGCACAGAAGAAATTGTTTACGCCCGCCCGTCCATCCGCCCGCCGACATACCTTAATCTAATAACCAGTTTTTTCCTTCGGAAAACCTGGTTAAGAAAACCTGGTTAAAAATATGCTTGCATAATTTACACTCATGCATAACTTATGTTATACATGAATTATGCTTGTAGTTTTCCTAACATACATCAGATATGCTTGCATAATACCTAATACATGTATACATCAGAATATTCTTGTATACCCGGAAATAACTAAAATCAAAATGCATCTGATTGTTCAGAATCTTATCAGAATGTTTTTAACATCTATAGTTTATAACACTTGGCATATAATACATGTAATACTACACTTTACAAACCTTTAAATGTTGGTCTGAATGCTGGGTTATGGTCCCAGGATAATTGTATCATGTCTTTTATTTCACGTGGAGAATCTTTTACAAGGGCATTCAAATCTGGACGCTGGTTATTTAACACTGCATTACGTATCAACTCATCTTTGTCCCCACAATCTGAGAATAAGCAGAATACAGTTTATAAATTAGCCATTCTAACACTGTCTGCAACACTTCTTAACATAATCTAAAACACACTGTAAAACAATCTATTAATTATTTTGTAATGTTATATTTCAATTATGCATGATTATAAGACTTAAAGGCTATAAAGTTATATAGAAACTGGGACATAACATAGTGGGACAAGCAACTACTGACAAGCTGTCTTATGTTGGTGTTCAATTAAAAACCGTTCAATCCATAAGTGTAGAGTTTAAATCATATTCATAAGTGTAGAGTTTAAATCACATATGAGCCGCGTCATGACAAAACCAACATAGAGCGCGCAATCTGATCAGGATCCATGCTGGTTGCAAACGCACTATGTTGGTTTTTTCATGGCGTAGCTCATATTTATGCTGTTATTTTAAAAAGATAAATTATTAAATTTCCATATAATTCATGTAAGGACCATTTAAGGACCAGTTGGAATTATTCTTTCTTAAAATTCACACAACAGTTTTGTGATCTATAATCAACAAATATTTAGCTTTATAAACTTTATTTCAAAAATGTATCAAGCGTCTTACTTGCATATGGTACTAGACCGGAGAAAATCTCCCACAATGTAATTGCAAATGCATACACGTCTTCTTCCATAGCCCCTTTTTTGTTAATGTCCCTAAAGACTTCAGGTGGTATATGTGAGAGTGTCCCACATCGAGGGCCTGCTGATAGAGGTTGCGTCTTGCTGAATGTCATAGTTACAGTTTTCCACTCAGACAGCCCAAAATCACTTATCTGTAAAACATTAAATACAATACAAAGCAGAAATCCATGATAAGCTATGACTTTAAATGATTCTATCTTTTTACCCCAGTCTTATTACAAGCTTGATGTAAAAAAAGGCAGAATTGAAATGTTTTTATAATACCGTTTGTAATGTTGCTTTTCATTCACGGGATAAGCGTGACATTATATAGTTCTATATACAAGACGGCTGTTAACTTGTAAAAAAATTTCCCTTTTTTCTCTAAAAAATGAAGTTTGCTGTACTATAACGTTATAATTATTCCTGACAGGTTATATGGCCATATATAAATGGTTCTTTGCAATATAACCCTTGAATGGCAGATTGCTGGATTTCTGGATGAAATTTTCTGAAAGAGTAAATTATAAAAAAGCTATTTTAGTGTACAAGTCCCTTAACAATCTTCTCCCTGATTATATGCAAAATCTTTTTACTTACACAGAAAATACACAATTAAGATCATATCAACAAAAACAACTTCAAATCCCAAAACCTAGACTTGAGTTCTGCAGAAAATCTTTATCATATTCAGGGTCAAAACTTTGGAATTCTCTTCCCTTAGATATCAGAAATTTTATATTCTTATATAATGTTTTTTCCCTAGATTTTCGTTTTACTTGTTTCTTAACTACAATGTATTTGTAATTTTGTTGTTGTTTTATCATACCTTTTGTTTGTAAATGTTTATATTATGTACATTGTATATTTGATAGAGGCTCATAGGGAAGACTGGGCATGCCCAACTATGTTGCCTCTTTAAATAAAGTCTTTATTATTATTATTATAATTATTATTATTGCAACCATTTATATATGGCCATATAACCTGTCAAAAACCTTTATAACTAATAAAATTGCACAGGGAAAAATATAAAATCTCAAATTTAGTCTTTCTTCAAATTTTTCTATATTAAATCACAAGAAATCAAAAGAAAAGGTTGATCTGCTATCCATATTATCATATATAATTATCATATAATTATCATATTATATCATAAAATTATGTTAATTTACTTCATCAATTTATTTGTACAGAATGAACAATACTGCAAAAGACAAAATATTTTAGAATTTTAAATGAAAATTTAGGATTCTCAGGAAAATAAGAAACCTCTGACAATCTCAAAATATTTGATATTAAAAGCTATGTGTTGTTGTTTACCTCTGAATTTTAAACAGTAGTTCTGACAAAATGAGTAAAAAGCAGTTATATGATGGATCATTGACTAATTTTTTTACCTTTGCAGTTAAGTTGTTGTTGATAAGTACATTTTCTGCTTTAAGATCAAGATGTTTCATAGGGGGTGACCGAGAGTGAAGCCAAGCCATTGCCGAAATAATCTGATAAGCAAATTGAACACGGATCGGAACATGAACTGTAAAAGATAATCATAATAACATTATCAAACAACCAGGTCTTTTGTGTAGATTTTATATAGGAACATATCATAAGAGAGAATAGCATTGATGCCCCTTATGGCAGAGGAGTTGCTTTTAAGGGTTGAGGCATCAGAATTAAAGCCATTGTTTAACCCTGTGTGATCATAAGAGGCAACTAAATGGGTTTCGAATAACTAGAGTCTATGAATCTCCTACATTGTAGCTCCAGCAATGGAGATGGTTTTGACCCCTGGTGTTGCTTGAAGTTTGTAATACCTCAGGTTAGCCAAAATCATCTTTCCTGTTCCAGTGCCATATGACCTAAATTGTGTAGGTGCACCATAAAACCAAACAAAACAAAAAAAAATAAAAAGAAAAGCACCGATGCTTCAAAAGTGCATAAAGAAACAATTTTGTAAAAAAAAGAATGTCTTTTTTTTACAAGCAATAACAGTAATTATGATTATTATCAATTTGTACAATGTGCATCAAATTGACATCATACTTGATATTATGATCTCATGTGAACATTTTTCTTGTCAAAGAGGAGTGTGGAATTTCGGGTTCACAACAATATGATACTATAACTTTGATAGAGGCAGACATGAAGTGATTGCAAACTTTGCTCAAGCAAGCAAAACGTTTTCTAACTTGGCAAAATGGCAACCGAGTCATGAAAATTTATAACGACCACCAGTATTTTTTCCAGGTAAGTCGGATTGTATGTTATTTCTAGAAATCTTTGAATACGTCCATTCATTAAGGCAATGTTTATTACACACTCAGTTTTACATTTCAGCTTACAAGATATAAACAGGACATGTATACAACAGACCTTCTATGTCTGGTCTTGAGTCGTATCTAGACATCATTTGGAACTGTGAATATAATTATATATTAACTAACAGATGTAAAATATTACTGTATTTACTTCATAACTTACCTATGTAATTCTTTATAAATGAAATACTAGTGCCAAAATGCATATATTCCAACACAAGGCTGTAGTTATTAGTTTCCATTACTACACCAATCAATTTAAGGACAAATGGGTGGTCACATACAGCTCGGAGTTTCCTTGCTTCCCTCTTTAAATCATTTCTTTGCCTGTAATAACATAATCAAATTAACTCATACAATGCTGAAACTGACACTGTAAAGCCTTTGCAGGGCCGACAAAATCTGATTTTGACTTACTTGTCCGTTTTTATCTGAAGCATTTCTTATTTTGTCCGTATGATATTTACATAGTTAATTCTTGAAAATTTTCACTTGCCCGTACAGGCGGTGGGACAATCTGGGCAATACAGACAATTGATTTTGCTGACCTGCTTTGTCATCAGTATATAGTCATACCCATCTGCATGTCTGTCCAGTCTAACAAAGCGTTATTCTTATCACAGTATTGAACCATCACTAATTAAAGACAGATGGCTTCAAACTTTCAAGTTTTCATAGTAATATCTGCATATCACTAAAACTGATATAATCACTTTGAAGTAATGAGCCAATCAAATATCTAACTTTGACAAAGAGCGCAATAATGGCATTTATAATAGTACTTCTTATATTTTTATATATTCTTATATTTATATTTTTAAATTTCAATATTTCATAAATAATCATTATTATTATTTAGTATTAATTTTATCAATAAATAAAAAAACTTACGTCCTTGGAATATCTCCAGTGTCACTCAGCATTTTGACTGCCACATCAGTACCTTTGTATTTTCCCATGTATACTGAGCCATAGCCACCTCTTCCCAACAGACCATTTGTACTCTTATCAATCTGAAGATCTTTTGATTTGATTTCAATGTCTAGCATAAATGCTGCGGTTTGATTTCTGTAAGCCATTTTTCTCCTGTTGGAAGAAAATTTGTTCAAATAATGTACCAATAATAGTTTAAAGTGACATTATAATGACCATAAAGTGTAAATAATGCATGTACAGGTAAATGTTAAAATAACTACATTTTGCCATTTTTTTATTTTTAATTTTATATTCTACTTCACATATATAATCAATAATATTCATTTAATTGATAAAAAGACTGAAATAGTGGAAAATACACAAAGAAGAGCTTCAAAAATAATCCCTGAACTAATAGGACTCACTCATGAACAAAGATTACAGGAATTTACCAACCCTTGAATACAGATGTCAATGTGGAGATATGATACATTACTAAGTATTTACAAAATAGATGATTATGAAAAGTTGTTCAAAATATCTGTAACAAATTACAATATCACTCACAGGACATATTTGTGTTAGAGACGTTAAGAAAAGTTAATAAGACAAAATTCCTTCGCTTATGGCTTGTAAATCATGGAATCACTAGCTACCACCACTGCCACCACGCCATTATAATGAATCTAGATCAATACACAAGAGTATAATCAAATCAAGAGTATAATCAAATACGTGATTTAATATATGAACAAATGGCGTAGTTCAGAGAAGGGGAGAGAAATACATCATTCAGTCCTAAACAGGCAAAGTTCCGAATGTATGTACATACAACACAGTCTGGCACAGTGAAATAGTTTTATCCGAGAATGTGAGTATGTTTCAACCAAAATTAGATAAGCACTGACAGTGTTAAAGGTTCAAACTTGATGATACATGTATATTGACCAATAACGAAATTGACAACAAGACACCAGAACTCAAGGGGATCCGAAGGATAGTCCCTAACGGACTAAAAAGTTTCCCATACATCACAAGGTATCACATTAATTAAGTTGTTATTACCGCTTCATCCTGTATTATACCCTGGGGTCTAAACCAGGAGTGTAATAACCAGGAGTATATCTTATCATGAGGATTTGTAAAAAAAATTGTGGTTTTGTGCCATATAATATGTAGTAGGCTCATTATGTATATACATAGAGACAGTGATAAATAATGAGGTCTACAATGTATAATACAAGATGACTGTCGTTATTACACTAGTGTAATGTTCTTCTTACTAAATGGCTTTATAACAATACATGGCTGTGGTTTATGTAAAAATTGCTGAACTGTAAAAAATATTATGTGACTTTTGGATAATCAAATTGGTAATGTAACGATTCGCCACATAACGATTCGACACAGAGTAATAACGATTCGCCACAGTTAAATAACGATTCGCCACGTTTTCAAATACAAACTTTTTCACACCTGTTTTCAAATTGTTGATGGAAAACTTTTTTTCCATTTTATATTTCATTCGTTAATTACATAAATTAATTACACTGAATAAAGCTTTTATTGAATAAAAAACACACAAAAACCAAATATTTTATCAACAAAATTACATAACACATTTTATAATTAATTTTGACGTTATTGATATAAACTGGAAAAATATACTAACAACTTTTATAGAATAAAAACACATGAAATAAATATTTTATTAACAAAATTACATAACACATTTTATAACTTCGTTATTTATATAAACTGGAAAAATATAATAACATTTATAGAATAAAAACACATGAAAATAAATATTTTATTACCAAAATTACAGCACACATTGTAGATAAGAAAAACTTCGTTATTTATATAAACTGGAAAATTATACGAAAACAGTTTTTATTGAATAAAGGCACATGCATATTTTATTACCAAAATTACATTTCACATTGTAGATCTATAAGTTAAACTTCGTTATTTATATAAACTGGAAAATTAAAAGAAAACAGCTTTAATTGAATAAATGAAAATAAATAAATTTTATTGCCAAAATTACATTACTGTACACATTTAAGCTAAGTTATTTATATAACTAACATATTTTATTACAAAATTTACAAACATAAGCTTAATTGCCGCATTGTTTTGAAATCTGCTCACATTATCAGATAATTAAAGGATTATTTCGGCGACAATTAAATATTTATACAATTTAAGGTGATTGGCTTGTTAAAATAAAAGGTGTGACAAATGTTTTAGATATGCATTCTTTGATCAATTATCGTAAATCAATTTTCGTAATGATCACATGTTTTTGCAATATTTTTTTTTAATTATTTGACATATATATAATATATGAAACATATATTTATTTCTATGAATGATAATGATATTGTGATGTTCTTTATTCCTTTATTTGCAGTCGTCTGTTCTCCGTAAGAATGTCATCAGTTAAAACATTTTATGTTCTTCTTATTATTTTTTTCTTTGCTTTTGTCATGTGACCACAGAATTATTCTATTTGTAATTATTGTATGTAACGAGATACTGTAAATGTATAAGTTACCGAAATAAACTATTTCTTCTCTTCTTCTTATATTAATTGACATTTATGTTTATGATTAATCAACATATATAATTACTTTCTTGTAAATTTACTCCTGTAATAATGTTACTTAGCTAAATTAAAAATCCGCGATGGGGGCTTTAAGTTCATGTTACTTGTATTAAGAAACATTATTAAATTATTGTCATTGTCAAATTATTAAAACAAAAGGAAAAAGTTTGTTGATAACTAAAAAAATCATTGTTAGATCTATAATCATACTGTGGCGAATCGTTATTTAACTGTGGCGAATCGTTATTTCTCTGTGGCGAATCGTTATGTGGCGAATCGTTAGTGTGGGGAATCGTTACTAATTCATCAAATCACTGTTCTCAACAATCATTTGACAAACAAAAAGTTTAAACAGAATCATTTCATACTATAGAAATATCGTACTTTTCCTATAGACATATACCTGTAAGATATATAGATATTAACCATTGATAATGATTAAATTTTATGTTTACCTTTAATACTGAAGATAAAACTGGCTCTGTCTGTCATATGTCTGATACAGTAATGCTATATAAAGTTTTTTTTTATTACAGTAGTTTTCCCTGATAGATTTACCTGTTGTGTTAACAATATATGATTTCAAAAACAATCTTTACACATAAGTTACTGTTAAAAAAAAACATAGGTACTGAAACAAAACTTCAATTTCCGCTTATGTCACTTTGATATTGAATTGAAAATTCCATGTTACTAAAAATAAATAAATTGGAATTTCCAGAAAAATGTGTGCAAAAGGTTTGCACAAATTATATTAAACGAAAATATAGCTCTTAAGAAATAGGTTTGAAATACCGCATTGCTTGCATTTTTAACATGTGTTGAATGAATTGTATTTGAAAGAAATAATAATTTAATAGTTTATGATACAATATACCGACGCAAACAAATTTTAATGTTTTTACTGTATCTAATTTCGTTTATTAAGGCCAAGGAGCTCAGAAATCAAAATGGCGACCTCCATTGAATTAAAAGCTGAAAGAAATCTGATTAACCCAAACTTTGAAGGATACAAGTTATCATTAGATAAATTGCCAGTATACTGTACTCAAGTTGATAATGGTTTGTAAACTGTTATCTTTTTAAGAACTGCTTTTCATATTTTACCGAATTGTAATCATTTTTCGCGACAAAAACTTATTTCCTTCCACGTCACAGTGTTTGACGTTTTATATGACAGCCGTGCAATGCACTCTTAATGAAGTAAAATGTCATTTCCCATCTTAAGACCTACAGATAATTTCACGGAAACGAAATATTTAGATAATTGAATGAATCTGATCAATTTTTCATCAACAATTGAAAAATGCCAGCCTTCATTAAAATGAATTATAACAGAAGTTTAATTAATCAAACATTTGAAGGATATAAGCTATCATTGGAGAAACTATATGTTTATTGTAGTCACATTGACAAAGGTCAGTCAAATTACATTATTCTAACATTCATTGCACTTGTAATATGAAATTAGGCAAAGCCTATAAACGGGGAAGTCGTTAAAATTTCCTTTTATTCTTTCCGTTTTAAAGGTGTCATTCGGTATTACATGCACCACTTCCGTTTTCACTCGGAATACTCGACGATTATCATTTATCCGAAAAGTTGAAATTTGCTTCGTTATCGGAATACCCCGCCTATTATCATTGAGTTACATTGTAAATGGCGGCGCCCCACTAAAACTGACACTGAAAATTTCATTGATAGGTATAGAATTCTATATATTTTTTTAATTGTTTTTTTATTTGATTTTCTTTTAAATATACACGTGTAGTCTATAGCCGGGCAAGCCAAAGCCCGGACCCGCTTCGCGGGCCCGGTCTTTGACTTCCCTGTAATAACAGTTTATTTGCGGCAAATTTTGCCATAGTAGTTACATGTAATACGGCAACTCCTCTACAGCTAGTAGCCTGGGGTTCTATGATATCACAGTACTTAACATTTATCAGAAAATATTTAATTATAAATATCATAAATTAATGAGATTTTTCTTCCATCTTATAATTGAACCTTTTTCTGAACTGTTTGTCAAAAAAGGCCATCCTTAAAAAAATGTTTGTTTGCAGTGACACGACCGACTCACAAAATTTGCCCCTACTCAAAATTTTTTCATGGTCTGGATAAAAAATTTTTTTTTTTTGAATCAGAAAATTATGCCTTGTGCTTTGTTTTCGTTCTTTTAAAGGTTAATGAAATTCCATGTTTTTTGGGAGTACAGTTCAATAAAAAAAAAATCGACCTACCTACCCACCTTGAAAATTCTGGGTCGGGTTACTGCAAACAAACATTTTTTTAAGGATGGCCTAAGATAATGTGTTGTCATCAGCATAATTGTACACAGTGGCTGATTTAATAAAGTAAATGATGTCGTTAATAAAGATGTTAAAAATAAGAGGCCCTAGAATGGATCCCTTGGGAACTCCCTTACTTATTGACATCCAGTCACTGCATGCTTTACCAAGTTAAACCCTTTGTTTTCTGTTTGACAGGTAGTTGTGCATAAGTTCTGCAGCTGTGTCAGATAAGCCATAGGCCTTAAGTTTCAAAGTATGAAACATCCAGGAGCTGAAAAGACCTAGGTCAAAAAGCCCAGGAAGAGAAATGATTGTTCCTGAACATAACACACTAAAATTAGATATCACCCGGCGGTGGCTCTTATTTTACATTTTTTCTTTCTAAAGGTGTCTTCCGATATTTCATGCACCACTTCTGTTATCAATCAGAACACCTCGAAGCTTGTTTTAAGCCAAAAAATTGCAATTGTTTCGTTATCAGAATACCTAGCCGATTATCATTGATTTACATGAAAAGCAAAAGGCCTAGCCCACATTGCGGACCTGGCCTTTGATTTCGGCATATTAATATCTCAAACATAATTTTAGCTATTAATTTTGGTGCATTGAATAGCATTTTTTAGGGTATTGAACTGTTTACACCTGTATTATCAGTTTAATTTATTCCTTAAAAAATGTTGTCATGTGGAACTAAACTGAGAAGAAAGTTCTATAAATTTACATTATGGAATTCAATGTACACTGACCTGTAAGTCCCATGTTATATTGACCAAGTGCTTGATTATTTAGAAATAATTCAGAAAAATCTTAGAACAATTACATTTTATGAAACACTGTGAATTTCATCAGATGAGCAATGTAGGGCAAATAGGCCTACTACATGTCCTTGAACTTATGATTGTATAATATATGACAAAACTTTCCATGAATACCATGTTCATATATTTCCAGGTACTTACGTTACAGCTCTTACTGATGAGCAGTTTTCATACCATCATGCCAAGCTGTTTGGTGTATACAACCATCTTGTGCAAGACCCATGGAACTTAAATGCAGTTTACATAATTGATACTGATTGGAATATCAGAAAAGCAGTAGGACACGTGAGTTGATATTAAAATGTATAAAAAAAATTCATCCTGGTTTTGACTTACAATATCATTGAATGCAGGTTTCTGCATTTAATAGTGATGCAACAATACCAGTATACTGGTATATTGCAGTGTCACTCAGAAAATACATACTGTGGTATGGATATTTTCTTCAATATTTGTTCAATATACATGTACATTTCATATTTTTTGACATGTTTTCAGCAGTGCAACTTTGTAAAGTTAGGCCTACATGTGCAACTACCTCTACTGACATTGATTTGTTTCTATATGCAAAATATTGAGTAAGCAATGTGTTAGTAACAGTTACTGTTGAACCTTTGACTTTTAATGACATTAAAAAAAAAGGAAGAAACAGAAATGTTGTCAAGTGAATTTGATTTTTTTCCCATTTATATTTACATGTAGGTATATTTAAAATGGAACTCATAAGTTAAAACAAGCTGTTTTCAATTTCAGGATATGTCAGTTGATTGTGGTGCGACTGTTTATACCATACCTGATGCTAGTAATCAACAGTTTGTAGTTGGCAGATGTAATGCCAAGCTACACTTCCTGTCAGCTGACCTAGCTGTCGTCTGCGATGGTGCGGGTCAGCTATATATAGTCAGTACAGGTAACAGACAAGAAAATGGAACAGATGCTTGGAAGGTAAATTATAGAATGTGTCGAACTTGTGTTGAAATGTTTTGTAGGAATTTGCTTTAAATGAGTACTCCTAAAAACCCCTGCCAAATAATTTGCTGGCAATAACCATGTGTTCCAGGAATTGGTGGTTAGCTTTGTAGTCTTTGCAAAGTCTTGCAATATACATTGTAATTATCATAATAATATCTTATATGTACTTTAATATCTTAAATTCTTTCATATTAATTTTAAATGGCGTATGGATCTTAGCTGGAGATCCCTAATCAACCATAAGAAACATATTTCTGAACTCAGTAGTTTCAACTGTTAAGCTGGAATCAATATTTTCTAAACAAAAGTTTGGTAAAATACATGTAATATGAATTATTGATAAAGAACAACACATTTTTGATTTCTGCCCATCTATTCAAAAGGATGTAAATACAATTTATACATCAGTTTAAATGTTGTCTGAAACATCATGAAATATGTAAGGTTTTTAGCTTTCAAAATATTTCATATTTGCAGTGATTTTTTCACCTTATATAACACATGCCTTTGAATAGCCCAATCAAAATTTTGTTTAAAATCATCCGGTTTCCCAAAAGTCTGAACTTGCACCAGCTTGTTTACTTCCCAAATTAGCAATTTTAGCAATAATTTCTCACAAAATCTAAGGCCTTTTCCCAATTAAGCCAGAAAATCCACCAATATGTTATCGAAATTTTCAGTGAGAAAAATCACCAATATTTTTATTGAAATTTTCAGTGTTTGATATCACGGATGCTGCCGGAGGAGAAAACACCATGTTTATTAATAGATGCTGTAGAGCACTCGAAGGAGGAGAATCACATGATAGATTGTTTGTTGGTACATGTGATAGAATCTACCCCAGAACAGAAAGACAAATATAGATCCCAGTATCTTACTGTGTTAGAGTGGATCACATTTACGTCAGGTTTGTGGACGGGCTTTATCTCAATTGATTTTCAAATTTCCTCAAAAACCTTTTTTTTACAGTGTAACACATTTAGGAGATTTTAAATACAAAATTATTAATGTACACGTGTGTCTGTGGTCTAAATCAATTTCTAAATTTTCTCAAAAACTTTTTTTACAGTGTAGCATATTTATGAGATTTAATATCTAAATACAAACATGTCTGTGGATTAATTGAATTTCTTTATACCTCTTGATAATAAGACGGGAAGACAATATTTCACACAAAAATTGAGCATATGATTAGATTTAATCATATGATTACTCCTTCTGGGGAGCCCATGCAGTATCATATGTTTGATAGATAATAATCTTGAATATAGAATTTAGGATTTTAAGTTTTTGTTATCTACCATTATCATGATTATTAAGTCATATTCTTTAAAATTGATTAACTACTTTACTTGTTTATGACAGTAGATCGTAAGGTATGGACCCTGGGTAGAACCAGACAGCTTGTGAGCAGAAAGCCTTTCTCTTACGCCTGTTTAGATAGGGAAGGTCATTCCATTACAATAGCAGGGGAGGCAGAGTTTGTGTTTACACAGGATTCAGAACTGCCTGTTGTAAGTGATGAGGAGAAGGAAGAGGAAAATTCAGGTACGTTTTTTTTCTATGGGAATTTTAACGTTAAGGTACTCTGACTTTGATAGGGTTATATATGTATGGCCAGTATTTGTTGTAAGAATGACTGGAACTGTCTGTCGAGCATTGTTTCCAGGGTGAGAAATGAGCGTAATCTTTAGTGAAACTACCCATTTTATGTTCATCTTTATTTTTTGTTGTTGCGTATTTCGCACTAAGTAAATATGCAAAATTAAGTCCTCTGTAATATTTATCCAAACAAAATTGTTAATGTTTTCCAAATTAAAACCAAGTCCAAGATGTATGCATATAACATTGTCTTAGAGGTCATGAAGTCTATGGACCTCAGCTTTCAAGTTCTAATCCTTGCCCTAGTATACATTTACCAATGGATATAATTATGATATATTAGGTAATATTTGATGTTGCTTAGCCTGAAACTCCATCTTTGTTTCAAATTGATAATGTTGAGGAATTGGCAGTAACTTCCTGAGGAACAAGTTTTACCTTGCACAGAAATCATTGAACAACCTGTATTTATCTTTTTGCATATACAATTTATATTAGAAATATAACGGTACAAGTTTAAGAAAGACAACCATTGAAATCTGTGGTAGCTGATTTTTGTGCCATGATGTATGAGCCCCGCCACGCGAAAAAGAGATTTTTTCTTCACATTTTGCCCCCAAATCATGCTCATATGACATGGCTTAAACCAGCCACCATAGAAATCAGACAGTGCTTGTTGGAATTACCAGTTTTATTGTAACTTATTGCTGTGTGTTTGGATTTTACCAGGTCCAAGACCCCCTGACTACACCTGGCACCAGACAGCGGAGGATTTAAGTGTTCAGTTTACCGTTGCCGAGGGAGTTACTAAGGGGGATATCTACCTTACTATGTCATTTAATAGGATAGACTTCGGGCTGAAGAACAAATCAGCATTGTTAAAAGGGAATCTTTGTGGTGAAATTGACACAGAGTCATGCACTTGGACTATAGAGGGTCGAAGGTCAGTTTTCGGTTCAGATTTTTTTTAATACAAAAAGATGTACTTGAAAATACATGTATGTCTACAATAGTCACTTGTGGGTTGCTATCAAACTGTTTATGTGGTCTTATTTTACTATGGTTGCAGAATTTTATTATGAATTTGAATTTGATCGTGAAATTATTCAGAATTCAAAGCAAAGCAATTTCTTTGCACAAGTTCAGGATAGGTACATTAAAAAAAAAAGCCTTTTGGTTTGATAAAGCTTAAAATATAGACAGTGAAATATAGACTGTGAAATACTATTCTAAAAGATTGTCTATTTTTTTCATCTCTGCAAATGCAAAAGCTTTTGGATGTAAACAAAATTGACTTAGTAGTTTTTAGTAACTCTACCACTTCCATTTGATTGTGATGGTGGTGGTGGTAGTGTTGGTAGCTTACCCTCTGGATCAAAGCAGTAAGCCACATTGAGTTTACTAGAGCACAAGCAGTTTACCTGTACTACATGTAGTTGCCTTTACTTGTTCAAGGAACTGATTACTTCTGTACATGCCAGACCAGAGGTACAGTGTGAATGACTAATAATTATTTCTTCGGTCATAATGAAAATGACCTGCACCGTCCCGGAAACCCAGGTCACTCGATTCACAGTCCAAGCCTGTACCTTTTGGGCTAATCGTACGTTTCAACTTTCATTTGATGTGTTGGAAAATGCTATGTACTTGTGGTAAACAAGAGTTTAAAAATTAAACAGTAGTTTTGTAAAATTGATTTGAAAAGAAAAAATGTAAAAAAAAAGTTTAATATATATATTTCAGAGTGGATCTGTATCTCAGTAAGAAAACAGAGGGTAATTGGCCACTAGTAGTAGATGGGGATACTCGTGGTGAAATGTTGTCAGAGCCATCTGAGGTCGCGGCTATACATGAACGTTTGGCTTCCCTTACATCAGAAGAAATGGTAGGTTATATTGTAATAAACTCTCAACTGTATTGAAAAGAAAAGACTGAATTTTGTTTGAGGTTAATATTTAGCTAGATAGCTTATAACTAGATTATGAAAGTGCTTTTTATCTCAAAATTGGCCTCACCGATTTGTATATGCTTTATGAAAAAATGTTTTAAATATGTTATAAGAATACTACACATTTGTAATGTCCATTGTTTATCTACTATTCTAAGAATTACGTATGTATGTTTTTTTTCTTTTATCTTTATCAAAGTCAGAAATTGTGCAGTATTATTTATAAACTTGTTATAAAGACAGGCTTTATGGCCATTATATTTCCTGTGAAAATCTTCATTACAAATAAAATGAAATAATATTCCTTATAAACATAATGCGAGGTCGATATTAATTGATAATTTAATTTTTAAACAAAACATGTTGCTGAGTCATTGTTGTAAGTTGAGTGTGTAAGTCGAATTTACATGAATATCAATTATAAGCTGTGATTTTACAGTATCTTGAACAATATAAATGTTTCATATCTATTTATAGAACCCAGACCCGGAGAAGTCTGAGAAGCCGTACAATACCCAGCAGTTAGAGGAATGTGATATGTATCCTGACGATGAGTCTGTCCTACTTACTATAAATGGTGACACCCATAAGATACAATACAGGGTATGTTGTATAAGAAATCATTTTGAAATCATCTGAAGCCTTTGAATGCTAAGTTAACCACAATAATGTCCATGCCACAAGTATAAAGGCAGGTCAGCTTTCAAGGTCATGGACTTCAAAACACTAGCCCCTCACTGTTGTAGGTTTGAATCCCGCCAGGGGCTTTAGATTGATACATGTAGCTAACAGAACGTTGGTGGTTCTACTCAGGTGCCCGCTTGTGCCTAAAATTATGCTGAAGGGGTACCTGAGGTCTTCCTCCACCAGTAAAGTTAGAAAGTTGCCAATGACCTGTATAGTGTTGGTGTGATATAAAATCCCAAAATTCCAAATTCAAAGAATTACATGTCCATTTTTAGCTCAACAAGTACAAAATGCTAAAAGGTGAACTTTTTGTAATGGTATTTTGTCTTTTTGGTATTCTTGTTTATTATCAAAAAGCAACACTAGTAATCAGTTGAAATCATGGTCAAATTTGTTACTATTTATAGCAACAAGTGTATTAAATGTATTTTAAGCTTTTACAATAAAATGTATATTGTTTTAATGAATTCTATTCTATAAAGATTGGACTTGGCAGTCATCAGTGGTTGTTCAATGTAACCATGGGAGAGAACTCTACACCTGGACTTTGTTTGAGGCATGATGTTGATGGGTTACTATGGAAACAAGACACAGGTGACAAGTCACGATGGAAACATATCGCAACATTCAATGCGTTTGGCTATGTGCAAGCGTCAAAACAGCAGAGAAAGTTCACAATATGTCCCCCAGATTACTCTTACAGTGCCATATGTGACAATAGCAAACACATTTACCTTTATAGACAAAATATTCCAGTAGCCACACCGTTACGAAATAGAAAGACAGGTCAGCAAGTGAATGCCGTTGCTAAGCAACAAGTGATCTCCTTGGATACCACAAATGACATTCTTGGGATACAGACCACAAATGAGAGACTTTTTATTTTGACAAAAGATAAATTGTTTATGATTAAAGTAGGATGACAATTTTCAAATCGTTTTGTTCACAGGGGGACCAAGAAAATGGAATTTTACAGAAACTTTTCAAGCATTGTTCAGGGATGGAAACCATGGAAACCAATGTCTTTAATAATGGAAGTACTGATACTTGTGCTAGGATCATACACCTAGTATATGAAATCTCAAATTAAATTTTATCATCAGTTCTATTATCCATGCTGAGTTTTTAAAAGTTGTTAACTTTCGTTTATTAAGGATATCAGATAGATATGTGCTTAGATTTGGATGACAAATGCATATATTTAATCTTGTTTGAGTTAACACACTACATAGAAATTATAAAGATGTTTGTGCAACAATTCTTTTATGATGGTTTTTGTATATAACATGTGTACTTTTTATATTGAAATAAAGAAAAGACAAAAAATGCATTTGGTAATTCTGCAAACAACTTAAGGTCATGGCCATTCATGGACTGTGGAGTACTAGTAAATAAAATCCATAAAAGTGATACATCATGATCATGAAAATTCATGTTACTTGTTAAGCTCATTGATGAATGACATGTTCAAGTGAAATCACTGTCCACTAAGCCAGATGGTGTGAGTCTGATACCAGTTGATTTTATTAACTAGGGTTAAAAATATGCTCACAGATGAAACTTTGAACCGAAAACCGAATTCACTAGTTTTGCCAGTTAAAACTTGTATGCTTTAGTGGTATACACGTTTGAAACATGCATGGGATTAACTATAAACAATAACATTCAATTATTAACATCTAATCATTACTTTGTTCCATATAACCATCCAATATATTCCAATTTGGACGCTGTCAATATAATTACCCTCTATAATGTCAATGATTAGAGGTCAACGCCTTAAAAATCAAACAAAACATATATTTTCAATCCCAGCACATAAGTTATCATATATATATCTATTTTAGTAACACTTATTTTATAGGCTGTCACATTTCAACCTCTGTTATAATACACATTATAAAAGAGGTTGAAATATGATTTTTTTTTTAACAGAGGGGTTTAAGTTTGATTGATATGCACATTTGCTGGGATTGACAAATATACATTTTATTTGGATTTAAGGCGTTTTGGAATTCCACAACCCCAAGTGTCTGTGGCTTTACACACTTGTTCTCTGTGACTATTTAATATGATGGGTACGGCACCCATAACTCTTGAGTAACCTTTTCATAGAGTTATGTTTCTTTCATTACTGCCACATACTGAGAAAAGTCGAGCATGCTCTCTTACAAACAGCTCTTGTGTTTTGAAGTGAGTTCTAACCTTTTCAGAAGTATCCACGGGTCTTACACCACTTTTTAATGGAATGGCACTAACGTGTTACATTGAAGGTTGCATGATAACCGCCATATCAACACATCTGCGGATTTTCTAAATTCAAAATTTTACCATTACCATGATTAAATGTTGAATTTTGCTTAAGCCGAATTTTGCTTAAGCCGGTGCTAGGTGGCGTAGACGGTAATTTATACTTTCCAGTACCGTCCATGAATAGGCTCAATCAAACTGAGCCTGCAACATTTTCAATTTTGCCGTGTTGGGCGTTGTTTGGAGATTTCGTTTTTTTTTCTATTATATATCTTACGGTTTGAAATTTCTGCCAACGTTAATCGATAATGTACGGCTTTTATTTAGTAACACTGCTTATCTGCTTAAGTGGTGGATGTGATCCTAAGTAATTTTTAAAACATTTCAAATGCATAAATCAAGTGATCGATTCATGAAAAACGGAAGCTTCAAAATGAATTATGTCATTGCGTTCAATTTGCAAGCAAATGAAAACTCATGTAAAGTTCAACCCATTGGTTCAGATTAAAAATTTACTATGAAATTGGTTGTATCAAAGTCCCAAAAATACGTTAAGGTATAGCAAAGGCTTTTGATATACGAGGATTAAACAAGCGTTTAGGACGAAACATATACTCATAACTTATTTCTCGAATTATTGACATTTAAAAAGCTATTTTACTTTTTTCTTTTCTTTTGTCCTGTTTTTTGTAGAATATAAAATGGTCAGTGGATAAAGTTATCAAAGTAAATCATTAATTAATGCTATTTATCTTTATCTGACACATATCAAAGAAATGAAAGATGATTTTATTACCACATTACCTGTTTTACTCCTTACAAATTGAGGTATTCATTTAAAAAATCAATTGAAATGTAATATAGCACTATTATTTGTGCTACAGATATGGTGGTTACAAACTGCTCTAGTATATACCTAAAATAACATTGAACTTTTTGTTCTTAAAAATGAACAAAAAAAAAAGAGATTCATATGCGATGCGTTAAAGTTTGGTATGCTAATACTTTTTTTTATTGTTCAGAATATTTACTATATACCTGTCCACAGTTCTCTGCAAGTAACTTTTTTTCTTTATTATAATGCGTATCATGTATTTAATAGAAATGCCGTCTTCTCGTGGCTTGTAAAATAGATTCATATGCCTAAGCAGGAACAAGGCTACGCTATTCATACAATAACTATTATGAAAAATATCGTCGATGCACATTTTTGCTTATTAATATTGAATTCCTGCCAATTAATTAAATCCCTGCATGAAATCCAGGCTATTACATTGTATGTGACTTTTAGTATTAATCTATTTCTTTTCAAAACTAAATTAATGTCTACGAGTTGCATGATATGAACAAAACGCATTCATTTTCAAAAACATTAGTTGTTTTTGTTTGTTTGTTTTGTTACAAAAATGATAACGAAACTTTACCATTTGTTTCAGATATAAAATAATGCATGTTTCTAATGAAACAAAGTTAACAGAAGAACAGATTGGCTGGCTATTTGAACATTACTTTATGTTTCAGTTACAAATTACGTTTTATATGTTAGAACATATGCTATCATGCGCTATACATGTATATATCATCATTATTATTAGGCAGTTTATTAATAAAATATGCACTTCTCTCAGGAAAGGAAAAGGAATTTGGGAAAATGTTTGCTTATAAAAAATGTGCAATCATTCGATATTATGATATTTATCAGTTTAGACAATGAAAAGCTTAAATTTCTAGAAAAAGGAACATATGCACACTTCGTAACTTGTATGTACATGTACTGGCTCTGTGACACTATTCAGATTTGATCTTAAATTCAATGAAATATTTAAGTAACTACAATAAGTCATTGAAAAAATGTTCTCCTTTTTGCTATCTACTTACGAGTGTCTCATCAATGAAATATCGCGGGTTAAAACATTATTTTTTCTAAAACAAATAAATCAGAAGTAATGGGGTAGGGCTTACATAGCGCATTTTCTTAAACATGGAATCTAGATAGATGAAACTTTATGACATCTTAACAATTACCTTTTATTCTTTCGCGATTATTATTATTATTATTATTATTAGCTTAAACAGGAGTGCAAAACACACAATCTTACTTTTGAAAAAATGCCCACAAAGACCATCTAACAAAGACTGGCTCCTGAGTTAGAGTTCTATGGCTAGCATAAATATATTTAAACATATTGTCAAACAATGCCACTCCAATACCATGATGAAATTCAGTCTTCAGTAAAATTTTCGTTAAAAAACAAAGTTATGTAACAATATGTTTAAATCAAAAGTTCCATCTAATAAAAGTCTGAGCATCGAATGTAAAAAAATCGCCAACATTTAACCAAAAAAAGTCTTTTAAGTTTTAAATGTGTCTAAAAGTTACCAAATAAATCTTTCAAATATTGAACAAATAAGTCACTTCATTTTTTTAATGACGATGTCCAGAGCAAAAAATGACACCCTTTTTCACCAATCCTGGGAAGACCGATATATGCAACAGTCAGCACGAGTTTAAATTTGCATTTCCGTAATGATAGCCCACTTACCGTGTAAGCCACGCGTGACGCGATATTCCCATGATTCAATAGTCAAAATGGTTGGTTTGAGGAATTCAATCGGCGAGGTGAACATTTAAAAGTGATCGGGATAGATCAGCTGCATTCATTTCACAACACATGTAAATGTTCCCAAAAGGAACAATATTATTTGCATGATAGCACATGGTACATTGATGCATTATGTCTAATTTCCACATAAATGTCGAAACTGACCAGCCAACGAATCGTCATGAGAAAAGTTTAGGACTTTTGACAACAAAGTTTGTGACACTGCTGCAAGAAGCGAAAGATGGTGTATTGGACTTGAAAGTGGTAATAAAAAGTTTAATATGTACATGAAAATGTTATAAGATAACGGTCCCATGAAATTGGAAGCAAATGTCAAAAGTACATTTCCATGTAAAATTGTTTGACAGATTTACCTGCAGCTTGACTGGTAATGCTGAGTACTCAAAAGTTCATTTACTTTGATGTCCTTATAGTTGAGTACTACAATCTTCATGCTCACATGATATAATGCAATGACTTGTTGTATAGGTATATACAATATGCAAATTATGTCGTGTTTACCATGTCCAGATATTCAAATAAATTAAACTCTCACCATGCAACAATTCAGTAGTTTAAATTTTATAAATAAATTGCCCAATTTTTATTGGCATGCATATCAGACTTGCACTAATGCAAATGGGCCAGACAAATTTAAGTCATACTTGGAAGCAAAACTTTCTGTTTATACTTGTGTAGCAAAATCAGCGGTCCGAATTGATTCAACATTTTCCCTTTATTCACGAATTCGAAAACCTAGCTAAACGCCATTTTCCGGTACTTTCTGTACATAGCTCTGGGGAATTCACGTAATGGAGTGTAATAGCGAACTCGATGTTTTCGGCCTTTTTTAAAATTAAATTGAAATAAAACAGTTATTTCTTTATAAGAAAACAATTGAATATCATTGTATGAATGATTCCATACAAAAAATAAAGTAAATACACAAGTTTACGCAGAAAATAACCTTATTTATCATGGAAGATTCCACTACGCCTGTTTAAATTTTATTGATTTTCATTATAAATAATTTATTTTTTACAAAAATTTGCATTAGAATTTAGATATTAAAGGAATATTGATAATTTTCAAAAACATCAATTTTTTAAACCTTAAACGGTAAAATAATGATAGTAAAATAGAAATATCATGTAACTGTGTCATGTACTTCATTTGGTGTAATTCCCCAGAGCTAAATCCGCAACATACCGGAAAACGGTGTTTAGCTAGGTTTTCGAAAAGGTCAATAGCACATGGCGTGACGTCATACAGTTGCAGCTAACAATCTCGCCTATGGCAATGTACACAATACACAATGCATATCCAGTCGATATGAAATTTTATTGATAATATGTTAAGGGTTTGACACTAGATTATTGGATTAACAAAAATATGGTAGGAGGACCAGGGCCAAAAAACCCTTCTTTGTAGAGGCCGAATATAGGCTGCTTCCCCAACCAAACTAGCCTCTTTTTTTCCCCCAGTTTGGTCCTCAAAATTCCCCAGTCTTTTGAAATTTCCCATAGAATCTAGAACAAAATAAAATGATGGTGTTGAATTAAGGTCTTTTACTGCCTTATAAGTATTTCCAAGTGCTTTTTGCTTTTCTATTTTGAAGAACTTGTTAAAATTTTGTGTTAAATTTGAGAGCGCTTTTCCAAAGTATGCCAAAATCACGCATATTTTCACCAAGAAAAAGACTGAGGCCCCTTCCCCAAAAATGGTGTTTTGGCCCTGAGGTCTTATTACTTGAATTAGGGCAGTGTGGCGCTGATTGAGCATGGCGCTGATTGGGGCAGCGTGGTAAAAAATCAAAAAGGGCGGGGCGGCAGACCCTGCTATTCACCGCTAGAAACAATACTACATCATTTTTGGTGTTAGGTGGTTTATTAGACGTGCAATTTGTTCATCATCTTCATGCTACATGTTTTTTTAAAAAAATGGATTTTTATTTTTAGGCAGCAGACCAGCTGGCAGTCCGGCAAAAAAGGAGAATATATGATATTACTAATGTCTTAGAGGGTATAGGACTCATTGAAAAGAAATCTAAAAATAGTATTCAGTGGAAGTAAGTCTTGGTTTGTTAAATTGTAATTTACTTTGCAAAAAATGCCAAGCTCATTCTTTTCTTTAACTATGATTAATTATAATAATTGTGCCTTTGTAAATTTATGCCTTGGATACTTGATAATTATTCACCTATTTTAACTCTTGAAATTTTTTCAATAGCGCCTCTTGAATTTCAGGGGTGCTGGACCAGGATGCAACAACAGGGAATACTCCGATAAACTGTACTCTGTGCAAGAGGAACTCGAAGAATTGAGAAGAAAAGAAATGGAATTGGACCAACACAAAGCTTGGATACAGCAAAGTATTAAAAATGTTACTGATGAAGTCGAAAATACACGGTATCCTTTTTCTGTGTTTAGCACATGTTTTTGATGCCTCAAATAATTATATAGAAGGTTAATTAAATCTGAAAGGTACACAAATGGTTAATGTTTTGTTGGGAAAAGTGGTAAAGGTATCTTGAAACAGACATGACTGTTGGTATATTCCTAGAATATGTAAGTCATTGACCAACAGCTTGTGGGAAATGAAAATGCATTTTCAAGGGAGGTAATGGCGCGATAGCTCAGTTGGTAAGACCACTGACTGTCACTCCTGAAGTTCCGGATTCGATCCTGGGTAACACCCTTGTGATTTTTCAGAAACACTTTCAGTGTTTCCCACCTAACTAGAGGTTTACTGGTACGAAACCCAGGTAATCCTCGCATGTATCAGTGATACACTGGGCATGGAAAAGAACCAAGGAATCTATTCAATAAGAGCTAGGGACTGGTTCCCGGATTTCCTTGTATCTCATAGCTATCTCTGCAGTCTGCTGAGGTAAGGACCCTACTGGAAATAAGACAAAGTGCTTGCACTGTCGTAGGTTATCCTTGACCGCCCGGTCTAAAAAAATCAAGCAAGGGAGGTAATTAAGCAACCAGGTACATGTACCTCCGTCAATATTTTATGTGACATGACCCATAATGCTAGCAGCTTTCTCTGTTACCTGAAACTTTTTTTATGCCACCGCAGCATCTGCGATGCGGTGGCATATAGCGATTCACCTGTGTGTGTGTGTGTGTGTTTGTTTGTTTGTTTGTTTGTGTGTGTGTGTGTTATATAGATTATATAGTGAACTTAAAAAATCTTCTTGTGAAAAACCACTAGTCCAATTTCAACCAAACTTGGCAGGATTGATCCTTGGGTGAAGGGCTTCCAAAGTTGTTCAAAGAATTTAATTCCATGCAGAAATCTGGTTGCCATGGCAACCAAAAGGAATTATAAGAATAAATTTAAAAAATCTTCTTGTAAAGACCCAAAAGGCCTAGAGCTTAGATATTTTGCATAAGGCATTGTCTGGTAGACCTCTACCAAGATTGTTCAAATTATAGCCCTGGGGTCAAAATCGGCCCCGCCCCGGGGGTCATTGATTTTCACTATATGTACATATAGTAAAAACTTAAAATACCTTTTGTGTAAAGACCCATAGGCCTAGAGCTTAGATATTTTGCATAAGCATTGTCTGGTAGACCTCTACCAATATTGTTCAAATTATAGCCCTGGGGTCAAAATCAGCCCTGCCCCCGGGGGTCATGGATTTTCACTATATGTACATATAGTTTAAAATTTAAAATACCTTCTTGTAAAGACCCAAAAGGCCTAGAGCTAAGATATTTTGCATAAGGCATTGTCTGATAGACCTCTACCCAGATTGTTCAAATTATAGCCCTGGGGTCAAAATCGGCCCGGCCCCGGGGGTCATTGATTTTCCTCATATTTACATAGTAAAAACTTTAAAAAAATTTCTTCTAGCAATTGACAAATGCTAGAAGTTAGATACTTTGCATGAAACATTGTGAAGTGAACCTCTAGCAAGAATGTTCAAATAATAGCCCTGGGGTCAAAATTGCCCCCGCCCCGGGGTCATTGATTTTCAATATAAATATATAGTAAAAAATAAAAAAAATCTTATTGTCTGAAGGTACAAGGCTTAGAGCTTTAATATTTGTTAAATGATATCATCTATAGGTACTCTACCAAAGTTGTTCAAATTTTGCATCTAGTGTCAAAATTAAAAGTGAACTTTGATATCAGCTGACCTAGATTTTGACAAAGTGTATTACATGTTGTCCTTTGATGCAGTCATGAAATTTTAGGCTGTGTGAAATATGACCTTCACCACCAAATTCACTAGACTCAAGTGCATTGATATATTCCTACTCTGATCTTTTATTGAGTTAACAAAAGATTTAACCACTAATCTGATAATAAGAATTAGATATGCATTATGACAATCTTCAATTGTATAGAAACAAAAAAATCTGTTCCTACACTACTATTTAGTGTTGTATTATTGCGGTGGCATAGCATTTTTCTCAAATGCAATCTTGTTTTTCCTTAACAAAATAATAGATTAGCATATGTGACGCATGAAGATATATGTCGTTGTTTTAGAGGGGATACTTTGTTAGCAATACAAGCCCCATCAGGAACCCAGTTAGAAGTACCTGTACCTGAACTGGTAAGATCATATCATCATTTGGTCAGTATTTCTTCTTCATTTTGGAAATGTGTGACCAGTTTGTGTTGATTTTCAATGACACCAAGTCATTCTTCAATTGTTTGATTATTTTTGGCCTGGTGTATCAATAGAGTTTTATTTGCCAATATATGAAAGGGAAAGTGTTGAATTTCATTCTTTTTCTGCAGATTTATATTTAAATGTGTTTTGTTATTGATGTAATTTCTTGCTATTGAAGTAAATACATATTCATGGATGATATAAAGCTTGTAAATCTGACAGTATTTATAAAATATTTTTCTACTTTCATTATTTCTGACATTTCAGTTAAAACCTGACTACCCTATTAATTTTTGCTGTCTGAATGATAGCTGCTCAATCGAATCCCTAAAATAGATAATAGGCAGTTTCAAATTTTAATTTTTGAATTATAAATGTATAAGCAATGTATTTAGTATACAAATGTAGTATTGATAGTCTGTTAGATTGACTCTATGTTACATGTACTTTGTTTCCTATTTGAATTTAGTATAGTAATTTAGTTTGACTGATTTCTTATTATTCTTTCTTTCTTCAAATTTACAGGGACCAGGTTTAAAGAAGAATTATCAGATTCATTTAAAAAGCAGCTCTGGACCTATAAATGTTCTGTTAGTTAATAAAGACTCTGACAACCAGTCACCTATGGTGACGCAACTCCCACCTGCTGATGAAGGTCTGGCCAGTCAGTGCCAAGCTGCAGCCCAAGGAGCTGATCAAAATGTTAATCCAAACCAAAATACACGACAAAAAGCCAGTAAAGTAAGCCTACCAAAATCATTGTATGTAAACTATATGGCACAGTTAATTTTGTAGAAGAAGTTATTGTTATTAAGTTTTTTAATCAGCTTTGAATTAGAATACATTTTTTGTAAAATATGAATGCGATATAAATAGATTTATCCAAATAAATGACTTTGATTTATTATATGCTTTAATATTTAAAGAAAAAGGACATTATGATAATAATTACAATAATTTTTTTCTAGAATCAAAAATCACCTGTTAAATCTCCTCTACGACAATCTCAGCCCACCAGTTTGCATGGTGACAGAATGGCAACAAGGTCATCGCCACGGAAACAAGGTCAGCAGATGTCACAACAGCAGCAAGCCTCTACCTCACTTGGACTTCCTACTGGCATGGACAGTCTTCCCAGTGATATTCTCTTTGATGAAGCAAAATCTGAATTTGGTAAGAAAAAATATAGAATCTGTTAGGTTGCAAGAATGTTATGATTCGTAAGCCCATAATAAGTAATGGATAGAATGTCCATGTCAGTGTACCAAAAAATTATTTTTTGTTGGTTATGTTTTAAGTTAGTAAAGGTCATATGGCAAATTTCCAGCTTTACTGGTTGAGGAAGACCTCGGATGCACCCTTTGTGCATCATTTTAGGCATGAACAGGCACCTGAGTAGAACCACAGACATTCTTTAAGCTAGTTGGATAGCTTCCTCACATGAAAGAATCACATGAAAGAATCCAGTGTCCCTGACAGGATTTGAATCTACAGTGTTTAGGCGCAAATGGTTTGAAGCCAATGACCTTAACTATCCAGCCATGGATGCTCCATAACAAACTTGACAGGCACTACATGGTTCAGCTGAATCTCTTTTCCACTCACCACTGATAGTTTTGATATATGGAGACATTAAATTTATTTGAGGAAGCTATCCAGCTAACTTAACATGTGTATAGTGATTATACCACGGGGAAGGAATCGAGAATGAAATAAAGCACAAAGGGGGAATCTCAGGTTTTTTTCCCCATTGTTAATGTTGTTATGTTGTTAGATGATCAAAGCAATGTTTTGTTTAAATCTGTATATTATATTAATATATAATAGCCAATTGTTCTATGTAATGTTGTAATCAATCATTGATGTGGAAAGGTTTACCCATTAGCTTGACAAACCCTGTGTATTTTATATTACACTTTACATGTAAAAAATTATCAAACATTTCAGATGCAATGGATGGTCAACTTATAGAAGAACTCATGACATCTGAAGGTAAATATTTAATGTTTTACTGATATAAGTCAATATAATTAAAGATATATTTATTATGTTGTTATATCATACATGTCTAGTAAACAGACATGTTTAAAGAAATATGTTCCCTCTAAGTTTGAGAATGATCAAGATATTAATACATAATGTTGTTTGCTGGAGAAAGTGGCCATATTAAGTAAAAGCGGGGTGGTTTCAAGAAGAAGAAGAAAATTATTATATTTTTTGAAATTTTGGTCATAAAAGTGGATTCTGTTTGCTATGTCCTCTTTAAATTATTGCTGAGGATTATTTCTTAGTGTCATGTGAGGAAGCTATCCAGCTAGCTTACGGAACGTCAGTGGTTCTACTCAGGTGCCCGTTCGTGCCTGAAATAATGCACGGAAGGGCACCTGAGGTCTTCCTCTACCAGTAAAGCTGGAACGTCGCAATATGACCTATACTGTGTCAATGTGACGTAAAACCCAAAACAAAACAATAAAATTTCTTAGTGTTTACATTGATTATAATGCTGATGCTCATTGACTTGTTTATATTTCAGCTTTTGCACCATTGTTACGACTAAGCCCACCACCTAGTGATAAAGACTATTATTTCAATCTGGATGACAGTGAGGGTGCATGTGATCTTTTTGATGTACCGCTGCTCACAATGTAATAACTTGCCATCAGGGCCAAAAAACCCTTCTTTGTAGAGGCCGAATATAGGCTGCTTCCCCGACTAAACTAGCCTCTTTTTTTCCCCAGTTTGGTCCTCAAAATTCCCCAGTCTTTTGAAATTTCCCATAGAATTTAGAACAAAATTAAATGATGGTGTTGAATTAAGGTCTTTTACTGCCTTATTAGTATTTCCCAGTGCTTTTTGCTTTTCTATTTTGAAGAACTTGTTAAAAGTTTGTGTTAAATTTGAGACCCCTTTTCCCAAAGTATGCCAAAATCATGCATATTTTCCCCAAGAAAAAGGCTGAGGCCCCTTCCCCAAAAATGGTGTTTTGGCCCTGGCCATATTACACTGACAGCCCACCCATATCACACAGTGCCAGATACATTATATAATTATATCACATTCTCTGTCAAAATTTTAAAACTCCCTGAAAACACTGTTATTCTGCTTCTTTATAGAAGCAAGGTCTACATTCTGTGTTCTTGAAAAATATTTTATACGAATATCTGAATCTGAAAATCTACACTGGACATCGAATCGTGATTCTAACATTCGGATATCCAGACTCCAGATGACATCCCTATAATGAAAATTCATCAGTGTTGTGATTGGTTAAGATTCTACCATTGCTTAGCAACCAATCAGAATGATAGCTTGGTGTAAGTCTTATATTGAATATTCCGCTGCATATTCTGTGTGTAATTTACATTTCACAACCAAATATCTAACATCGTTGATGTAAAAATGTTATTTTTTGAATATCTGTGTAAGAGCATGCAAAATAGGGATATTCCAGTTTTGTTTTGGGAATTTGCGTCAATTTGAGTCTTATTCTTTCTGTTTAAAAACAGCTAATATATAGCCAGAGCTTGTAGGGATATAGAGGTACATGTATTTATGTTTGAGATTTTTATTTTCCTTTTGATATCAATAACATAACACTGTATGTTTTCGTCTTAGATAAAAAAAATCTACAAGTAATAAGTGTATTTTCTCTCTCTTATAAAGTTTGTTAACTTGTGAAGTGAAATGAAAATTTTTTGTTTTAAAAAGATTTATATGAGATCACTATACATAAGTTTACTCTGAAAGCTTGAAAATTTTATCAATTTTGTCAACAGATAGTCATTGGCTGAAACTGAATGTCAAGCCTTTGACTTGAAAACACGTTCTCAATTTTTAAGCATTGCAAATATAGAATGATATTATGTGCCATCTTTTTCTGTGGTAGTGATGTTAGGATTATGGTCAGTTGACGAAAAGAAATGTTTATACAGTGTATAAATATTTAACAATTTTGATGGATAGATGTTACCATAGGGACCAAAATATTGTAAATTGTTTATCTTTGTATAATGTAGTTGCTTACTAATTAGAAATGAGAAGTTACGAATGGTGCATTTATAGGTTATATGCATTTCTCTATGTTGTGAATGTTAGTATACATATGAGCCGTGCCATGACAAAACCAACATAGTGGGTTTGCGACCAGCCTGGATCCAGACTAGCCTGCACATCCGCGCAGTCTGATCAGGATCCATGCTGTTTGCTATCAGTTTCTCTACTTGTAATAGGGTTTGTAAGCAAACAGCATGGATCCTGATCAGACTGTGTGGATGCGCAGGCTGGTCTTCATCCATGTTGGTCACAAATGCATTATGTTGGTTTTGTCATGACGCGGCTCAAATTTTTACATTGGCAGAAACAGAGATTTATTTGAAGAAAATCTGTAATTTTAATTTCTGGTTAGGACTTTCATTTTTATGCAAGTAAATTATGTGCATAATTAAGGTCATGTATGTATAAGCATTAGTAACGAATAACCAAAGCATTTTTATATAGACTCTAGGATGTATTTTCGCTCCCATATTGGGACAAGATAGAATCAAGCTTAATACCGTGAGCATTTTGCTTTAATCAGTTATGTTGTTTGTACATATTTTATAATTGCAGATAAAAAATAAATGTGTAGGTATAGTATTTGAAACAGTGTACAGCAATTACAATAGTGTATATTGATAAACAAAAAAAACTGTTTAAGATATTTATGCTTATAGTTCACTTTGTTACATCATGAATGTAATTTTATTTATTCATAATAATTTGTGCTTATTACCTTTTTTGTTGTATTTTTTGTGGTTTTAAACAAAATTATGAGAGTTAGAAGACAAGAATGTTGCTTTATTTTAGTGTTCATGACAAAATTACCGGTATGAAAGTTTGAAAACCAAAAAATGTAACTGTTTGCTGCAATCTGTAAATGGAAATTTTCCATTGTTTTGTTTGAATAAATGTGATATTACAACAATGACATCCATAGTTTATGACATAGGCCATGAATGTTGGTGGAGCGGGGTCTTGTTATTTAATTAATAAAAGAATATTAACTTTTGTGCCATGTGACCAAATATATTTAATGACAAATACATAGAGGATATTTGTTTGTTTGTGTGTAAGATGAAATTTTATTTCATCGAGTGGGCTTTAAAAACAGTATTCTCACGAGTGGCGTAGCCACGAGTGAGAATACTGTTTTTAAAGTTCACGAGATGAAATAAAATTACATCTTACACAACAAACAGACAAATTTTCTTTTTATTTTATGCTTTAAAACAAGTTAAAACGAAATTTCCATAATTTTAACGTTGATATTAAAATCTGTTTCCCCCGTTGAGAGCCCCATTTAGAGGGAATTTCTCATTAAAAACAAGAAGTCTTGAGCTGAAAAATAAGTCCGCCAATGAAGGTTAAATGAATGTGATATTTATTCATCTTATTAAAAAATATGAATGATCGCTTGTTTTAATAATAAAAACAAACAATTCTTGTAGGAGAAAAAGTCCAACCATCCATCCATATTTCTGTTACTTACTGCGAATTTATATTAGACCTGGCTTTGTAAAATGTAAACGGCAGCCATTTTTTAAAGTCGTGTATTTCATGGGAGGAAAATAATTGTGTAAGATACAGAAGGATATAATTTGGATTTGTTAGTCATACACCTTTTTAAAAGAAAGAAAACTTATTTGGGGATTGTAACAGACAAAAAATAAGTGTTGACAGAAGTGAAAACATTCAGAAAAGGAGCTAGGAAATTGGAAAACTTGGAAGCTTGCTAAGGCATTGTAAGGAACGCTGGGTTGATTTACTTATTTTACGAGTGATAGCTGTCAATGCTTTTCAATTTTTCATAAAGCATACGGCAGTTATTGCTCGTAGGATACTTTAATATGCCCAAATGTCATCAAGAGCAGTTTTGCATGGGGAAGGAATGTATTTTTCAGACTGTAAAAACGAAACAAAAAAATTTAGAGACGAAATTTTGTGATTGGAATTTGAAGGAATAGAAGTAAGTTTTCTCTCTTTTAATACTTTTGACATTAATGTTATTTATATATTTCAGCTTTGCTATTTTTTTAGCAGCCTGATATTGTCAGAATTGTCAGTAAAAATAAAATTGAGGTACCACATGGGGAAAATCTTAAAAAAGTAGTTTCGTCATTGAAAAAAGTGAAATTATATTTTGATAATTTTCACTGTGAAATTATCAAATATAATTTTCACGGATAAATCAGTAATCCACTGAAAAGCATAAAATAAAATCCTCTATTAACCCTTATTCAGCTAAGTAATAAGCCTTTTCTATCACTGACAAGTATAGAGTCAGGCCAGTCTGTAAAGCCATGCAGTCTGACTAGGCCCTATACTGTTGCATGCTTAACTTCAAATTTTCATCTTCATACCCAGAAAGTTTTAAAGCATTAAAGGTGGACTAGTTCATTGATGGAAATTATCAGGTTATAGGTTACACAAGTTTTCATATCAATACACTTTTATAATATACCTTATTATGAACTTATTATGGAATATTAGTAATATTAGCATAAAGTTCACATTCTTGTTTTCATGCTTGGAATAATAACTTTTTTTCTTTGCAGATTGTTGAGAAGTTGTTGACATTGTTATTTCTGTTAATGATACAATTTACTGGATATGAATATATATATACAACCATGTTGTCAAATAATGATCATCTGATCTATCAGCCTGATCATGTGACCTTTGATATAATCATGTGACCATTAATCTGATCATGTGACATATAAACATAATCATGTGACATATCATCTGGATTGGATGACCAGTCATTCTGTATGAGCTACACGGAAATGTTTTGAGCTGTTATCAATAATTTTGATAAAAAGATCACTACGCTTGTACATGTAGGTATTTGATCACCATTTAAAAACTATTTCATGTGGGATCCATAAGCGTAATAAATTTATTTCATGCCTGAATAATTTTAGTTCTGTAGTAAAAGTCATATAGATATCCTCAGTTTTTTATTAGGACATTTGCTTAATGTATGTTTAGCATTTATTATTGTATATTAGTTATTTTACTGTTACCTTATTGTTAAACAGGTATTTGTTTTCAATTTGTTCAACACATACATTAACCATATATGACAGTCAGTTATTTATTTACTAGTAATTATATTTGTATTTTAAGACAGATAGTTAAATAGGAAGTTTTTAATTGTAAACTTACGTCGTGCAAGTAGTTAACCCTCGGAGGTCAAACATCAATTACATATAGCATGCATATGCTACCATTGTCAAACAAGGTCCGTCTTTACATCATAAGCAGTAAATGGCAATCCTGGCCTGCCAAGTCTGTACTTCAATAAGTCTTGACTGGGCTTTATATATGATTTTGTCCATATCGTTTTATTTGAAATTGTTGGTTTTTGAGACCCTACAAGTTAACATTGTTAGTTTTAGATTAAGGGTGAAAAAATTCCTTTAAAACGAAAAAAGTGAGGACATCAATATAGGTTTACTTGAACTGTTTGAAAACAGTGTAAAGTGAGGACATTAATAATGTGAAGTGAGGACATTAGTATAGGTTTACTTGAATCATAAGAAACCAATGTTAAATTTGGGCCTTAATGCAGGTTTTCTTGAAACCCATGTAAAGTGAGGACATTAATAATGTAAAGTGAGGACAGTAATATAGGTTAACTTGAAACCCATGTAAAGTGTGGACATTAATAATGTAAAGTGAGGACATTGATATAGGAATACTTGAATCATAAGAAACAAATGTTAAGTAAAGATGTTGACATAGGATTACTTGAAATTTGAGAATTGTTGTCCAATGTGTTAGCAATCATTATGTGATCCTTTGTCTTCTCATCATCATCATTTTATATCAACCATACATTAAACAACCATTATTTTTGTGTTCAACACCAATCATTGGTGTATTTTTTTGTACTGCCAGTTGTGTATATTTATACTGTAAAGCTGTCCAAACATTTCCATGTTGGGTCAATATTATGATAAAATAAATTTGAAGTGTTTCCAAGTACCCGCCACAAGTTGAGGAAGGGATATTTTTAACTCTTAAAAAATATTTTCATTACCTGCAAAGTTCTAAGAAATTTATCATATATCTCACTTGGAAGGGTATAAAACAATACCAAGACAAACACTGATTTTATATCTTGTATCAAATACTAATGGAAACATTGCTAACATCTGTTACTTTTGTTGTTGATCTCTTCATATTATGACCATTCCTGTAAAAATAAATTGGATGATCTTTTTGTATATCATTATCCAAAGAATTCTGTCCAAACAAAAGTTTTGAAGAGTCCTATTTACATGTATATGTATTTAACTTCAATAATAATGATTGTAATAATTGAGCGAACTTGATAAGTAAAACTTAATTTATGCGTTACTTTAATATTAGACTTATTTTACAAAAATTAAAGACTGTTGCACTTACACTGAAGGTTGGTCTTGGCTTCTACAAGAAAATGACTTGATTTCAAATAGAGATTATTGCAGCATTTTACCAAGTTCTTACTGGAAATACATGTATACTATTCTATTTTTTTCATAGTTTAGGAATTGTAAATTAAGGAGCTTCACAATAATTGTTAATACATATTTATTCATTTTCTTGTTTTTGATGATTATGTCATAAATTTTGTATTTGTTTTTTGTTAGCACTAGTAGATAAAGTAGAGCTTGTACAAATGTAAGAGCGTTCGGCACAATGCTGCTGTAACGTCTTCAAGTTGCTCATTTGAGTCGCGTCACGACAAAACCAACATAGTGCGTTTTCGACCAGCATGGATCCAGACCAGCCTGGGCATCTGCGCAGTCTGATCAGGATCCATGCTGTTCGCTTTCAGTTTCTCTACTTGTAATAGGGTTTGTAAGCAAACAGCATGGATCCTGATCAGACTGCGCGGATGCGCAGGCTGGTCTGGATCCATGCTGTTCGCAAACCCATTATGTTGGTTTTGTCGTGACGTGGCTCATTTATGCTAAGTGTTGTATGCTAACTCAGCATTGTACGCTAAGTAACAAGTTTTGTGGTGAACGCTCAGTATGTTTAACAGGCAGTTTAGTTAATGTTGTACCTTGTACTTGATACACAGTGTAGTTAAGTTTTATTAAACTCAAAAGGCTCTCCACAATAAATGCTTTTCATTATTACAAGTAAAGATGCATTTGTCTTAGCATATTCTGTCCTTAGAAAGAAATAACATGAAGTTAAAACATATATTTATAACCAATATAACCATCAGATATTTTAAATCAGCTAGTTTCTTGCTAAAAAGATTTTTGTTTTGTTTTGTAATTAGTGATAATTTATTAATTAAATTTTTGTTTTGCAAATGAATGTAAAAGGATTCATTTTGGTATTTTTCTAAAAAGAAACAATTGCAGGAAGTCTTAATTTCCTTATATATTTACCAGTAGTTATTTTGGAATTATTTAAAGAGAATTTTGACAGTAAATTTATCAATGTATTTCATTAAAAAAATATATTTCAATGGTATCTTTTTAAATGTTTTACGGGAAGATAACTAAAATTCTTCATTAGGGTTTATATTTTTCCTCACACAAGATTTTGAATTTCTCAGCAACAATTTTGGTTCCTCTAGTTGCTAGCGGTGATTATGTCATGTGACCAGTGCTATCACCACAGAGCGTGGCCAGTTCAACACACATCTCTGTACTCTGACTGGACTCTACTGTTGACTGCTCAATTTTAATACATTGATAAAGGTCAAGGTCATTTGGTGAAAAAAGGTAGGTTTAAGCCATAACCTTCTGAGTTTTTGTAACAGATTTGCCCTGGTTTGAATTAAGAACTGTCCGGTTAAGAATTTAAAGGATTTCAATATCAAAATACAAAAATTGAGCTACCAACAGTATAGAGCCCGGTCAGACTGCATGGACGTGAAGGCTAGCCTGGTTGTAGACTGGTGACACAGTCTAATCACTTGATATTTTCTGTACTCAGTAGGTTCAAGGGGTAACAAAATTTTGCTTCATTTGATTAAGGAATAATATTTCAAATTTTTAGCTTCATTCAGGAATAATATTTCAATTTTTCTATGCACCTTTAATTAGAATTTATGTATTTTTAGTTTGGAAGACCACACAAACACTGATCTTGGATTAAGAATTCTGTAACAAATCTGTGATGTTGAAGGACATCAAATTTATTATTTGTTGAATAAATGATATATGACATGACCCTTGTTTTCTCTTTATTGTATATCTTTTACTACTGCAAAGACTCCTGCATAACCTAAGTTCTGTCTAGTTTGAATGATCAGATTAGTGGATTACAGTAAGAATTTTATCTCATCTAAATCTGTTTACAGTAAAGCACATGCCAATGTTCGAAAGATCAGAGTAAGGATCTATCACTAGAACAGTTGAGTTATTTTGTTTACAGTCAAATTTATGATTTGAAACATCATTCTTTCATATGTCACATAGATATATACTTGTAGTAGAAATTTAAACTACAAGTGCAATGTCATTACTAGGAACAAATTTCTTTATGGTGGTGAAATAAAGTGACATGACTTAAAACTTGGCATCTATAGACTCAAAGTATTTAAAGATATTCAGCTTTAATTTTAGGTATCTTGAACACTTGTGGCCGAGGGGTTTGCTCTAAGGGTTGAGGCATCAGAATTGCAGTCATCGCTTATCCTTGTGTGATTATAAGAGGCGACTAAATGGGTTGGAATTACTGGATTCTATGCATCTCTTAGCTCTAGCAGGTGAGGTGCTTTTAACCCCTGGTGTTGCTTTAAGTTTGTAACACCTGAGGTTAGCCAAAATCACCTTTCCTGTTTCGGTGCAATATAACCTGCATTGTGCTGGAGCTTCGTAAAACCAAACAAAACAAAATGAGGTATCTTTACGACCAATGAAAGATATTGTTCGTGAATGTCCAAGCTAACCTTTTGACAAAGGTACATTACTTTACATCAACTTTCCTTGCATGAGTCAAAGAAATGGATATTTGTGGCTGAAAACATCATAGCAGTTAATGATTTCCTTTTTCCTAATATTGGACTATAATGGTTTACAAAATAAAATGTAGAACAATCAAAGTACTGTATGTGTAGAAATATTCGCGGGCTTCAAATTTTCACTATCTTCGCGTTGACATTCGATCCACGAATTCATGTTTAGCGCGAATATTTCTACACCAATAATTTTTTAATAGTCATATTTTCGCGCTTCTATAGAATAATGTGTGTCAGAGTGTGATATGCTTTCACACTTTTTATTTAAATGTTTACTGAGTAATTGTGTTTTGTTTTCTAAGTTATTCATCATTTAAAATCGTTTATGTTTGTGTTTTTTGTATTAACCAAAACATGATCTGATCAGATGTCAAGACGTTTATAATGCAAACTGTGAATAATTATGCACGTTAACGGGCATTCTTTTGTTTGCTATATAATAGGTCCGCTAGACAATGTCTGTTTCTGTACAATAGATATTGTTTGACAATTGAAAATAACTGTGAACTCCCACGATGATTACAGTTATTTTCCTTATTTTTTAACCTGAGTGGTCAACGCGAATTCATGATTTTCGGCAGTCACATCCGCGAATTCAAAATAGCGCGAATATTTGTATAGACCCCCAAAGTGGACTTTGGACCTTTCCGCGAAAATTTGCTTCCGCGAATTTAAATACACATACAGTATTCTGACAGTTTCTTGTAAGATTATCAATTTTACCTTGAGATTAAGAGACCAATTACAAGGAAAAATCTTTAGACATTTTTTATTAAAACCAAAATGACTGTATAATAATTAATATATAATTAACTTCATGAAAAGTTTTAATTCAAGCATTGACTGTAAATTCAAGCATTGATTGCCACCAGTAACTAGCACACTTATACAATTTTCCCACATCATACATTGTTGTTGACTCAATTTTAAAACTGATTCTGAAGCCCTTCAAAACACCTGGTAGTAGTAGACACACAAAACAAGGACATACTGTCATAAGCATTGTAATATCTTCTGGATTCTGGAAAGCTTCGTGTATATAATATCAATACAAGTTATATTTTATCTAGAATATAATTCTATCATACATCAAGTAAAAACATAGCAAACAACATAAAGACAAAATGGAAAACAAGTATAAAATTTGAAAATTATCGTGAGGTATTAACAGCCATATTTTAACTACTCATTAACAAATACAACATGGCAATTTTGCAAAATTATTCCATAAACATAACTAATACAAAATAATCTCTAGGGACTGTGCAGTATTAGTTTCCCATACAAATAAACAAATACACACATAGTAAGTTTATAAGTAATGAAAAATATGTTGTACTTGTTAATACCCCTCCCCCCACCCCCTTACAAAAAGGTTAAAAAAAACCCAAACAGTTCTCCAATGAATTAATACAATGTCCTTTTCTTAACAGTTGATTTATCTTCGTACTATTGTATTGACATGCATTACAATATTACAATAAAAGTTCAACTTGTTAAAATGTAGCTTTTAAATTCTACACAGTTTTATATGGCTCATAAATGCATGATCCAAGATCTTATAACACATGTATACACTTTGGTATCAAGCTAGAGTTTTTGATAACACAACATCACTGGCAAATTACTGTATACTGGTTAAGTTCCAACAACCAAATTTGATCATCAAGATTTCTTCATATACTCCGCGTTTTCAATAATTAAATGTCCTTCACCATACATTTGTCCTATCAAAACCTGAAAATATACAAAAATAATATTGAGGGCTCAATCTGTAAAGAAAAAGATTGACATTTCGTATGTGAAAGGTACTCTACTGTCTGGATAAACACAATATGTAAGGACATTGTGTACTTAAAAATTCTACTTGTTCAAACATTGCTCTTGGAATAAAACAGATTTCTAGCACGAGTGTTTCAAGGAAAAAGTTAAGCTAATATGATGGTTGTGAACTTGTCAGTGTTGTGAGAAAACTTCAATGTTGCTCATAATATAAACATGTTAAAAGTTATCTACATGAAATTTGGATCATGAACAGGTGCATTTGTTAGACATGGGGCATAATTCTGGAAGCAATTGACTGCATTGACTATATTAGGTACATGACTGTACAATGTATATTTTCTTACATAATAATAATCCAATTTAAACTGGTAATTAGAATTAAATATTTCATAATACACAAATTACCTGTCTTTTCATTATATTAAGGTTATCCTGAGCTTTATCAAGTAAAGCTTTCATTTGTTGTGGATCTGTTACATCTTTATTAGCACGGAAGTCATATCTCGTCTTTTCCAGTGCATACATTCTAGAAAACATGTTAAAAAAAAATCAGGTTTACTTAAGATATATGATTTATATTTAATAAAGTGATATGTAGCTACTAGTCTTAATACTGACAATGCAGTCACTAACTACATTTAAATAACAACTGATTACATTTAAAGAAAAATCTTTCTTAAACAAGAAACTAATCAATAAGATGTACTTCCATCTTCAAAACTGTACTTTTCACAGGACCTTTTCCAGCAATTTTGGGAAAAGGCCCCTAGAATACATTGGGAAAAATGATTAAACATTTTCGTAAATTTGAAAAATGTTGGAAACTACTAATACATGATTTGTAAAATTAAATTTTTTAACATGTGTATAATCATATAACCAGTCACTTCTTTTAAGGAACTAGTTAAAACAGTTTAATTTGTGTCAGAAGTTGAAAAAGTTTGATATTTTTAGGCTGCTGTTGGGATTTGTCTTCTTAAATTGGGGGAAAATTTGGTTATTTAAGATTTGGAATGGGGCCTTATTTCAGCCCCTTCTGATAAGGTAAAAATACCCTGTTTAAATTTTCAAAACATAAGCAGAGATTATCTCATGATATAATATCAAAAATATGAAGGATGCTGACCAAAAAAACATACATAAAGTTATGAGTGAAAACAAGAGGGCCAACATGACCCTAGATGGCTCACCTGAGACCCATTGCAAAACAAGTTTTTAATTTGTTTAATATGAAAATACGTCACTTGGCCATATATTATAGAGAAAAAAACTAATTATAGAAATGTATGCGCAAAAATTATGGGGTACCTTGTCGTTTATGTACTGAGTTCAAATATTTGTATTTTTAAGGAAATCTATATATCTACCTGCCATTATTTAAATGTCAAACCCCTCACATGGACATAGACATGTAATCTCTTATGTAACAAGAAGAAAGATGTCTCTTTTAAACTGGGTGTTAAGTTTGGCGACATGAACCAGAGTTTTACAACTCACAGTGACCTTGGTGTTAAAATATCATTAAGGTGCAACTGCTATTTCTTGTTCTCCTTGTGCATGAATACCACAATCCTTCAGTTCACAGTGTTGGCCCTGGTTAAAAATACTTACCATAGTAAAAGACTCTGTTAGCCTGTACATAACAAGAGACCTAACATCTGTGACATAACTTATGACTGATGAATTGCTATAATAATGAGACCTGAAGAGGTAGTTACAATTGGTTTGAATTCTCCCACTGAGTATAAACTGCACTTGTCAGTTACTTTTTGGAAATGACATTACAAAAATCAAGCAATCTACAGTATTTCTAGCTTAAGGTCTTCAGCGTACCCGTTTATATATATGACATGACGTGAACGCTGAAGATAACCCCGTAGGGAAAGTCCACCAATAATCGTGCCAGGAATCTGACACGCTCGTATTTATTTATCGAACATGCCACTAAGTAAAGTGAAGCATACCTTGATAAAACGATATATAATCTGTTGATAAGCCAATAATGGGCAAATAAAAATCTTATTAGGAACATAAACTACCTAATAGTTTCCGACAGGTAAAAATTTCGGCACTTGGCCGCCATATTGTCAAAATGTTTGACCACGTGATTACGAGATTGACCTTTATGAACCCATGTGCCTCCAATATTTTTATAGATTACTTTTTTTTAAGATGTTGAAAAAGGTTATTTACTGACTGTTATATTCAATAAAATCATAATTAAATACTAAAAAAATTATGAAAATAAATAAAAACATTATCTTGAATAAAAATATCGAAATCATGTCAACAAAATGTTCTAAATATAGTACACAACTCTATTCAAATCTGTTCCCGCGAATGACGTCATACGAGGTCTCGCGTGGCACATGAATGTCATGGCCGACTGTAGTCGGCGAAAATTGATGTTTTACAGTTAAATAGGCAATTTTAATGACGGTATTGATATTTTATTACTTGAATTGGTTAAGAACGATATTTAAATAATTGTTTTACCGTAAAATGCACAAGAATTGATCGGGTCAAGTGTATTTGCAAGTGAAAAACAAGAATAAATCAACTTATGTTATTCTGGTTAGGTTTCGTAACGGGTCTAATCCAAAACTTTAATGCCGCATCTGATGAAAAACAAAAATGTTAAAAAGCGGCTTATAAAGTTTTGGAAGCCAGAACTACAGTATTTCTAACAGTGAAATTAGTCTTGGTCAATATCTTGTAACCTGGTAACTTGATCATACATGTACATGACTATCAATTGAAGTGTATCATTCATATAGTGCATTTATTATCTTACTGTAAAATGCCAAATCGATTATTTTCGCATTGTCTTTAAGACAACTGACAGAATCACCTTTTAAATTTAAAAATACAACTATGATCAGATGGCACAAACAGGACACCTTAGATTCACAAAAATTACTTTTGATTTCTAAATCTTATGATTCTGCCATAAAAATTCTAACTTGAAATGTTTTGAATACCTAAAATTATATGAATTGTACTTCTTGCATTCTTTTAGGAGCTTCCTGTAGAGACTTAACGTTTGAGATCGTGCGCTTGACATTTTGGTTGTGCTTTTTGCCTAAATGTTACCAAACTCCTCACAGCGGTTACGTCACGCTTTGCTACTTTAACCACTGCCACCACTGAAATCACGTGATGATAGTTGTATCATGTGACAAAAACATGCCGGCCAGTTTCAGAACGCCAGGGATCCCATATCAAACTGGCAGATTTATAATTACATCATTACCAGACAAAATAAGTTCAAGAAATACAATTTGTTATCACTTTAAAACAAGTGCCGGATCAAATCTTTTTGTGCAATCGTTCAATAACTGTTTATATTCTACCATTGTTTACTATGCATACGGTGTCACAGTGAAAATATCTTTCGTTATGTTTACAAAATAATTTTTATACGTATATTTTTTTACTTTCTTGTACATTAAGCATAATTATCTAACGAAAGAAAACTAAAATGATATAAAGTATTATATTTTAAAATTAAAAGTGAAAAAAATATATCCGGCTATATTCGACCGAATTTACTTGTGGTGGCAGTGGTTACTGTACAGATCAGGGGAAGTAACCGCTGCGAGGAGTTTGAAATGTTACCCCAACACCGTTTTTACGACATTATGTAATAAAAACAATTTCAATAAAATAACATATTAGACGACTAAATAGTTTGCCAAAATTGAAAGGTTGAAATATTTTCAATATTAAATATTACCATATTGTTTTTGAAATATTTAAAGTCGCAAAATAAAAAAAATGATTTCACTTATGATATTAATGGCCGCTCCCATGGGCTTGAATGTCGATTTTCTTAAAATTTTGTTCCTGGATACAGAGTGAAGCAGAATGCGGCATATATTGAAAAAATATTGGTAAATAAAAAAATCAAAAAAAAAATCATAATATCATTCTTAAATACTTTTTGAGCATGGTTGTGAAGTGTCTTTTTGACCACCCGATTCGCCTAGTCCAATATAATATGAAAAAGGCAAAGCCTCAAAGCGAGCTCGATGTACTTTTAACGTTAAATAGTATGAAATAATCGCTCATTTTTATTTCAAATGCAGTGACGAGTGCGTGTGACGTCACACGTACTGTGTTAAATATGGCTCCGCCCCTGTCGTTAAATGAATAACGAGTTTTGAAAACGTTGATAAAACTTTGTTTGTTTATTTTATTTCACTCTAATATGAAATTAGGCAATGCCTATGAACGGGGAAGTCGTTAAAAATTCCTTTCATTCTTTCCGTTTTAAAGGTGTCATTCGGTATTACATGCACCGCTTCCGTTTTCACTCGGAACACTCGGCGATTATCATTTATCCGAAAAGTTGAGATTTGTTCCGTTATCGGAATACCCCGCCTATTATCATTGAGTTACATTGTAAATGGCGGCGCCCGACTAGAACTGACACTGAAAATTTCATTGATAGGTATAGAATTCTATATATTTTTAATTGTTTTTTTATTTGATTTTCTTTAAAATATACACGTGTAGTCTATAGCCGGGCAAGCCAAAGCCCGGGCCCGCTTCGCGGGCCCGGTCTTTGACTTCCCCGTATAATTTTTCAAGCGAAATAAAGATTAATTTGAAAAAGGCAAAGCCTCAAAGCGAGCTCGATGTAATTTAAACGTTAAATAGTATGAAATAATCGCTCATTTAATTTCAAATGCAGTGACGAGTGCGTGTGACGTGACACGTACTGTGTTAAATATGGCTCCGCCCCTGTCGTTAAATGAATATCGAGTTTTGAAAACGTTGATAAAACTTTGTTTGTTTATTTTATTTCACTCTATAATTTTTCAAGCGAAATAAAGATTATTAAAAGTAAATAAATGTAAAACTTAATAGGTTTGCGACATTAAAATAGCGTACTTGATTTGATTGTTTTGCACATGCTGTTTGGCGCTACATTGTGACATCATGTAAACAATACTTTAAACTTATGTACAGCGTTAACGACTGAATAAAAGATATTGGTGTTCGGATTCATTTTCTTAGTTAGACCATTTTCTTTCATTCTAGATAGTTTTCACAACAAAATTCGACAAAAAATTGTTTTTATTTATCAGATTTTTCAAACAAAATGGCGCCATCAATTTTCATTTTACAATTTCCGTTTTAAAACTGTCATTCGATATTTTATACACAGCTTCCGTTATTCTGGTTCCCTGTCCAATTATGGTTCCCATAGACGTGCGCGGGTGACCAGTCTACACATCCGTTTTCAGTCAGAATTCCTCAGTTTTTATCGTTATCTTTAAATTCGAAAAGTTGCGATGTGTCCAATTCTATATTTCGGACGAAAGTTTTCAAAACCATCACTTAGCAGGTACTCGCGTTACCGTAAAGCTCGCTTTGCGAGCAGGCCCTTCGGGCCAGCTCGTCGAGCTCGCTATTAGACGTTACAGGCTTGTTATAGTTTATGTCGGTCAAGCCTGACGTCTAATAGTTATTGCTCCAAAACGCATAGCATCATAAAAAATTAAAAAAATGTCTATTGTCTTGCCTTTCAAGCTTTATTCAAAAGCTTATCTTCTTTTCTTTCAATTTCATGCTCAATCATACACAAAAACTCTCAAACAATGTACTTATCAATTTAAAATAAAATATAAACATCAATCTATTTTTGTCCATCAGCCATACTGGTTAAGCAAGGTGCTTTACAGATTAATTCCAAATTTTTGAACGGAAAAATATATTCGAACACACTGACGGTGCATGGGCAATTATTTCGTTAAAAAAATATTCCGTTAGATTGTTCTGACTCAGTTAAACGCTTGCATTTAAATTAGCCAATCAGATTTCGTGCACTTTATGGCATCGGCTGTAAAAAAGAATTGAAATACATGAGAGGATTTAATCATGATTTTTCGGATGTGACAGTTTAATTATTTTGACAAAAGGTATTTATTTTTTAGTTTTGTTCATAAAAAGGTCAAAACTTATGTAAATACACGCTGTCTTCATTGTATTCATTCCGCCCGATTTTCTGTCGGAACATGCTATGGGTTTTTGAGCAATTTCGATATGACGTTGCTTTGCCCAGAAGCAAACATATCTCAAAGCGACGTCATATTTATAGGACTACCGATTCGCTCCATTACTATTCGCCCTTTTCAGTACCAACACGGCCCTTTTAAAAGCAATCGTTTAAATAAATGCATGTACATCTAATAATAATATGAAATTAGGCAAAGCCTATGCACGGGGAAGTCGTTAAAAATTCCTTTCATTCTTTCCGTTTTAAAGGTGTCATTCGGTATTACATGCACCGCTTCTGTTTTCACTCGGAACACTCGACGTTTATTATTTATCCGAAAAGTTGAGATTTGTTCCGTTATCGGAATACCCCGCCTAATATGAAATTAGGCAAAGCCTATATGAACGCCTATAAACGGGGAAGTCGTTAAAAAAATCCTTTCATTCTTTCCGTTTTAAAGGTGTCATTCGGTATTACATGCACCGCTTCATTCGGAACTGCCTCGGCTATTATCTATAATAACCTCGGAAACAATACGAATTGAAAGTAGTTCTGCCACGTGGTTTCAGATGTAAACAGAAACAGAGATAATGTAAAACGAATGTATATATTTGACATCTAATGTCTGTTCCGGTACTCTTTTGCTAGAAAATATGTCTGACAACAATTTGTAATTTAAATATGCCCACTGATGTTCAATTTTAAACAAATCCGACTAAATGTCAACCGGTTGGCTTTTTGTACTTTCGGTTTCTACAACCATAATAATAAATATATAAATAATGTATTGTTTGCTTTTGTACCTATGAATTCACTTATTTTAGGTGAACTTTTACTACATATATTGGAAATAAACTTGTCAACAACTCCCAGCATTAAATTACTATTTGTTTACATGTTTAGTATCTTAGCGTAGGTTAGACCGAAATACCGCATCCGTTCTGTGTATTCATACTATTGTGTTCGAGGTCCTTATCCGAAGACTGACGGAAAGGGCCGAGTAGTTGCGATTGGCACCGCTTCCGTTTTCACTCGACGATTATTATTAATCCGAAAAGTTGAGATTTGTTCCGTTATCGGAATACCCCGCCTATTATCATTGAGTTACATTGTAAATGGCGGCGCCTGACTAGAACTGACACTGAAAATTTCTTTGATAGGTATAGAATTCTATGTATTTTTTAATTGTTTTTTATTTGATTTTCTTTTAAATATACACGTGTAGTCTATAGCCGGGCAAGCCAAAGCCCGGACCCGCTTCGCGGGCCCGTTCTTTGACTTCCCCGTATGAACGGGGAAGTCGTTAAAAAAATCCTTTCATTCTTTCCGTTTTAAAGGTGTCATTCGATATTACATACACCGCTTCCGTTTTCACTCGGAACACTTGACGATTATTACTAATCCGAAAAGTTGAGATTTGTTCCGTTATCGGAATACCCCACCCATTATCATTGACATACATTGTAAATGGCGGCGCCCGACTAGAACGGACACTGAAAATTTCATTGATAGGTATAGAATTCTATATATTTTTTAATTGTTTTTTATTTGATTTTCTTTTAAATATACACATGTAGTCTATAGCCGGGCTTCGCGTACCCGGCCTTTGACTTCCCCATATAAACATCAGTCTATCACTTGTCCATCGGCCATACTGGTTACAGATTGATTACAAATTTTTGAACGGAAAAATATATTCGAACACGCCGACTGTGCATGGGCAATTATTGCGTTCAAAAATATTCTGTTACAAACGTCTGACATATTTAAACGCCACTCAGATTTCGCGCATTGTATGGTGGCCATTTGTTTATCGGCTGTATAAGAAATTTAATTAAATGAGTGGATTAAATCATGATTTTTCGGATGTGACAGTTATGGTTTTGTTAAAAGGTATTTATTTTTGCTTCCCTGCACAAAATGGCCGCTAGAGCTAAAATTGGAAAACTCTTGTCAGTCTTCACAGGTCAAAATACTTGTGGGATTTCAACCAAACTTTACAGGAGTGATCAGTACCATCCCAAGTTGTGCACATCACCGGCACATTCTGCTTAGCTGCACAAAATGACCCCCAGAGCTAAAAATAGAAAATTCTTGTCAGGCCTTCATAGGTCAAACTAGTGGTGTCAGGGATTTCAACCAAACATTACAGGAGTAATCAGTACCATCCCTAGTGTTGCACATCACAATGATCACTGGCAGGTTCTGCTTTGCTGCACAAAATGGCTGCCAGAGCTATAAATAGAAAAATCTTGTCCGGCTTTCACAGGTCAAGTTACTGGTGGGATTTCAGAATGGTTACATTTATATAATAATATGTAAATATGTATTTTATTCCAGCTACCCTCCAATTTGTATAACTTATAAATGATAGCTTTCATTCAGTTTCAGGTCATATTGGTCATTATTTTTCTTTTTCCTAACTGGACACTTCCAATATACCCATTTATAGCATGTTTCTATAACAAAATTACCAATAGTATGAGTCAAGGGCTAGAAAGTGGGGCAAATGTGACGTTTGACGTTTCTTGTTTATTTTTAGTTAGTTCCGTTTTAAAAGTGTTATTCGGTATTTTATCACACACCCGTGCCGATTTCACGACTCCGTAAATATGGTATTGCACGGCCGTGTATATATTTTGACCTGACGTCATGAGCGTTATACAAACATAGTGTAAAGACGCGCTAAATGTTAGCGTTATACTAGAGGCGCATCAATGAAAAATGACTCTTATTTCACTTTAAACGGTCTTTATTTTGGATATGTGATAAATAGAATATTATATTCGTGTAAGTTCATTACTGAATTTATTGCACTCGTTGAATAAATTAATATTGTAACGTGTCCGAGCTTCTGTCTTATTATTCAAGTAGCGTTTGAGCTATGCAAAATTATAGCTTTGCCTATTATAATATATATAATTTTTCTCAGGCTACTTTGCCTTATGATTAGAAATAAATGATTCTCAAATGATTTAAATAACAGTAAAATCAATGGGAATTAATAAAGATACGATGTTTTAAATATAGTTCAAAGTTTCCTCAAACAGTTAACTTTATCAAGTCAACGTCTTCTATGTAAAACACAACCAATGGAAAATACTATATCATTCTTATGGTTAGCTTTCTATAAATCTTTCCTAATAATTTGACACATCAACCTATAAGAACTACTTTACATTCTATATGTTCAGCCTTTCATTAATCTCACCAGCGACCCGTACAACTAAAATATAACTAAGATTAAACCCTGAACACAAAGCGCAATGCTTTAATGTTAAGATATCAGAACGCAATGCTCTTAATATCTGAGTCAATCTTATTATGTTGTATTTACGGCACAAAGTCCCCAGTATTATATTAATTAGCTGATAATTAATACTTATTTATTTCTCTGACCTTCCTAGACGACGTCTCAGCTGCAACTCTTCAAATCTGTCTGTGTGTCTGCTTTTATATTAATGCAAGAACCACGTGATCTCTGATGACCAATGAAAATTAATCTACATACCTTACTGTTATCTGATTGGCTGGCTAAGAACTATTCTTGTTCAAAGAGCGTCTAAAAGTTTAATGATTAACTTGTTTGACAAGTGTCTAAAAATCTATTATTTATAAACAATAATCATATTTATATTAGCTTCATCAAATAACTAATTCTAAAGTCTTTAAGGAACTAAAACATAAACAAGTCACAATATATTAAGCAAATACTATTTACCTACGTTGCATATACGTTTGCTTTCAATCATACAAATGGTGTTTCTAAAACAAAGGGGAATAACTCTGTTAATTAATATAGATATCAGGCTACTTTTCGTCACAATATTACATGTATGCTCGCCAGAGGCTCGCATAATATAATTTTATTCAACTCGTGCAATAAATTCAGTATTGAACATACACTCATTCAATATCCTCTATTTATGCACCACTTGCACAAAATGTAAAACCCTAAAATTCATTTGAAAGCTACTTGTATCCTTGGCAAACCATAACCCATTTGGCCATTAGTCACTGAATTGATTTTTGTAAAAAGACCAAAAGCCACATTAATGGATGGATAAAAGCCCTCCACCAAAAAATAGCAAATGGACTATAAACCTGTTGGGGTTGGTAGATAAAAATAGAAAAAAAAACTGATCTAAAATAGCATGGGACAAGTGATCAGTAGCTGCTAGCTGGAGAACAGTTCACTTTTAAAAATGTGAATTTTACTTAAATGTACAGTATAACCACAGCTAGTCTCTCAGATTAGATTTGACTTATAGGTGTAAGGTGTTTCAGAGTGTAGAAGTTCCAGCATTATGTTTAAAAAAACAACAACAACAATTATTAAAATATTATCTTTCCAGAGCTACACAAAATAAATATGTCGGCCATAAAAAATTTTTAATCAAAAGATTAAAAAAAAAAATTACAAATCTGAAACCGCTGAATTGAAAATTATTAGCGACATGGCGTTTGTTGAAAAGTTATGTTAATTATAACTTATAACATGTAATTTTTATATGCATTAGAGAAGTTTAATGACCTTATTATACCCCCACCAGATAATGTGGAGGGGGCATTACAGGAATCATTTGTTGCGTTGGCTGGTCTAACAGTCAGCTGGTCTGTTTGGTCAAACTTCCAATGGTTCATTCTGTCCATAATTTTGTAAAAAAGTTATATCATATACTTTACTGGCTTATTTGAAAAAAATCCCTGACCACATAAATATCAAAGAAAAGCACTTTAACCCAAAATGTTGGCATGTCTGTCCATCTGTACAGACTCAAGGTCAAGATCTCTTGAAGGACAGGTATCAGATAATTTTGCATCTACTGTCTAAATCCTATATGGATACCCATTGTGGCATTTTCTTCAAACTTGTCACAAATGTGCACCTCTACAAGAAAACGTGCAAAACCTATGCTCCCACTGTGCAAGCTCAAGGTCACCCTTGAATCTGTATATACAGACATTTTGTGTCTGTATGCACTATAAATTCTATACTTTTCAAATAACCTTTTTCAAACTTAACCCAAATGTTTTCTTCCAAAAAATATATGATAATATGCACTACTAATTAAATATACTGTTTCAAGTAATGGTGTTTGTCACTCCTCTTTATTATTTGATACAGAGTTTCAGATGACATTTTATTTATCACCTCTTTTATCTTTTATCATTTTCAGGTTATTATCTCAGTATAGCAACCATCAGGTTCCTGCCAGATGTCTGTGTACCAAACCAGCTGCAAAAGATGTGACACACGTTCTAGGTAAAGACTACCCAGTAGACAGCTGGACTAACATTACACCATCGATCATCGGAAAGCTAGGAACCAACCTTCATACCAAGAAACATCATCCTCTTGGGCTTATTAAACTTCAGATACAGAATTACTTTTACAAGAATTATTTAAAGAGAAGTGGGAATCCTATATTTTCGGTTTATGATAGCATAAGCCCAGTTGTGACTCTGGAGCAAAATTATGATAATTTATTGGTCCCCAAAGACCATCCAAGCCGTAAGCCGTCAGACTGTTACTATATCAATTCTAATTATTTGTTAAGAGCCCACACAACGGCTCATCAGAGGGATCTGATATCAAGTGGACTGGATAGTTTTCTAATTGCAGGAGATGTATATCGGAGAGATACAATAGATTCAACACATTACCCGGCGTTTCACCAGATAGATGGAGTTAGACTATTCTCAAAACATGAGGTAACAAAACATACCTTTATTAACCATTTAAACATCAGTACCGTAAAACTTCACAGTCGAAGTAGAACTATCCTACAATTGAGAAAAAAGGTCCAAGGGGTTGAAGGTTTAATATAGGTTTGATCATGTATTATACTCGAACCCAGGACCCTCGGAAGACCGTATCGCGGCTCTACGGACTCGGCTATCCGGCAGCTTTCACACAATATCCCCAAATTAGTGAACAGTTCTGAACCGTGACACATTCTACTATACATGTGTATGTGTATTTTGAATAAATTAAAGTTCTTTTGAAAACAATTGTTGTATATCATACATGAACAGTCACAAAAGACACTGTGAAGGTCATTATTACCTTACCTTGTAAAATACAAATAGGATAGACTAGTTTCAACTTTCTCTATAAAAATGCATGTATCTTTTGATCCAGCTATTTACAGTAAATCTTTTGAAAATAATGTGTACACAAAACTACTCATTAAAATAATTATGTCTATTATAAACATGACATGTATGTGTGAAACATTAAACAGACATTTTATTTGATATTATAATATTTATTTTTTATGCCAAATATTGTGTCACAATGTCAATATCTGTTGCTATGTTTGTTATTAATCATACTAACTGAAGAAGCTTAACTAAATATTAAAATTATAATTAATAAATTTTGTTGGTTGATGAATTGTTTTATCACAAATTCATAATTATGATTAACAAATATTGAGAACTTTAATAATCTTTATAGCTGTTTCCAAATGAAGAAGATCACAGCTCATTGCATTTGTTTGAGAATGGTTCTGAGACAAGTTTGAAACAAGGTGAACATACGCTGGAAGCTGCTCTGGTTGTTGCTAATCAACTAAAGAATGACTTACAAAATCTAGCCAAGTCTCTGTTTGGACAAGGTAAGCGAATAAACGATGTGATGAGTGTTAAAGCTGCATGCCTCCAGATGAACCGAAATATTTCAAGAAAAATTAAATTTAAGAAAAATGTGCTAAAATTTGAAGAAAAGTAAAATGTTTCGAGTAATGATTTACATGTTACATGCAATTAAGGGCTGATTTTGCTGTATTTATCACCATATTACTACTGCGTTACTAATGCAGTAAGAGCTAATTTTAACCTCTTTTTGGTATTTATTGGGATTGCAAGAGCTGTTTGCAATGTGTAAATTATTTTCTTTGTTCACTTCACAATATTTTACTTTTAAACACATTTTCAAAATTTTCATGAAAATTAGTAGGAATCTGGAGGCATGCTGCTTTAACATTTTTAGCCTATGCATATATAGCATGGGATTTTGTTTCCTTTCAATATTGTCTTAAACTGTTTTAGAGATACATGTATAAATAATTTTTTTTTATAATTCTTTTAGTGAATGGTTTACCTCATTGAGATGATTTGCAGTCTGTTTGCAAACTTTTGAATGGCCCCTTGGCAGCAGATGGCAACAGAATCTATCCATGTGACTAGTGTAGACCAATACATCTTGCACGAGTGCTGTCTGATCATGGTCTGCACTGTTCTATATTCAGTACATATAAATTATATCGAAATTGGGGGCCTCCTTGGCAGAGTAGTCAAGGTCGTTGATTTCAAACCACTTGTCCCTCACCGCTGTGGGTACAAATCCCAACAGGGACATTGGATTCTTTCATGTGAGGAAGCTATCCTGCTAGCGTACGGAAAGTCGGTGGTTCTACTCAGGTGCCTGAAATAATGCATGGAAGTGCTACTAAGGTCTTCCTCCACCAGTAAAGCTGAAACATCGCCATATGACCTACATTGTATACTCTGTCGGTGTGATGTAAAACCCAGTCAAACAAACAAATACCGAAATTGCCCTCAAAAGGTATGAATGCTATAGGCAATTAATTTTCTTAGAATATAAAAATTTTTGGTTTTTAATTAAGGCAGTACATGTAACGTAGCGTGTTAATTTATTGTCATCTGTTTAGATATTGAGTACCGTTGGATTGAAGAATACTTCCCCTTTACACATCCATCATGGGAATTAGAAATTATGTATGAAGGCAAGTGGATGGAAGTTTTAGGGTGTGGGGTCATACGTCAAGAGATTCTGCAGAAAGGTTAGTGTGAGTTCATCTCTATTTCTTTTGATTTTATGTTATATTTTTTTATTGTTTTGAATTTGGAACTGTTGATTGTTCACATTAGTCGTAAGGGCTGAATGGTCAAAGTATTGAAAACGTGTACCTATTTATCAACAGATTTACATCAAGGCATTAACAGATGTAAATCATGTCATGTAATCATGTAACTTAATAAATTAAATCATTTAATCATTTAATAACATAAATTAAATCATGTTACTGAACAAATTAAATCATGTCACTGAACAAATTAAATCATGTAGCAGCATAGATTAAATCATTTAATAACATAAATTAAATCATGTCGCTGAACAAATTAAATCATGTTAGTAAAGTCACCAGATAAAATTGAATCCTGGCTCAGAATATTAAATCAAGTTAAATACAAATATATTAGATCGATAAAAAAGAACATTTAAAGGTTTGTTCATGATATCAGTGTATCTTAATTGTACTTTAATTTCATTATAATACCTACAAACATTTATGGTAAAATACATGCAGTTTATTCTGATGCTTTACACTGTTGTTAATAGCTGGAGCTGTAGATAAGATTGGTTGGGCATTTGGTATGGGACTGGAGCGGCTAGCTATGAAGTTATACAATATACCGGACATTCGGTTATTCTGGAGCTCAGATCAAAGATTTCTGAATCAGTTTATTGTTGATGATCCGAGTACAAAAATAACATTCAAGGTGGGTATCACATTGATAAGAAAAATTATTAACATGCTTTTTTTAACATGATAATTTGAAGAATTGGTCCATGGTATTCACTCTAGTGTTATCATGACACACTAGGCTATCATATAAACCAGTGACAGTATTCACTTCAACCTTCATACATGTCTGTGGAATCGTGATAATATGACTGTTTCAAATCCCATAATTGCAGCATGAATTTTACTGAATTACAATATACAGTCGACTCCACTTACAACAAACTCGCATATAACGAATTATCGTTAATAGCAAACTAAATCTGACATCCCCGGCTGATTCCTTCTTTATTTTATATTGAATAACGTTGCTTAATACGTACTCCCTTATAATGAATTTTCAGCTATAACGAACCATTTTTTCAAGCCCCAAATGACGAAAAACATGTAAATTTCCTCGGTTATAACAAACTGTTATACTTGAAATATCAGGATGCGCTTGATTAGGATCAGTACATGAATAACGCTATCTGATAATAATACAATCGAATGATTGCACAGGTTAGTTATGGCTTCAGGGAATAAAGATTTTGATAAAATGTTCTCACAATATAATTTCCTAATTGTTACGGAAAATTTGTATTTCGCACCCTCAGTTGATTGCTGTAAATACCTGATAATACCAAATAATTGATTGTTTTTGTTTGCAATATTAACCAAACGATAATAAACAAATAGCAAAAGAATACTTTATAGACAAGTACTTCATTAATAAATACTATATCATGTACTTATATAATATACTTATTAAATATATTGTTTAATAAAATGCCCCGCATTAAATAACCATTTAATAACCGCTGCAGTAAAATACCGGTTATACCTGTAACCAGTGAAAAGTATGGCTTTTTCACAGCAAATTTCCCCATCCAAACAAGTCAGCAAGTTGTTGCTACTTGCTTTTAGCGAACTTCGGACGATATGTTAATGTCCCATTGAGTTCGTTATAACCGAAGACGACTGTATACTATTTGACAGATTTTTACGTATTAACAACTGAAGGTATAAGCTTAAATATGATAAATCATTATATCAAGGAAAAGTGCTTTTCTGGTACTGCTTTACATTTAATACAAAAAGTTGTTCATTTGAATCCTCTCACATAAATGAAGGGTATTTATTGCCCCTTTTGACTTGTATTTATTTCGTATTCCGTATTGCTGCATTGAATGTAGGAAATTCGTCTTTTGAATAAATCACCACCTATTTTTTGTTTGTTCTTCGAAACAAAAATTAATAAATTTTGGACAAGTTTGTCTCATAAAAAGCAATGTATATGCATGTATCCCTAAGAAAGTTAACAAATTGCTTTCTGGGATGATTCTGTGTTAGTAAAAATAACATCCATAATATATTAAATTATAAAGTGTTTTATTATGGGATTTATCCTGTATACAAGTATTAAAGTAGCTTTAAATAAATATGTAAAAATATTTTGCTGTCAGCCTAAAAACCATGCATTCTACAGTTTCATTAATCTTTTTAACAGTATTGTTGTAAATCTCATCAAATAATATTTATTAATTACAATTTTTAACGGAAAACCCTACAGTAGCACTAAAGTTGGTGTACGAATTTTTACATGCAAATGAAGACTATAATCAGCTAGAGTATGCGCTATGTCACAGTGTTAAAGTTGTTATACGGACATATCCAATATGAGATTTTTCTTGTGCAAACACACTTCAACCATTTTAGCTTTTTAGTGCACTAGAAATAATTATGCCATAAAAAAATTAAATTTGTATGAAAACATCCGTTACAATTCGGAAATATACCGTTCAATTAGGACTGCTACTTATAGTCATGTATGCTAATTTAATATTGATGTACGAATGATCCGAAGGCGGAGTTTCTCATGCAAACAGAAATTGTTCTTCCGATTTTGCCACAATGAGGTTGCAGATTTTATGCTTATAAAACTCATTTTGGTTGTCTGGACACCAAAATAAGAGCTGGAGTCGATGTGAAACCAAATTAATAATGAAATGTCGCTATTTCTGTTCTTATGAAATTTATTAAATGTAACTTTAACTATTGAAAGCTGTATCAAATAAGATTTATTATCTTTTTTTTTCAGCCATTTAGTAAACACCCTGAGGTGATAAATGATATATCATTCTGGATACCAAGTGATTATGAGGAGAACAATTTTTATGACTTGGTGCGTTCTATTGGTGGTGATCTTATAGAGAATGTAGAACTTGTTGACAAATTTGAAAATAAGAAAAAGGGGAAAACAAGTCATTGTTATAGACTAAGATATAGACATATGGAGAAAGCCCTAACACAAGAAGAGGTCAATGCAGTGCATGCTAAAATAGAACAGGATGTACAAAGTATTCTCGGAGTGGAAGTCAGATGAAATACAATGTACATGAAAAAGAAATCTAAGATTGAACTATTTGTTAATTTATAGAAAAAAATAGTGTGTGTAATGACTGTTTATGATGAAATATAAAATATATATATAAAGACATTTTTTTTATACTTACTAAAATGTTCTACTTGTTGCTTCTTTTTTAAGTGTGTGAATAAAAATTTTAAGATAATTTTATGTTTTTGATTTATGAAGAAGATATATACATGTATTAAGTGAGTGATACAGAAAACTTTTTTTTCCTTGCATTTTGACATTTTAATTCTCTCAAATATTCATAGAGAAAAATATGTGTTAGAAAATATTAGTTACAGTTTGAATTTAGCCAATATGAATCAGTGTTAACTGCTGATACTTATGTTGGCAACAAACCTCACATGGAAAATAACATCTGATAATATTGAGTTGGTTTCTGGTAACAAGCACATTTGAAGGTTAAACACAAATTTGTAATAAAATGGCATGTTTACAATATAGAATGATTTTTGTTGAATATGAACTATTTTGTGAAATAAAAAAAACTTGAAAAGCTATCTGACACCTAAATTTGTTGGTTATAGATTTTCCCTTGTCCATCAGTCCAGCTGTACCTGACCTTCAATAGACTGACCAATACAGTGCAATGTGGGGACACATGGTCTGTGTGTGGCACTTTAAATTTGATTTTGACTAAATATGTTTTGATCTCCTTTTGTTATACATGTATAGTTGAAAATACATTATACTTAACAGTTACAGATGATAACAATTATTTGTATGGTAAGACTACTGCAACCTAAGACGAGGATAATATACTGGATACAGTGAGCCTTTTCCTGCCCATATATTGAGAGGAAACTAATCTTTCTTTCATGCACACCTAATTTAAATTTACTTTGTTTTAAATTTTACCCTATATTTGTTTAAATGCCAATATTGAATTTCAGTATCCAATAATAACCAGGTTAGAACAGGTAAGAAACCACCTATTCTAGTGGCAGTTCTAACATACTAGATACTATATATTAGATGGAAAGCTTTGTTGGACTTACAACTCACTTTCGGTAAGTTTGGTGAATTGTGCTACTATTTATAGAGAATGTTCAAGCTGTGTTGAGAAGGTTGTAAAAGAATACAGGTATACTTCAGAGTTTAATCATAAAAACAAAAATGTTTTATTTTCCTATTTTATTAAAAACAAACAAATAAATTAATTATAACAAACCATATATCAATAACTTTCTTACACATCATAATTTCGAAAACTGCTTTACATTTAATACAAAAAGTTGTTCATTTGAATCCTCTCACATAAATGAAGGGTATTTATTGCCCCTTTTGACTTGTATTTATTTTGTATTCCGTATTGCTGCATTGAATGTAGGAAATTCGTCTTTTGAATAAATCACCATCTATTTTTTGTTTGTTCTTCGGACCAAAAATTAATAAATTTTGGACAAGTTTGTCTCATAAAAAGCAATGTATATGCATGTATCCCTAAGAAAGTTAACAAATTGCTTTCTGGGATGATTCTGTGTTAGTAAAAATAACATCCATAATATATTAAATTATAAAGTGTTTTATTATGGGATTTATCCTGTATACAAGTATTAAAGTAGCTTTAAATAAATATGTAAAAATATTTTGCTGTCAGCCTAAAAACCAAGCAATTTCTACAGTTTCATTAACCTTTTTTACAGTATTGTTGTAAATCTCATCAAATAATATTTATTAATTACAATTTTTAACGGAAAACCCTACAGTAGCACTAAAGTTGGTGTACGAATTTTTACATGCAAATGAAGACTATAATCAGCTAGAGTATGCGCTATGTCACAGTGTTAAAGTTGTTATACGGACATATCCAATATGAGATTTTTCTTGTGCAAACACACTTCAACCATTTTAGCTTTTTAGTGCACTAGAAATAATTATGCCATAAAAAAATTAAATTTGTATGAAAACATCCGTTACAATTCGGAAATATACCGTTCAATTAGGACTGCTACTTATAGTCATGTATGCTAATTTAATATTGATGTACGAATGATCCGAAGGCGGAGTTTCTCATGCAAACAGAAATTGTTCTTCCGATTTTGCCACAATGAGGTTGCAGATTTTATGCTTATAAAACTCATTTTGGTTGTCTGGACACCAAAATAAGAGCTGGAGTCGATGTGAAACCAAATTAATAATGAAATGTCGCTATTTCTGTTCTTATGAAATTTATTAAATGTAACTTTAACTATTGAAAGCTGTATCAAATAAGATTTATTATCTTTTTTTTCAGCCATTTAGTAAACACCCTGAGGTGATAAATGATATATCATTCTGGATACCAAGTGATTATGAGGAGAACAATTTTTATGACTTGGTGCGTTCTATTGGTGGTGATCTTATAGAGAATGTAGAACTTGTTGACAAATTTGAAAATAAGAAAAAGGGGAAAACAAGTCATTGTTATAGACTAAGATATAGACATATGGAGAAAGCCCTAACACAAGAAGAGGTCAACGCAGTGCATGCTAAAATAGAACACGATGTACAAAGTATTCTTGGAGTGGAAGTCAGATGAAATATATGATGAAGAAATTTAAGATTGAACTTTTTGTTAATTTAAAGAAAAAGTGTGTGTAATAAATGTTAAGGATGACAGTATTGAATCTTAATATATATAAAGACATTTTTTATACTTACTAAAATGTTCTACTTGTTGCTTCTTTCTTAAAGTGTCTGAATGAAATATTTTATTTATCATATATTTTATATGTTCTTGATTTTTGAAAAAGATATATACATGTATAAAGTGAGTGATACAGAAAACTTTTTTTTCCTTGCATTTTGACATTTTAATTCTCTCAAAAATTCATAGAGAAAAATATGTGTTAGAAAATATTAGTTACAGAATTGAATTTAGCCAATGTGAATCTGTGTTAACTGCTGATACTTATGTTGGCAAACATCACATGGAAAATAACATCTGACAATATTATGTTGGTTTCTGGTAACAAGCACATTTGAAGGTTAAACACAAATTTGTAATAAAATGGCATGTTTTCATTGTAGAATGATTTTTGTTGTCAGAATATGAACTATTTTGTGGAAAAAAACAACTTGAAAAGCTATCTGACACCTAAATTTGTTGGTTATAGATTTTCCCTTGTCCATCAGTCCAGCTGTACCTGACCTTCAATAGACTGACCAATACAGTGCAATGTGGGGACACATGGTCTGTGTCTGGTACTTTAAATTTGATTTTGACTAAATATGTTTTGATCTCCTTTTGTTATACATGTATAGTTGAAAATACATTATACTTAACAGTTACAGATGATAACAATTATTTGTATGGTAAGACTACTGCAACCTAAGACAAGGATAATATACTTCATACAGTGAGCTTTTTCCTGCCCATATATTGACAGTAAACTAATCTTTCTTTCATGCACACCTAATATAAATTTACTTTGTTTTAAATTTTACCCTATATTTGTTTAAATGCCAATATTGAATTTCAGTATCCAATAATAACCAGGTTAGAACAGGTAAGAAACCACCTATTCTAGTGGCAGTTCTAACATACTAGATACTATATATTAGATGGAAAAGCTTTGTTGGACTTACAACTCACTTTCGGTAAGTTTGGTGAATTGTGCTACTATTTATAGAGAATGTTCAAGCTGTGTTGAGAAGGTTGTAAAAGAATACAGGTATACTTCAGAGTTTAATCATAAAAACAAAAATGTTTTATTTTCCTATTTTACTATAAACAAACAAATAAATTAATTATAACAAACCATATATCAATAACTTTCTTGCACATCATATTTTTGAAAACCTTAATTTATAATAAAATTAAATTCAACTTTTTACTATGTAAGTTAATCCATTCAGCAATGGTTAAGATTTAATTTGTTCAGTCACATTTAAAAGAGTTCAATATCTTTCTACGGGTGTAATGTTCTTAATTAACTTAAGATAAAATTGGTAGGATGAAAAATATAATTTGCATCATTAACCCTTAATCTGCTGCATGTTTTGAATGGGAGTGTCCACTTTTCGGTTTTTGAGATTCGCCATTATCCGTTTTGTGGTTATCAAGATGAAAACTTCAAGAACACAATGCAAGGCAGCAAACAGTTTAGAGTGGTGGCACTGATGGCAAAGGCTAATCACTTTATGTTCCAGTATGTTACATGTTTTGTTGTGTTAATGTTATTTTTACTAGAATTTGCTGTAACATAGCACACAAACATTCATTAATTCATTAAATGACCTGAACCTTAAAGGTCATTTTGTGTTACACAGTATAAATTTAAACACAGTTTGCCATGAAACATGTTTGGTGCTAGCTGTACTAATAAATTTCCAAGCTTAACATCACTGCAAATGATTCTCTTCTGTACAACTGTCTGATTGCCTGCCATTTATGTTTCACTAGGTGTCTCTAACATCCTGGCATCTTGAGGTACAAGGTTTGGTACACCATTTTTTATTGGATAAGCCACTCCTATACTGTCACTCACAAGTTCACTAGTCTCTTTATCATATCTGAAGTAATGAATGAGTAGAAAATTGATTAGGAAATGTAGATTAAGATAGTCGACTCTTAATCAATAAATGTGATACTTGAGCTGCATTTAAGTGTGCTAAATATGAAGAACAAATTTCTTCATTCGGGACAAAACGGTTCAAAGGTCTACAAAAACTTTACATGTCTCTTTTTGTTGTTTAATTGACTCAAGTATTGATATTTGCATGACTTATAAAATAGCTAACCTAATTAATTGAAGCCAGTTGCTAGTAGTAACATGCATATTTTAAGACCCATATATCTAAAATGATGTTGAAATTAGTGATGCGTTTTGTATAAATATTTACCTTAAAGGTTTCTTTGATATTGGACACACAAGCACTTGAAGCAGAGTTTCATCAAATTGTTGACTATTTGTGCTGTCATTTGGTTGATCAGTCTTTGAGCAGAAAAGATTCTGATTTTGCTTTATTATACTAAAATCTGACTGCTGAAATAAACATGGTAGTGACTTGGTTTCCTGCCGCCATGAGACCCTGATGAGATAAGCTGTAAAATACAAGTATGCACATATGAACATAAAGTTTTCTATTTTTGTTAAAAATAGATTTTGATACTAAAGGTTGCCAAACTTATTGGTAGTTCAACTAATTAGACTTGTCAAAGAGACATTGAGATAATTTTTGAACGGGTGATGTGTTTTCCAACGGTTTGACAGTATGAAAAAAATCTGTAAAATGGGTCAAACCGTTCACGCTGAATTAATTAAGTTAACGTATTGCATGAAGAAATAATATTCAGACATCTTTCATAGATAAAGTTTAAATAAACGTGTCTAATTTAACCCATTACTTCATGAGCATTTTGTGAAAAATGGCTGTTTTCATTGAAAAGTCTCCCGTTACAAGTTCAAATTGCTATAATACTATAAAAACTGCTTCAACACTAATCAAACTTGGCACAAATGTTGACTGGACCATTGCCCTTGCAACAACATGCTCAGGCTTAAATTTTCTGTTACCATGGCAACGAGGGGACATCTCAAAATTGCCAAAAATCACTATTTTGCGTTGATTTTTTCCATCAAAATTGATTTCAAAGTGCTGCAACTTCTCAATGGATTGAGATAGAGTCAAATGCTTTTCAGCGTTGGTTACACGTTACCTTATGATCAATCTGGGGTCATTTACAGCCTCTCACAAGTCCAAAATTTTCTTGGCGATGAGGGGGACTCCGCCCCCCTTCAAACCCCCCAAACAGAAGGGGGCACATCCCCCTTCTGGCAACCCCCTGATGTATCTTTTGGTTGGGGGGCCGCGCCGAAAAAGAGGTCACTTTTTTTAACAACATTTCTCAAACAAAAACAAGTGTTTGGGGCCTAAATAAGGCATTTTTTCATCATTTGAGACAACAAAAAGGGGGGGGGGTGAAAAAGGCGTTAAAAGGCGTGTATATGAAGTAATGGGTTAACACACAATCAGACATTTCTCCATCAAAAATGTGGAGAAGTTCTGAACATCCAGGGAGGAATCTGTAGGGGGGGGGGGGGGGGGAGTCAGGGGTGATATTACATTCTATTATGATGCGCAAAGCTATTTTAAATTGCGATTAGTTTGTTTAAGCTTTGTTATCTTGTTTATTTTATGTCGGATTTAGTACTTTAGAGTCCACAGAAGACATGAAGACATTACCGTTGTACGTGAAGATAGCCACACTCTAAATTAGCGGAGACATTTACGGACGGACATTTACCTGGCTCCCAAAGAAAGGAACACCGCTTTTTAAGTAACATTCATATTAAAAAAGATTGTGTTTTAAAGTTATTTTGTACAGCATAAAAGCATATATAAGAAAATTAATGATACTCAGTTGAACTGATAAACTTACACAAAAATGTTTTCATGGGCAGCGCCATCTTGAATGACTAGTTGTTATTTGTATTTCTTTATTTATGAAAAACATACATCAGTTTTCCTGATCATTTTTCATAAACTCGCTTTTAATGTTTTAAATATTTGTTAAATTTAAAGTGTGGAAATATTGTATTTTTATAAGCATGATCTGAATGATATGTTGGGAAATTTAATAAATATCGATGAAAAAAGGCTAGTCCCTTTCAACTTGTGTCATTTTATATGTGAATGGCAGATGCATGTTATAAATTGCATAATTTTACAAGGAACAAGACACTTCATCACCAGACACGACATTTATTCCCTTAAGACCTTCATCCCACAAAATCAGTAAGAGTAAGAAGTAGATTCTAAATATTCTGAAGTAAATATTTCAGTAAAAATTGATGAGTAGGGGCCTATATTTTTCTTAATATTTAAAACTGTAAGCAATTCTAAGTATATTAACATTTAAACATGTATATCATGGAAGGCAATTTACAGTTAGCATACCATACAACATGAAACTTAATGCATAACCACAGATATATAAACATCTTATATTTAGCTCCATCATACCATGGCATACTGTAACACAAATATTTTACAGTTATTACTGTTAACACTGGTTACAGTAACAAATAAATGTGTGACTTTCAACATTCATCTTTCATTGCAATTTCAAAAATATGATAATACATGTATTGCAGAAAATATGTAGATCTACATTAATGATTGCTATATCAAAAGTATTTTTGTGGTCAGGCTGTTTCAAATTGGACTTATAAGAAAAGTAAAAACAACAACAGTATTTCTTTTTTATTAGGCCTACATTTATAACTTGTTAAATCAAATATATGTTAAAACAATGAATATTTTAAATCACCATTGATTACATCTCACATATTTCATCTTGATGTATGAGAAACACTAAAAAAAGGGTGAAGTGTCTGCAAAAAATGGTTTAAGGTGAAGTGTCAGAGGGTGAACAGTCTGTAAATCATTTTACACGCTGGAAAGGTGCCATACAGTATAGTTTTTGGGTTGTCTGTCAGTCAATTTGTTGGTTCCATACTTTACCTTTTCATTTATGGATGGATTTTGAAATTATTTTGCATAAAATATGTAGCATGTAGGAAGGATGTGTGGCAGTGGCATGGAAAAAAATTCATGTTCGGACAAAGGTCAAGGTCACGCATACTTTTAAGAAAGGATTTTTCATATAAAGTGCATGGGTGTTCATGTATGATCATTGATTCTTTCATTCGTGAATGGATTTTGTTGGACATGATGAAGCCATGTGGCATGCACAAATTAGGTCTCTAGCTAGCACAAAGGTCATGGTTGCACTTGTATGTCCAAGGTCTTAGTATGATAAAGTTCATTGAAGGCCTTGTCATGTCAACAATTCTGTCATTACTAGATGAATTTTATGATAACTTGGTTGGACATTATGACGAGATGTTATACCGAAAAATTAGTTCTCTAGATTACAGGTCAAGGTCACACTTGTATGTCAATAGTTGTGATATTAGGATTCTTTTGTAAGTGCATTGATAATCATGTATGGTCCTCAATTCTGTCATCCCTTGATCAGTTTTAGCATAATTTGAATGAATGTCAATTGGACATGATGACAACATATGTCCCAGGTCTCCAGTTTTAAAGTTTAAGGTCAAATATGTAGGTCCAAAGTCCTGATACAGTGTATGAAATTTTCATAAAATGGAGGCATAGTCATGTCTTGTCAACATTTCTGCCATTCCTGGTTTGATTTTAATGGAACCCCAGGGTCCAAAAGCCTAATTATAACATTTGAATTTCTTATATATTAAGATCAGCTTTGGCACTTAGAACAGATTGACATGCAAAAGATAGTTAAGACATTTACTCAGAAATAAACTAGAATTGCATTTTTTGTGCTATTCATAGCCAGATTTAAGTGAGAAGTGTTTCAATTGGTCATTTTATATCTTGTCTGACAAAAGTTTATTTATCTTGAAAACTTCTTTTCAATGTTTCAGAATCATGGATCTATATCAGACTGTACCAGCATCAATTAAGGACCCTTCTGACCCCCAAAAGCAGGTAACTTAACTAACTGTCAATATATGAGAATGTTTGGGACAACCAACTGTTGTGTAAATACTTAATTCAATATAATTCTTAGAAATTGATTTTATAGAGCCTGGTCAGTAAGTATTAAAGCATTTAGTATTAACCTGTTAATGCGGTCTGACCAGTCTGTAAACTTCTTGCTGCTTTATGTTCGCAGGACAATATGATTTAACCCTTAGCCTTGTACAGTATCAAGTGATTTCATGTGGGGAAAACATATATGTAAAACTTGTTTGTTAAGACAATATTTATTATAACTTGAGCATTTGTTCCATAGTGTATCCAGGAGCATAACTTTAAGGTATTAGATGTATAACTGACAATGTTTCAAAAGTTGTTTAAAGCTTTATATTATTAAACCTTATCATTTTCTTGACACCAATACAAAAAAAATACTGTCTTGTTTGAAAAATATTGACTTTTGAAACTTTGTCAATTATACATCTAATACCTTGAGTTTAAATAATAACTTCATATCAAATTTATGATCTATCATTTAACATAATAAGTACTATATTTTAACTACATAAGCAAATTCAACAAATATTAAACCATCTTAATTGGTCATGTGTAAATCAAATGTATTATTATCCCCCGCCGAAAAATTTTTGTCCGGAACATATCTCTAAAAGTATTTGAGTTATCAACTTGAAACTTCATAGGTGGATGGATCTCATTGAGGAGAAGTGCAGTGCTTAAGAATGATAACTCTACCCTGCATTATTTTTGAGTTATTGCCCTTTGTTATTTTTCAAAATTAATTTTTGTCCAGAGCATAACTCAAAAAGCCTTTGAGATATCAAAATGAAACTTCATAGGTGCATAGATCTCTGACTCAGGAGGTGTGCACTGCACAATAATGATAACTCTACCTTTTATAATTTTTGAGTTATTGCCCTTTGTTCTTTTTCATACTTTAATTTTTCCTCAAAAAGTATTTGAGGTATCAACTTGAAACTTCATAGGTGGATAGATTTTACTGAGGAGGGATGCAGCACACAATAATGATAACCTACCCTGCATTATTTTTCAGTAATTGCCCTTTGTTATTTTCAGCCATCAGTATTCACATAGGTTTCAAATTTGTAATCACTATAGCCATCAGTTTTCATTACCAAAAGACCTCTTAAAATAGAATTATTCCGCTCTACTACATATACATTCTTCCAATGAGCAAACACATTTGGCGGGGGATGGCCATGTTGACATGGCTCTTGTATCAGTATAAATTACTGGAGAATTAAAAAACATTTTAGCTTTTGCAAGTTGAACTCTGTTTGAGGCATGCAAAATTGTTAGCTCCAAAAGTAAAATTTATCTCTGTGGTATCATTATGAGATTTCATATCCATATTAACATTTTGTTCATTGAATTACTGTTTTACAGAAGAAACAGAAAAAAGAAGCAGTGAATAATTTCCTTGTAGAATGTCTACCAACAAAGCGTATAACTTCAGGTGAACTTGATATGCTGAAAGGCAAACATTTATTACTGGATTCTACTAGGAAGAAATGGAAGGACACGTCTAAGGCAAGATGTAGAAACACACTATCTGCTAGAGATAGAAGAAAACTGAAAGTATTTGAATTAAAGAAAGATGGACACAAGTAAGGTTACTAAAATTATTCCTTCCATGAAGTCTTATTATGGTCAATCAAAAAAAATAATTATCAAAATAATTCTGTAAATTTTTCCATTCTGTGCGGAACTTTGTTTACATAGGAAAGAAGGACTGTATCCAAACAATTCTGTAAACAATATTCCATTCCATTTGGAACTTCGTTTACATAAAAAGAAGGATGTTTTCCATTTAATAATGGATTATATTCCATTCCATGTGGAACTTTGTTTACACGGGAGAGGAGGGTTAGGAAGCAATAGAGCAAAACTGCTCAGATATCTGACATGTTGCATTACCTATTGAACCTTTATTTATCAAGATAATTAAAAGTTTGACCTTATTATGTACATAAAAATAAAAAGATGTTGCTTTTTGTGTTCTTTTTTAATTTTGATGGAAAAAAAAATCCGCTGTAGAAATGTGATGGATATTGAATAAAACTAATATCAACAAAAAACCAACAAAACAATTTATACATGTTTCATAATTGAATAAAAAAAAAGCAACAACAACAACAAACCCAGTTAATACATGTTATTCTGGGAATGGGGGTTACGTCGCCTGAACACAGAATACATGTAAGTCATATGGCGGCTTTCCACTTTTACTGGTAGAGGAAGACCTAATGTGCCCCCTGTTCATTATTTCTGGCATCTGAGAAGAACTGAAGTTTTGTAAACAAGCTGGCTAGCTTCCTCACATAGAAGTATCCAAAAGATCCTGTCAGGATTCAAACCCACAGTGGTGAGAGGCAAGTGGTTTAAAGTCAATGACCTTAAATTAATACTTATATATTATATTTACATGTATTGTTACATACAAAGTATATATATTTCTAGGTTTGAAGACTATGTACCATTACACAGACTCTGGCAAGATTATATGAGAGATATTTTAGACATATCCAGGTTTGTAACTTTATTATATATATAAAGTGCTGAAAATATTGGGAAAGAGAATTTAATCAGTTATGTTTCAAAATTATAGATATCTTATTGTAAAAGTGGCAGTTACTGGTATGTGACTTTTTAAATCAATGCTTATGATACATCATCATTGTTTTTGTGTCGTTTTATTTTTTTGTCCTTTGTCCCTGTCTGCAGTAGCAGGATTTTGAGGTGGTTAATCAATGGTTTGTGATTATAACAAAAAATTCAGTAATCCTATAGTTTGCAGCTAGCTCCTGGTAGGTCATTTGTTCTACAATGGTTTACATTTCTGATTGGGGAGTCTGTGGCCAATTTGTTAAGGTTGTTCACTTCAAACCACTTGCCCCTCACTGCTGTTGGTTTGAAACCTGATAGGGACTTTGGATTCCTTTATGTGAGGATGCTATCCAACCAGTAGTTTAATAATGTCGGTGGTTCTACTCAGGTGCCTATTTGTGCCTGAAGTAGTGAACAGGAGGGTCTAAGGTCTTCCTCCACTAGTAAAGTTCGAAAGTCGCCAAATGACCTGTATACAGTGTTTGTGCAACATAAAACCCAAACCCCACAAAAAGAAAGAAAAACATTTCTAAATTGAACTACTTCATGAAATACTGTTTAAAATGATGCATGGAATGGCATCTGAGGTTAGAAAAAGTGCTCTTCTAAACAGGTATAACTGTATTATATTTGTTGATCTCAATAACCATTTCATGTTACTACCTGTACATAACTGCTACTAGATTTTGTATTGTTTTAATTTTTTTGGTAGATATTCATCAGAAGTGGCTGGTCAAAAGAAAGAGAATAATGAGAGGTTATTAAAGGCAGACTATCATGGGTGTATGATTGTTGTTCGTCAAACCAGATGTCCATCACTGCAAGGCTTGTCAGGAATTGTTCTCATGGAAACTAGAAATACTTTCAAAATTGTTACAAAAGATAACAAGATTAAATGTAATTGAATTATTTTATATTGTTTTCTTAAAGGGAGTTAACTATTTTTTTTTTGACGAGACAGGACTAGAAATACTTTTTATCAGAGATTGTGTACCATTTGATGAAGGTTTAGACCAATAACTAGTATGCAAATCTTCAGATCATTTCCTCACCCTGTTTTTCCAGATATATCATTTTACTTTTGAAAAATAACCAAAAATGAAAAGCCATGTAATGCATTCACATAAATTGCTCAAGAAATTGCACAAAAAGTGGAGCTCCTTTGTTAGTGATATTTCCTGTGGAAAATGTAAAGTAAATCAAGAGTGTAAATTGGGGATTAAACTATAATTATTATTGTCCCCAATCTATTCAAAGAAATGGTGGATAAAGAAATTGGCTCCATCGTTCTGTCCGTCTGTCACACTTCATGCCCTGTCAATAACTCAGCCATTCATGAAGGGGTATTGAAATAACTTGGCTCAAATACACCCAGACCTCTATCTCCAAGGTCAAGGTCAGGCATGCAGATCAGAGGTTAACATTGCCTATTGGTTGGGAGGGGAATATATTTGTGTCCGTTCCATCAAGAGATTTTGAAATAACTAGGCACAACTGTTCTCCATAATACCATACGAGCACAAGGTGTGATGTGCAACACCCAGACCCCAACCAGCATGGTTAAGGTCACAGAGGCCAAAGGTCTGTATTTTTCTTGTCCATAATTCAACTCTGCAAGAGGTATCGATATTAAAGTGAAACTTAAAAGGTGAAAGGGAGTGCACTGCAAAAAAACTATTACTCCATCGTAATTATTCTAAAATTATCTCCCTTGATGAACGTTTTTTCAGTGAAAGAACTGTGTTTATTATGGTTCACAGGGGAGGAAGTGTTGACAAGTTATCATAAGAACTCCATCCCTTGTGTAACACTTCCTCCCCCGTGTGGTTGTACCTAGTTTATACTTGGACTAAACAAACTTCTGACAGAATATTTATTATTAAAGTATGATCTAAACTTTAATATGACCTTAACTGGCCAAGGTCAAATAAGAAAATATTGTGTAGAACTTATTTATGCACTGATTTGATTAAAATTTAGACACAATCTGCATAACAACCTCATCTTACTACATGAAATAAATATGCCCGTAAATCCTTTATCAGGGGGGTCATATTTGACAAAGAAATTGCCAAGTGTCTTGTTCCTTGAGTTGAGAATAATTATTTGATTTTTTTTCAGGTTTACCAAAAATGAATTCCTTGTTTTCATTTGAACTGGACAACTTTGTGTTTACTATACATGGAAACCAGTTTTGTTCAAAACCAACACTGAGAGTGAGAAAGAAATTCAAAGCGAAAGGTCCAATAGACATTTGAAAGTTAATGTGTTCTATTTTATGATAGTGTTCATTGTTATGACTTTGCATTTTAAATATAAAAGAAATCTACATGTATGTGTTTTTGTTATTTCTTGTTGTTCACTTATAGACAGTATTTTAGAGCAACTGGTAAATTTAACCTCAAATATAGAAAATTTATCTATTTTATATGTAGAAATAAAATATACATAAATGCTTGCATATGGAAAGTTAATGTATGGTTATCAAGCACTCGGGATAGATTAGTTCTTTTTCTACTTTTTTCTTTAAAATTGTTTACGATCACTCTAAGCAGGTATACATTGTATACATTAAAGAGACAACTATGAGATACAAGGGAATGCGGGAACCAGTCCCTAGCTCTTATTGAATAGACCCCTTGGTTCTTTTACATGCCCAGTGTATAGCACTGATACATGCAAGGATTACCTGGATTTCTTACCAGTACACCTCTTTGTGGAAATGTTAATAAAACTGGTATCTGACAATAAAAATAACATACATTGATCTATTAGACCATATTTATGCATGCTTATGAAATGCATGTAAGACTGGCACTTTTTGTGCAGTAACCAAAGATTAAATCAAAAGTAGGCCTATATTACAAATGTATATATACATTCGTGAACTTTTATTGACAATTAAATTGTAATTAAAGTTTATGATACATGCACTGATGCATAATGAATATTTTGCTTGTGTCTGAACAATACATTCAATGGGTATTAGAAAAATGTTTAGAAAAATCATATATATTGCACATGAATACAGTAGTAAAAGTACCTGAGACAGTTAAATTCACTGATAAAAGTATTATAATAAATAGAGATTAAAATGACGTTTATCTTTAGTAAATCTACACCTTTATAGTTCTGCAGTCATAACTAAGTAATGAAATAACAATTGCTTGTTTGGGACCTTAGTAAGGATAGGGTACTTTGAATAATTTCAATAATGAGAGTACAGTACTTGTATATTGTTTTAAGATTACATGCTTAAGTTTGTTAAGTTTCTGAATTTTTATATGACTGTCAACACAGTAAGTTTATGTGACATTTTAATCATTATTAAAATTAAATCTTATTTCACGAGCAATTAACGTACGATATTAGTACGACATTGTACTGGGACGAAAAAACGCACATGCTGTCAACCGGTGACTATGTAAATTACTACCTTCATAAAACGCCCTATTAATAGAACAACGTTTATTCGCATTTTTTATTCCTCAACATGACTGATCCTAGAATATTAGCTGTCAAGGAGTTAATTGAACTATGCCCAGATTTTCCAAAGCCAGGAATATTATTTCAGTGAGTGATTTCAATTTTTGATTATTGTGTTTTAATTAACCGGTAGATGGGTCACCTAGCTGTATACTGTACTGTAGCTATATAGATTCTATTAATCTAGAAGTTTAGAATTTTGTTGTTTTGATAGTGAAAGTAAGAAAGATATACTAGATGCAATCAAACTTGTTTAACAATTTTATATTTTTTACAATAGCAAATATGATAATATTTTGAAAATCGCATCCCGATGTTTAATCAATTAACTGTGGTAATTTTAAACATGTTTATCTTGTTTAATAAAACCTGGCTGTCATGCGGATAAGTAAGGGTCAGAAATGGGAATTTATGAGTTTTAAAGTAAACTGGTGATGCATAACGACAGAGTTATCTGTCTGATGAAGTATACAATTAATTTATAATGTTCGTGGAGCACGAGGCTTGCTTACTCGAAGAAAAAAAAGTGGAGCTATTGTCATGACCCAATCATCGGCGTTGACTTTGGTTAACCTTTTTGTTGCGGTCCATTTTCTCAGAAAATATATCACTTCAAACTTTGGATACATTTTTTTTACATTAAAGGACGCCAATTTAAAAGCAAACAAGCCTGAAGTTAGTTTTTGCATTTCTGCTCCCTTTTCAACTAAGATGTTTTTTGTCTGGTTAACGTTTTTGTTATGGTTCATTTTCTGAGAAACGAGGTTATCACTATTTAAGGTATTCGCATTAAAATTTTAATATTTGTTTACTATCATGCAAGGGCATTAAGTCTGTTTAGCACTTTTGCAGAATTATGCCAACTTTTTATGTTGCATTTATTTAGATATCCAGTACTGAGAAAAGCGATATTGTTTAAAACGAATGTACAGGCTACTCCTTAACCCTGTATTTTGTGTATATGATACGTTCCTGTCTGTACGTCACACGTAAACTGGACCAATTTTAACCAACTAGTCCTCATCCGAAGACTGACGGATATAGTGCCAGACTGACGGATTGGGCCGAAAAGTTGCGATTGCAATTTTAACTAGTGTAGACTTGAGAAAATATTAAACTAACAACATTGTCACTATATACTTTAGGAACATTTTCCCAGTGCTCAGGAATCCAAGTGTTTTTAAAGGACTGATTGACGTTCTTGCAGAAGATATAAGGGCAAAATACCCTGCAGTTGAGGTCATTGTTGGACTTGATTCAAGGGGTTTCCTGTTTGGTCCAATGATTGCACAGGAGTTGAATGTTGCATTTGTTCCTGTTAGGAAGAAGGGAAAACTTCCGGGAGAAACACACCGAGTGGAATACTCTTTAGAATATGGAAAGGTTATATATTTTTGCATAAAATGTTTTACCTATTTAAAGAAATTGTTTTATAATTTTGCCGGAAATTCGGTTTCATTTTCATCCGTAGTTTTTATCGCCTCCTTTTTGAAATCCATACTATTATGATAGGCATTAACCAATAAATGACCGAGTGAAAATGTTTAAGAAATTTGAAATAAAACATAAAAACTAACTTGTTTATAAAATTACTGCCCCGCTATTAGAATTTAACAATGCGGATAAGTTCTGGACGATATTAATAGAAATTACGTTGGATCACATGGATTATTGATTATTTTCGCATCGTAAAAATAAAAAAAAAACACACAGGATTATGACAAAATATAAAGTTACTTTGACTTTTTCCAGTGCTCTCATCATTTGCACTTAGATGGGAATTATGTCACATTAAACATACTTTAATTTTTATTCATCATTATGAACAACCAGGGTCATTTTATTATGTTAAAAAAACAGCTAAACACGTATTGTTTAACCGCTTGTTTTAGATAATTAACATATACATGTACTATGTATTTTATATCGAATTTACGAATATGAATCTGGTTGGCACAGTTTTTTGTTTTATGTTATATTCTATTGACGTGCAAGCGCGCATGACTGAGACACATATATACAGTTAAGTACAGTTCTAAGAATTTTCCAATTTCAGGACTCGTGTGAAATTCAGAAGAATTCTCTACAGCCGGGACAAAAAGTTGTAATAGTTGATGATTTATTAGCGACTGGAGGTATATTATAAATAAATATTCCCTTTCAACAAAGTTTTTAAACATGTTTATTTCCGTTCACAATTAAATTTATTAAAATGTATGTAGCGACACACTGTTGAATAGTTATTAATGATCTATGCTATGTTTCGCAATTCACAGATTATTGAGCAATTCCTCATTAAAATCACATCCTAACTGTCGCTCCACTTCCCTTCGTGTAGCGAAGAGTAACGGAGCGAAAGCGATGAACTGATTTTAATGAGATTGACAATTTCTGGTATTATTATTTTTGTTGTAACATTGACTTTGTGTAACAGATTAAGCAGGATGAATGTATTTTCTTTTGCATTAAAAAATATAAAATGTTTAATATTTTATTTGTATATTCAGGTACAATGAAAGCTGCATGTGATCTTATGGAAGCAGCAAAAGTAGAAGTTCTTGCTTGTTTAGTAGTTATAGAACTAAAGGTGTTAAAAGGAAAGGATCAAATAAAATACCCTTTACTTTCATACATTGAATAGGCGCATATTTATCATATATTTATTAAGCCACAATTACGAATAGAAATATGAATATCTTGAACTTGGACAGTTGCTTGAATGAAGTTTCAAAATGTGCAATTGTTGATAGAAACATTCCCATGTTCAGGTTTGAAAATATACGTACATGATATTTGTATAATTAAGCTGTTTGTATAACTTTTATATTACTTACGAATTACGGGTAACGGGGTAATCATGCGGATTTTGTCAGTTTACACATTATAGCCTCGACCTATAAGCCGTACGTCTTGTGAGCGAGTAAATTGATAACATAAATCATAGACATCAAATCACTTCAAATGTTACATGCATACTTTTTTATGCATTAACATTTTATGGGATATTGATGGTATACATACTTAAAATATGAAATATAACCAATGAACTTTCAGCGTTTGGACCACGTGGTGTTCTAATAGAGATCATTATCGAACCAATTTTATTAATTAAGCCTCGTTTCTTTTATAAAATCCATACCAAATGCATATTGTATCCCATATTGTCTCGAGCGTTTTCATTTTTAGAGCCCGAAATATCTACATCAAATACATAATCGTACTCCATCTATCGTCATTTTATTTACAGGGTAAAAATAAATCGAATCATTTCCTTATTGTACTTGAAGTAACGAAGTTCTGTAAAAAATGTGAAATGAATAGGTCATTGTACATCCTTGAGAACAATACTGATTCTATTGGACTCGTACACTGCTTCAAAACCTATATATGGTATGGCTGGTGCCTCGACAATATAGTTTTAACAGCTATGTATTCGTCTAATACAATTCAATATTGTACTCAACACTGTTTATTAACCTTGTATTAATGGCGCAATAGCTTATTGTACGTACATGTATATATTTATTGTGAAAAAATGTACTCGTGTATTGATGTATATATACATGTATGATATACTGTAAAGTTATAATAAAAGACTAAAATATTACAATTTTTCATCTTGTTATTATACAAGACACTGTGTTATCAAACGACTTGTCTTACTTTTATGCCCTGTATATATCACTTGCAAAAATACCATCTAACAGAAAAAGAATATCCATACTGAATACTAATTAACTCGGAAGGGCGTTGCTTACTATTTACATTATGTTGGATATACAATGTATATTCAAAATTGTTAATACGAATTAAAAAGCCGATTATAAAAGTGACATTTTTCTTGATACTGACTGGCAGAATAAGATTTAGGTAGAATAGAAGATGGATCGCATATGGTACTTGGAGCCAGTCTTGCAATTCAGGTATAGCAAAGTCTACATGCAAGTTGTATGTCACGGTTCAGAACTGTTTACTAATTAGGGGAGAAAATGTGTGAGCGGCCGGATAACTCATTCGGTAGAGCCGTGGAACCGTATTTCGAGTGTCCTTGGTTCGAGACCTGGTCAGGCTGCACATTTTTCTCGCCCTATAACATTCAAATCATGATTACGAATAAATGATATCCGTTAACTAAGTGAGCTCTTCATACGTAAGAAACACAGCGTTGTATAAAACAGTATAATTACATGTAAATGTGCGCGTTCATGAAAGCATCAGAATGAAATCTCCATGTAAACACATTCTTTCTGTGAGGTTCTTATTAAGGTAATTAAAAAGCGTCAACTACATTAACTGTAACAATGTTCGAACTTATACAGCTATCTGCGTGCCTTGTAAGATTTTTGTAAACTGATTAATGTTATGAAATAAACTTGGAACCTGTATGCCAAATAAGTATCAGTGCTAGATTAGCTGAAATAAATTTTGTGGGGCTACGTACCTAGCTCGGAGCATATCGCAGAATTGCAAAGCGGCTTTCAGTGCTTTGGTCATAATTCCAAAGTAGGCTTATCGTATCCTGACTTTCGACCTTTTTTGGTCATAAGTAAAGAACTGGTAGAAAACATCATGTGCGTCATTTATGAAAACCAAGGAAGACATTAAAAGTTTTCTTCCAGATGGAAAAATGCATATTTTATATAAATTAACATGACTTGGTACAGCCTTTCAATATAAGCATGGGAAGCCGTCCAGTTAGCTCAATAGCTAGAGCGTTTGACTGAGAATCGAGCGACCCAGGTTTGATTGCCGGACGGACGGTGCAGGTCATTCGTTATGATCTTTCATGTAGTTTTTTTTACGACCATTCGTTGTTCCTCTGCTCTATACAGAAGTTTCAGTTCCTTTTGAAAGTGGAGGCTCGACAAACTGCTTGACAAGTCTGCCCAGGAACGATGCGGTGGCTGAACTTTGAGTATGGATCGTATATTGTATCGGTATTATTATATCTTATGTAGCGCTCATTAATTCAACTACGTGCACTTGAAGTGTCATTGGGAATATAGTGTTAAAGTATTTTCCAGTGCGTTTTTATTGAAACTGGATAAATGAACAATTAATGACACGAAAATGGTTCTCAGCAGTCTCGCGGGTCACTGAATCATGAGTTTATCATGCATCCGTTTTTTTTTATGTATTAAAAGTATTCGTATGAAATTAATTTTCACTGCTCACGTCGTCATAGAAAGGGACACTCTAAATATATATATGTGAATAAAAAATGATCAATATTTGCATCAAATGAACAGGTAGTATTTTTTGAAAATGGTTTTGATAATCCAACGAAACTTAAAAGAATGTGAAAATTGTCGAACAATTGCTCTGTGCGTGTTGGATCTTTCAAATAGAATATATATATATACACATGTATATACATTTTGCCAGATCACGGTCGGCAGATAACCTAATCACATGATTCAGGTGAGACATCTCCCCGTAAAATCGGCCCATTTACAGACAATATTATATTTGAAAGACCCTGACCAGTGCGGTATAGTAGCCAGGCAACATAAATAGCATGTCAGCTTTTTATAGAGTATAATTTTACAAGCAATGATATACGTGCGTATCAGAATGATCCTAATGAGAACTTTTCTATTCTTTAAATTGGTGAACCCACCATTATAATTATACTTTTACTTCAAATCCGGATAAAAAACAATATTCCGTTTTGTTTGATTTGTCTGTGTTTAACATGACCATATACTTGTTTCCTTTGCAGAAATTGCACAGTTTAAAACAAGAGGTCAATGATAACACTACAACGCTCACAAAAGATCCAAGACTAGAAAAAGTTATAAGTCATCAGGGCCCTGTGCGAGGCCACTTTTGATCACAAGGGCGTACACGATTTACAATAGATTAAGGAAGATATGTTGTTTAAAATAATTGTGGGTTACGACTGACGATTGATATGCTATCACAATGCTCGCTGGACTGAGCACATTGTTCTTAGGTGTGCTAAAGACACATTTCTTGCCGATGACACATGCTCACAGACGAATTAAAATCTGTAATCAATATGGCCTTTCTTACAAGTTTGTTTTGCCTGCCGACAGTTTCATACTAAAGTTTCTATTGACGCAAAACGTGTTGACAACATAGTGACCATTTATCAAGGTCACAATCCTCTTCAAATAATAGTTTTAGTAATAACAAAAATAACTGCGACCTTGAAATTAAATCAAAATTAGTAACTGAAGTACGTGATATTATTGGCTGCCTATCAGTCAAATGTTACGTGTTTCATAATGTAATGTTTACGCCTTTTTACCAATTCTAGTCTGAAAACAATTAAATATGAGAAAAATATTTATAAAGATATATGTTCAAATTTTTGCCATTAGGCCTTGCTTCATTCCAGAGATCTTTGCTCATGGACATGTAATTTCAGAGAAGATATAATAGCCTTTTTATATACGAGTGCACGTAAACTAAGTGATCCTAAGAGCAGGGCAAATTTAAACCTGGATATTATTTACTCAAGTTCTATAATGGGCTACAATCTGATACTTCTTGTCATATATCTAAAGTCTGGGAATTGTAAGAGTCTGAGAAGAAGATTTTGAAAGTCTGGCCCGGCTTTCACGTTCTCAAACTGAGACAAATCTCAATCTAAGATTGTCTCTGTAGTGACTGAGATTCTTACTCAGTTGAGAAAAATCTAAGATCTGAGCTGAGATTTAGACTTTCAGAACGTTAGTGAAAGCCGGGCCTGGTTCCTCTATAAGTATATCAACTTGATCTTACTTACATGTATCGAACCTTAAAGTAACTGACGAATGAAGACTTACAAAGATTGAAACACTGCATACAAAGTTATCATTTATTACACATATATATACATGTAATTATGTTTTAGTAAATTACAATATATGCATATTTATCATGTATACGCAAATGTGTGGAGACTTAATGTTAAGAACTATACATATATACATGTATATACATTTAAATAAATCTACTAATATTTCAAATAAATAATACATGAAAATTTATCAATTAAACGTTTTTGGCAAACTTGTACAAATATCTTAGTCAATCTTTTGTTACTCTTTCCAACACATTAACACGGGGGAGGAAGTGTTACATGAGGAATGGAGTTCTTATGATAACATGTCAAGGAGTTCTTGTGATAACTGTCACGGAGTTCGTGGGAAAAATATTGTATATACTGCAAAAAAAACTCGCCAAAAATGGTAATTTTCATCCTTTAAAAGTGAGTTTTAGGTGCTAAATTAAACCTTAATGATTAAGATTGCCTTACATATTGTATTATGTGTCAAAAACTAATTCATATAATCCATTTTTCATCGCCTCTTGCTTAAAATCTCGAAGTTTTGGAGTAAAATTTTCAAATTATTTGCCAATTCGCAAGTAGTGACCCGTTTATTTCATCCTTGCCATACAATTTTTTTTAGAAAAGCTTCGTATTTAACATAAACATAAAAAAGTTCATTTAATCCTTACAGAATTGTTTATTCACATGTCACAAAATCATCTAATAAATTAATTTTCTATAGTTTACTGTGAGCCAAACATTGAACATAAACAAATACATTCATTTATATGTAGTGTGTCAAATCAAAACAAAACAGCAGTTACACTTATATTGCAATAACAAATACTATATATACAGCTTATAAATTATGAACAAAAATGAATAATTTAAAATAATGATATAATTATATAATTACAGTCAACAGATCTTTATCATGAACAAATAACTCTCCTGATAAAGTAAAAAAAAAAACAAGCAAAATTTATTTATTAGACCTTCAAGGTCAAGGTCATTGGAAGTAAAAATCAATTTGATATATTTCAAATTGTTGTGTCCAAGTATGAAGACAAACCATTCATAAATAACAAAGTTAAAGCCAGTTATAGCTAAACTCATCAAGAACAATTCAATCATTTGACCTTGAAGGTCAAGGTCATTTAAGAGTGAAGGCCACATTCAGTCTGGCCTACTTGAAGGTATTGCTCAAAAAGTTGATCCTTCCAAGTGTGAAGGCATTCCATCGAGAATTAAAACATTATGAT